GATTGTAATAGCTCAATGTATAATGATTCGATAATGAGTACTTGCAAAACAAGTTTTCTTCTAATAGTTTGAGGATCTTTTGAGGGTTAAATTAGTTTATAGAGAGAGATGTTCGGTTTGAATAAACTGTAAGAAAATTAACTCGTAGATATAGTGGATATTTGATAATAATAGATTTTAGAAAATAAAATATTTAACACTTAATACGTTAACATTTCTATAGGCGGATGTACGATCAACTTGTGAGAGTTGCGGATAGAATAGTATTTTCTCTTATACTTAACAATTTGACATTCACTCGATGAATATTTATTTTTGACGATGACATTTTTTTGTTTAGATGATTAGAGGGTTTTTATGATCGTGATTGATGAGACTAGTACCATTTACAAGGAGAGTCTTCGTTTAATGAGTGTATTTTTTATTTCTTAAAAGACAATGGTTGATAAAAAAACAATCAAAACTCATTTCTTAGTGGAGGTGTATGGGTCTTCTCGGATCTATTGATGAAGTTTTTAAGTATTCAAGTAACTATAGTTACGAAGATTGAACTTTTTTTTAAAAAGATTGTTTGTAAAAACTCTTAATGTTTTTTCTTGGAATATATCACATTTCACTCGGAATCGATTGCATCATACCCCCGATCCTTGATTCATGAAAATTAGAAATTCACAAGTAAAATATTTTCACCGAATTCGTATTTAGATATCTCTATCCTAAATCCGTGAAAAGGTCCACATATTGTTGGGTTTGATTAGTTTTTCACCTAAGTGCACTGTCCATGTGCTGTAAAAGCTGAAATAAAGTACTCGAGCTTTTACTCAATGAAATACTCATTCGAAGTTAATCGCAAGATAAACAAACGAAGTTGATCGTAATTTTAAAATTCAATCATTTTCATGAACAATACTATTTAATTTGAAATATTCGTAAACATAATATATATATATATATATATATTTAAAAGTATTACTAAAAAACAATATGTTGTTTTTAAAATGAGTGTCAAGTAATAATAAAATATAGATAAGATGAACTTTGGAACGATTTTAACATAAAAATTGAGACTAATACATACTATTAAGATAAAATAATTATATAACGCTCCAATTGAGACTAATACTGATAAAATAATTACATCAAATAAATTTATATTCTTGAACAAACTTATGCTGGATTGAAAAATTAATAAATTAAATTTAAATACTATTTTTGAATTTGATATACCATCACAGCCTTATGTGTATGTGAAAAAGACTAAAAAGGCCAAACTTCTTCTGAACTTTATTTTATTTAAAAATTAGTTGCTGAAATTTTAATTTGTCTTTTGACCTCCTTGTACTTTAGTTTTCTAATGTTTAGTCCATCATATAATTTTCAGCTATACTAATCTTTTTTTTTAAACAATTCAATTCTTCATTTTTTTTTATATGAAATTTTGCACACATGCTAAAAAAAACCCAATCTATTTTGTAGAAAAATTTCAAAATTTTTCAGGAATAGAAATTATATTTGTTTATTTTTTGAACATTAAAAATATAAAAAATTAAAAAATAATCTGAAATGATCTCAAATTTTTTTAAAAGCTTCAGATAAATCTTATTGTATAATTTTCATCATAGAACTATTTATGTAATTATTTTTTTAGAATAAATGATAAAAAATTGAAAGATATATTAAATTTTAAACCAAATAAAGTTAAAAAAAATCAAAACAAAAATTAAAAGTTTAATAACTGATTTTTAAATACAGTAAAATTGAGGAGAGATTTAGCTATTTTAACCTTTATAAAATTCACGATACTTGTGAATAGCCAGTCAACATTTTGCTCGTTTGCTTCCGAGAGGTAAATTTGTCACTTTGACGTGTCCACTGGATCAAATTTTAAAGATGATAGGTGTTATCTACACATTCCAGTGGTTAGACTACCATTGCCTCAAGCACTTTCATACCCATAGCTGAAACTAATATTGATTTGATGGTTAAATGAGTTAAATCACCTTTTAAGCTTTTAATTTTAGAATTGATTTCTTCTGAACTTTCTTATTTTTTTTTAACAAAAATATATATATATATAATTTTTAACTATTGCTCTTTGAATTTTTTTTTTTTGTCTTTTGAATTGAAGTTTTGCACACATCTTGAAAAAAAAAACCAATTTATTTTTAAGGATTTTTCTAAGGTTGGTAATTATTATTTTTATTTTCTAAACATTAAAAATACAGAAAATAAAAAAATATAAAACAATCCAAAATGGTTCCAGTTATTTTGAAAAGTTTTAAATAAATTTTATTGAATAATTTTTATTATAAAACTATTTATATAACTATTATTTTTGAAAAAAAATAGACTAATTTTTTTAAAAATAAAATTTAGATGATATTAAATTTAAAGTTAAAGTTTAGAAATTAATTTTTAAATAATTAAAAATAAATGATGTTCTTCCCATTTAGGCTGATTTGATTTTCTGCTGATAAATTTAATATCCAACAACTTATATAACGGAACAAAAAAATGAGATCGTCTTGAGTGTGAATCTACCAACTCTCGCTGATTTTCCACCACGTGTCACCATGCATGCCTTCGTATTGGCTACTCATTCTAGTGTAGTAGGTAAATGACGGTTACACCCTCGCGTGAATACTTGATCATTAATAGAGCGAGTATATAGTTAGTTGTTCTTTTTCGAATATATTCAGGATGCCAAAATAATTTCGATCCTCACGAAGTAAATAACTTCCACGCGGTACTTTAGGTCGTGATATAGACGTTCCAATCATGTGGATTAACAACATTCTATTCGCGTCAGACCTTTCTCCACTTGTTTGGTCCAACTCTCGGCCACGCTCTTTATTGATGTGTGAATTGCCGCCGTAGCTACGGCACTATTTAACGCCACTTCATAAGGTTTTTTTTTCAGAAATTCAAGGTTTTTATTTTCCAATTTAGTTACGAGTTTAATTCATCACTAAATTTATACTCCTTCGATCTCAATATATTGTCTACTTTATTATTTATATTGATATAAAAATATTTCCAGTCAAAGTACATTTTAATGGCTAATAATTAAAAAAAATTATTTAAAAATATAAACATAAATATTAATATAATATGATAATTAATAACCTGTTTACTTGCGTAAAAAGTTAAAAAAAATATATAATTTTTTTAAAGGAGAGAGGATATTTTTCCTCGTTCAGCTATATATTTGTTTTTCTAAAAAAACAGATTAATTTATTCTCAGAAAAATTAGTCATTAGATATAATCTTATCACTAAATTAAAAAAAAAAATCTCTCGTAGCTGTAAATTGAAAGGCAGGCGTGAGTGATCAAAATCTTAGATTTTTTCTTTTTATAAGTAAAAGAATCTTATATCTGGTTACTCTAAGAAAGAAATCTTCGACTTAGTTATTGTGTTTATTGCTAACAAGGTACATTTATTGCACTTTAAAGACAACAATCTTTTATGTTTTGGAAAATAATATATATATATATATATATATATATATATATAAACTTGGTGCTTATAGCATACAGGGCAGGGATATGAATATTCTGTCAAATACTATGTGGTTATCATTTGATTGCCGCAGACAAACATGAAGAGGTACAACATTTACTTGCATTCTTTGACTGGAGTATTAACTAAAAATGATAAGTAATTCTCAGTTGGCGTTTCAACTAGAAGGCGTAATTAACTCGTTTGATTGTGTAATCAATTTGAGATACTTATTGAATTGGCACTTCAAATTCTGCACAATTAATCATTGATTCTCGTTGAATTAATTTTTGGGTGGCGTATATTTTCTTTGCAATGTAATTCACAAGGGAGGAAAATTTTGGATTCTAGACATTTTCAGTTTAGGAAAGAAATTACTTTTTCCGCTTAAAAAAATTATTTATCTTTCTATTTATATTCTTAAGAATATTTGTCTAATCAAAATATATTTTTAAAGTATTATTAATTAAAATTTATTTTGTAAAAGATTGTGCAAATACAATTCTAATAAAAAAAGAATTTTAAAAAATCATGAATAAAAAAGTTGATAAAAAAATTACAATTTTTTTTAAAATTGCATAACAATTAATAAATTTTCTAGTCTTTATGAAAAATCATAAATAATTTTTTTAGGACAAAAGAAAATATAATCTTCAATAGAGGGTAACTTAACCATTTATCAAAACGTAAATTACCAGGGTTATTAACATGGCACATCCATGTCAGCATGTCCTAGTAAATTCGCTGATCTGGGTATTCATTGTTGACACGGATAAACGTTTGACAAATGACGTCATTATTTGCAAACGATTCACCTATGGCATTCGTATTTTCATCGATGAAAGACGTCAAAAGACAATTAAAAAAAATGTGTTTCTCTAATTCCAGTATCCACTGTAATATAGTTTTTTATTTAATATTTTGCTTCTAAATAACTGAAAATCAAAATTTCCTTACATTCAAACCCATGGATCTAGAACTTGTATTAAATAAAGTAAAATTTGGGGACATCCATATGTCTATTAATTAATTTCATGGGTGTTAATTTAACACAAACAAAGCTGTTATTAAAATTTGGTATGGCAGCGAAAGGTTGCCAAATCGGTGAAACTTACCCAGCTCACTGCACCCATACATGCCTCCCAAATTTGGCCTCAATCCACCAGCCTCCTTTCTCTCTCTATATATCTGCACCTTTTTCACTCTCTCCCAGAACGCACCCCAACACAGTCGCACACTGTCCCTTTCTCTCCCTCTCCCTCTCCCTCTTCTGAAACTGTTTCCCACTATTACCTCCCCATCTTTCCACCATTTTCACACCAAAAAACACTCCATTCTCTTCTCCCATGAAAAAACCTTATTTCTCTCAACAAACTCTGCTACCTAGTTTCTAACAAAATCAATAAATAAATAAAATCTCTGAGTCTTTTAATTCTTCACTACCAGCCACTCTAATTTTCTCTTCTTTTTTTTTTTTGTTCCAATTGTACCCCTACAAAAATGGAAAAAAAGCAAGGTTTCTTCTCAGCACTCAAAGAAGAAGTAGTACGCGGCCTCTCCCCTTCTCGTTCTCGCTCCAGCAGCCCGGCCCGAACTGCTTCACCAATGTCGGGTCTGCTCCGCCGCAAAAAACACAACAAGGACTCTTCCTCCTACGTGGCACAACCAGAATCGTTGATAGGGAGATCAGGGAGTTTAAGGCCAATGGTCGGGGAAGCGTTATCTCCACTAATGGAGGGTCCGGATCCGGATGGAGGGGAGGGTGAGCATAAACGAGTCGGGTCGGGTTTGGGTCAGTGGATGAAAGGGCAGTTAACGAGGACTCCGTCGGTCACTAGTTTGGCTTACAAGAGGTCTGATCTGAGGTTGTTGCTTGGTGTTATGGGTGCACCATTGGCTCCGGTGCATGTTGGCTCTTTGGACCCTTTGCCGCACCTTAGCATTAAAGACACCCCCATTGTAAACTCCCTCTCCGTCTCTTTTTCTTTATTGTTAATAATGTACCAAAAGTTTTTTTTTTTTTTTCGGGTTTGTAATTTATTATTATTTTTTAAAGGTTTAACCAAAAAACAGGATGGGTTTTTTTTTTACTTATTAATTACGAGCAATGTTTGTTTTGTGGTGAAGGTTAAGTGGAAACTAACAAGTAGAGTTGGGATTGGACTTTGGCTTACTAAGTTTAGTAGTTTTGTGGGTTTCTTTTTCTTTTCTGGGTTTTGATGTTTCCTTTTAAAGATGGAGAAAAAATAGTTTTGAGGTGTTTATTTCTAGATTAAATTTTTTATTAAATGTAATGGTTTTATTTTGTTATTGTAATAGTTTGAATTTGGTGAAGCTACTGGATTCATGAGGATTACGTATTAGTAGATTGCTAGTAGAACTATGGAATCATTTTTTTGGTTAACCTTTTTTTTTTTTATTTGCCTTTTCTGGGTTAATCTTTTTTGTTTCGTTGGTGAGAAAACAGAGGAAAAAACAAAGAAATAAAAGCTTATGATTTTATGTTTCATTTTGTTTTGCATAATTTCTGGTTGAACTCCAAATAAGCTCATACGAGTACAATTTGTTGTTTTGCTGCATTATAAGGATTTCTGTTTTTTTTTTTTTTTTGGCCACAAAAGTTAAAACTGATATTTGCATCATCGGTTGAAATAGGTTGTTGCTTTCTGGCTGAATTGATGTTTGTATCTTCTCCAAATGTGGACACGTGCCTTCATTTTTCTGCTCTGTAACTTGGGGGAAATTTCTTCAAATTCTTTGAAAAATTAAAAAGAGCACTCTTAATATTTTTCTTCTATGGGTTTGTATTGCTGCAGGAAACTTCCTCTGCTCAGTACATATTGCAGCAGTACATGGCAGCGTCTGGTGGGCAGCAGGTGCAGAACTCCATTCGAAATTCCTATGCGATGGGAAAGCTTAAGATGATAGCTTCGGAGTTTGAAACACCCACAAGGGTGGTGAAGAACCGGAATGGTGCTAGAGGTGTTGAGTCGGGTGGGTTTGTGCTTTGGCAAATGAATCCTGACATGTGGTATGTTGAGCTTGCGGTTGGGGGTGGTAAGGTTCATGCTGGCTGCAATGGCAAACTTGTTTGGAGGCACACACCTTGGCTTGGTGCACATACTGCCAAAGGTCCTGTTAGACCCTTACGTCGAGCACTTCAGGTGAAGTTCTTTATGCTAATTCCTCTTGCAAACTGCTTTGGATGTTTACATTTGTGTTAGTAATTTGCTCATTTGTGGACTTGGTTATGCCATTTCAGGGTCTTGATCCAAGAACCACAGCCAGTATGTTTGCTGATGCAAGGTGCATAGGAGAGAAAAACATAAACGGGGAGGATTGCTTTATACTAAAGCTATTTGCTGATCCACATACTTTGAAATCTCGAAGCGAAGGCCCGGCCGAGATCATAAGGCATGTTTTATTTGGCTACTTCAGCCAAAAAACAGGACTTCTTGTTCATATGGAGGATTCGCATCTGACCCGCATCCAATCCAATGGTGGAGATGCAGTTTACTGGGAAACGACTATCAATTCATTCCTTGATGATTACAGGCCAGTTGAAGGGATCATGATTGCCCACTCAGGTCGTTCTGTGGTGACTCTTTACAGGTTTGGTGAGGTGGCCATGAGCCATACCAAGACAAAGATGGAGGAAGCTTGGACTATTGAAGAGGTTGCATTCAATGTGCCTGGCCTTTCAGTTGACTGTTTTATCCCCCCAGCAGATTTAAAATCAGGTTCTTTCAGTGAAGCTTGTGAGCTACCTCAGGAGGGAAGGGGAAAGAGTGCAATGGCATTAGCAGCACATCGGGCGAAAGTTGCAGCACTGGATAAATCTGATGATAGCTGTGCAGATAACATGATATGGAAGATGGAGGTCTAATTGAGGGTAGGATTGCATTACTATAATTGTTTATACTGGTAGCTAGCTTTAATTGACTGACGGGTTAGAAGTTACAAAGTAGGACTTCAAGTCATTTTTTGGACTTTGGGATCTGCCTCTGTTAATCTGTAAGCAGAGCATAATCATTCACTGGCTCAAGCTGGGGCTAGACGAATCTTTATACTCTCAATGCAGAGTCCAGCTAAGGAGTTGGAGCTCGGTTTTCCAGTTAGGGATAGAGCAAATGGAGGTTTAGTTTTAGTTTACCTTCCATGCCTGGAGGAAGGCGGTGAAGCTTTTAAATAGCAGAACCATTAACCTCCTATACTCCTACTAATTCTATCTTGAATGCATACAGCAGTGGCAGTTGAAAGGAAAACTGCTTCTGGCTAACTTGACTCCTTGAGTTAAACGCTAATGTCTAGTTTGTTCACTTCAGTTTGTAGGCTTGTTATTGTTGGTGTTGTCGCTTAGTTGATATTAAAGGTTCTTGGTTTTAAAGGAAATAGAAATTTTTCTTTCTGATGAATGCAGGCATGTAAATGAGATTAACCAGGTCCCTTGTCATCATGTTTCTGTTTTTTGCGGCGCTTTTCCAGTGCTGTTGAAAAGGATTTAAACTATGATATTTGTTGATCCAACTGTTGAATGTTTAATGCTATGAATTTAGAGATCAACTTCTTTTCCTTCGTGAAAATTCTGCATTTTAAGATCAAATGTTTGGAGCTTTTTATCTTATTAATCATATGCAGTCATGAACAATCTGATCAGTCATTTTATTGTTATGCCTCGTTCGTTTCTGACAGCTGCAGTTTTGATGACTCCGGTCGATATGCTGTTTTAGTACCCTCATGTCCATGTGTAGCTATTATCTCTTTTCAACTTTTTGTTCGAAAGCTCAGTAGCGTTGTGCCCTTTCCAACTTTCTGTACGCTATGACCTCTTCTTGCTAGTGGTGGGGTCTTCAACTTTTTTTTAAAACACTATCTGTGTATTGATTTAGAGAATTCTTTGACCCTTGGACCCAAACCCATTGGCATAAACTAACATGGGGTTAGGTTGGATGCCGGTTTGCATCGTTTGAGGCAAAACCTGTGCATGAAACATCATTACAGCTAGGCACGGGGTAAAAAGCCTCCAAAACCCCCATGTGATTTCTTCCCCTTCTTTTGCTTTCTCCTCCTTGGCTGCTTTGTTTTATCATACCTCCTTTTTTCCTGCCTTTTGCAGACATTGTCTCTTCACATCTTTACCCCCACCGAGGGTATTTTGATGCACCCATTACGTTTACTCTACATCGTGGGAACTGGGTAGGTTCTACACTTCCACTTCGTGATGTAGGTCCCTGGATGGTCTGGTACTCTGGTTTCTTATTGATGGTTTTTTCTTCCATCACTTTGGATAAATTTAATTTACTCTCTATAACTGAATTACATAATCATACACACTCTCTAATAAAAAAGTCTAGAAAAGCAATGCAATGACTAGAAGTCGTTGTAGCAAACTAGCCATCCTCGTGGCTGTAATCACAAGAAGTGGCTCAATGGTAAGAGTAAGGTTCGAGTTCGAATTTCACTTTTTATGTTTCTTTGTACTCACAAAAAGATTTAGGTTTACTTTTTCGATTTTTTAAGAGTGTGTGGGGCTTGGAATCGCCAGTTTAAAATCAATATATATCCACCAAAGGTAGTTGACGAGTGGTCAATTTTGGGTAATAAAAGGAAGGAAAAAAAAAAGTATTCTGGTGGTTGTGGATGATGCCCCTGCCTTGCATTAGTTTCTAGTCTTTGTAGTCTTTGTTAGAGTGAAAAACAGTACACACATGATCCACGAAGAGGAGCACCCATAGTAATTGGGGTTATTACATTTGGTAGGGGATGTGATATAGAAGTCTGGAAACTGAATAAATGTGGAAACCAACCTAACTTACAAAAGCTCTAGGGTCTTAAATTATTCACCAATTAATTTTTTTCATCATTTTCATTCTTCATAGGCCGTTATTTAATGGGTTGGGCACCAGCCAGCGTCGAATGAGAATGATATCTTAGCGACCATAACGTCCTCTCATGTTTTTTCTTGCCAATATTTACGGGTGGGATGTCAAGTTAGCTAATTGCTTCAACAACCAACTACTTTTGCTGCAACCTCCTTTTGTTTTATTTAGAAATTAAATTTGGCACATTCCTCTTCAAAAAATGAATAAAAAGAAAAAAGCTCGCCAGAAAACTTGGTGAAGCATTTTCTGACACTTAACTTGTAGCCTCATTGTTTAACAAGGATATCATCCTCCTGGATTCGCATTTATAGCTAGAGAGGAAGAATAAAGAAAGAGGAAAGCACATTGAATTTCATTCTTTCATAACAATTCTGGGAGTTCCCTTAAAATATATGTAAACCAAAACATTTCTTGCAATCAATCACTTTACAAAAAAAGTTGTTTTACCAAACATGTAGGCACTTTCTTATTTGTCTCCTTAATTCAAAACCACCATACATCAATCCATTAATCTGCCTCCCATATATATATGTCCTAATCTTGATGCGGGCTTACTGGTTAGTTAATAATATGATTTAGACCCTTCAACAAGTTAGTTGGCATAGAAGTTGCTGGCCTATAACTTCAAACTTCCCTTCTTGTCTGACAAAGAAAGTATGGCAGTGAGCTAGAAATTTTGTGATGTGCACGATTCAACTTCTCTCTGTGTGAATGTGCACACACACGCACGTGTGCATTTGGGTAAATGAGCTTATTCAATATGGGAACGGGAGATCTACAATCAACAAGTCAAGATAGATAGTACGAGTTGAATGAAGGTTGGTCTTAATTGTCTAGGAAGTAGTAGTAGTAGTAGGGATCCATTGAGACTCGAGTTTGGTGAAAAATTTAAAGACTCTAGTCATATAATACAAATTGAATATATGCCTCCAAGTTTGTTTATGGGGAATGATATCTAATTATTCCAATTAATGATTCAACTACCTCATCTTCCTCCTGCTTTCCTATATGGCTACGTTATTAGATACTGAAGCTGACTTAAAACTCTGAATTCAAAATTTTCAACACCCAGTCCTTCTCAACGAACATTTTTCCTGCAATTTGATTTGAAGATATCTACACAAACTTGAATTAAAAAGAATCCTCCCCTCATATGCATGTGCTGAGGAGAGGGTGAGTGCATAAGTCAGCTCCAATTCAGATTAAGCTTAATTAGCTGGCATCTGCGTGCTATCTCATGAATCTTTGAATTAACTCAAACATGACAGAGTTGATTTTCCATAAAATGAATACACAGGCGTGATACACACACACAAATACATAATCATAGAAAATTTAGTGAGGTATTGCCTGCTTTGTTTTCCCAAATGTAGAGTAAATTATAATTAATTTGTCCTTTTTGTTTTAAAAATTAATTTAAATTTTAAACAATGTTCATCATTCTTAATTTAATATTTTTTTTCAAAAAAAATATTTTTTCCTCGACGATCTTTCCATAATATGGTTTTATTTTTTTTAAATTTTTTTAAAACAAAATAAATTAAAAAAGAATATAGAATAAAAAAATAGATAGGGAATCTAGAGTGTTTCATTTTTTATTTTTTTGGCTTATGGGAATCGACCTTCAGTGTTTTTGAATTTAATTGCTTTGACTTTGAGAATCCTACAATGTGCCTAGTTTAATAATCAAATCCTACATGTGTACCAGGATTTAAGGAAACGTTCTTAAATTTGTTGACATGTTGAGCACTTCAAAAACAATGGTAAGAGTTGGGAACTTATCGCATCTGAAAAAGGAAAAAAGAAAAGGCAGTGTCGGCAAAGGAAACTTCCACACTAGGTCAAGAAGTACCAAAACAAGAAGGTTTAATATCAATAATAGAGTAGTGGTACCCTAGAATTGATGAATATTTATTGAGCCTCTGTACTAGTACCCATACTCCAATTAAAATTACTTTTCAGGAAAAAAAAAAAAAGCAGTTAAATTTGCATCCAAGTTCAAAGATATCTATGTTTGCCTGTATGGACGTGATTGCATATGCGAATGTCACTGTGACAATGGGCACACTTGAATAAGCATATGTAAATGTGCTTGCACCCGTTTATCTACAATTTTTTTTTGTTTTATTTTAATAATTTCGTTTCACATTGAAAATAAGATTCATTTTATTTAAATCGAGAGCAATAACGTTTATTTTTTTTTAACAAATACAAATTAGAGATTCAAATCTTATATATTAACAAAAAAATTCACATAAAAATTAATTCATTTATCGTTGGATTAACAATATTTTGGTCACATTTATTTACATCTTAGTAAAACAGTGTTGGAGCTAATTTTGACTGCATATTTAGGATCAAGAAACAAAACAGATAGTAATAAAATCCTGCTGTTGCCCTTCGTCTGGTTTGTTTTGGTTTTATTATGGGGGTCAATTTTGACTCCATCTTCTCATGCATTTAAAAATAATTTATGAAAATTTTACTTTTTAACCATAGATCTCAATTTCAATCCTACTTGCCCAAGAGTGAATAATGTCTCGGCCAACCCCTCCAGTTAATGGGTTAGTGTTGTAGCAGCCCATTTACAGATCCTTTCGTTCCTAGTATGTTTGGGCTTAAACAGCATCTATAAATGACACTGTTCCATTTTGGGATGGTGGTTTCGGCAGGGCTGATTGGTGCAGTTTTTGGGTCTATCCCTAGTGGTCTGGTTCTGTGTCGATATAACCCAATGGTCTAAATCCCACAAGTCACAAGTGGGTTTTTCCAGTCCTGCAATGGGATTGGGTCGGTCCCTTCAATTGTTTAGGTTGTCTGTCAACGAAAAAGAAAATCACTGCAACGTTTTCTATTAGCTTAGCACTCAGGAATAAAATTTAAAAGATCTTAAAATTAGCAAATTACAAAAAGGCAACTTCTTAAGTTGCAAGTGTTCTAATTAATTAATTCGAAGAAGTTGGCTTGAATCTCAAGAGGGTATACTCCTTTTTTTTTTTTTTTTTTTTATCACCATATATTAAATCTCAAACTGAACTGTATAAAGTAAAATTTTTAATATTGATTTAAACAACCTATCTTTAATCGCATTGAAATTTAAAATTGAGAAAAAGAAAAAAAAATCTTATCATAAATTTCCAACTTCATATTTTCTCAATATTGTAAAAACAATTTAGTCAGTTGAGACAAATCAATCGTATATATCAATAAAAAAAAATTATTTAATTTATTTTGATGGCCATTGAACACACTAACATATCTACCTTTAAATTTGATGATTATTTCCTTGTCAATAGTGGAAAACAAAAGAAAAGAAAAGTTGATGACTGTTATATGCTTAACAGCCAAGAAAATAGTAGGCTAAAATATATACTTTGAAGGGGTATAGAGGCTTATAAAACTCCTAGGCCCAGACTACTTCAATGTAGATGGGCTCAACGGACCACGAAGGATTAGTTGATTTTATGGGCCAGCAGTATTATCCTCATAGGTACCGAACCGAAAAGCCTAAGTTTTGCTTCTTCTTCCTTTTTACAAGTTTAGTTTTGGGCTACCGAGGCCCAATTGACTTGAACTAAATTGAAGTGTTAAACCCACCTCCAAATTCTTGCTTTTTGCTTTTCATTGGGCCAATGTTATTTAAAGAATTACATACTTGTAGACATTTGGTAAGTGTAAGTTTGAAACCTCATTAGTTCAACTTCATCCTACCTTCTATCGATTTCAGTCTTGAACGTTAAAAACATGTTGAAGTTTATTGTCAATATAAAGCTCTCCACCGAACTGATAGGACTATAAATCAAATTTATTTTATTTCCATTAGTTTGGGATTTTATAGGTGAATGTAGTTGAACCTTTTAAAGGCATGACAAATGCAGTAATTGGTAATGAAGGAGAATTAGTTACTGCATATGAATGCATGGTCAGAATGGGTTAGGATCTTTTAAAAACAAAGCAGATGCAAGGTACTAAGCCATTTATAGCTCTTATCAAAAACTTTAAAAAAAGAAAAGAAAAAGAAAAGCCATTTATGATTTCGCAACAGATTCCACAACTGTAACCGAGGCTGGGACTTGACTCCCCTTGTGGAAACATTTTTAAGAATAACTAATCAGGGTTGGGTACAAAATACGAATTAGATGAGCTGATCGGCACAATAGTTTCAAATAATTACGGTTGCTTAACATCAATAATAGAGAATTAGTTATTTAACGGATTCGAATACCATTATACATTGTTATAAAAAATCTAAGGGTAATGTAAAACGTTACTGTTAATGTCATTCTATATTAAAAAAAAAAAGCAAGATAAAATGGCTTCTTTACGGAAGATGCTATTGCTAGTCACGTGAAGTATCACTATTCAACTTTTTCAGCCTCCGAAATGTGAATGTATTATACAAGCTTTTTTTTTTTTTTTTTTTACACAATCAAATGGTTACAAAAAAAAAAAAAAAAAGGAAAAGAAATAATTAACGATTCTTATTTGTTGTCACCTCTTTTTTTTTTTCTTCTTATGACTCATAGTCCTCCACGGTGATGTTTTTGTAAAGAATATTTTATAATATATATTTTGAAGTTGTAAAGTATTTTATTATTATTTTTATGAATTTTTTTTTATACTCAAACTTATTTTAGATTTAAAAATTCAAACTAATTCTTCACTGTAGAAATTAGGCGCATAAGACGAAAATAATTATTAAGAAAGTTTTTGACACATAAAAACTCAAAGTTGAGATATTTTTTTAAATAAATTACTTTTATAATATTAATCTATTTAAAGTATTATTAATTTTTTTTAATAAATTTAAATATTATTGTATGATATTAAATTATTACATATGTTATGTTAAAAATATATAAATTAAAATAAATTTATTAATAACTATAAATGTATTTATTTGTTATTTTATTATTGTGATAAACCGTATCGGCACCACATCTATGATCTAAAAACATCAGTGCCATTCCCCTGCAACCCTTGTCACTTTAAAGTTGCCACTAGTTGCGATTACTGGCTTTGGTTTTTCAAGAATCTTACCTATATATTTTTGCTCGATCCCGCTCCGTGAATTCAGATGGAGGGACTTAGGTAGGCTTCGATGCTTGTTGTAGTGCCGAAGATACAACACATAAAGTCGAGGAAGGACCATTAATCCATAATGGTTCAAATCTTTAGACGGAATCCAACTCAGCTAACAAATTTAATTTGTGGTTATCCATTAAGTATTAGACGTTAAATTACTACCAAAACATTCTCCTTGAGCACCTGGGTTCTTTTAAGAGCGAGATATTGGTAATAAGATGGGACATGGCCGAATCTTTTAAGGAACCATAAGCCAGTGCTTGTATTGGAAATGCACAGGTAGAGGAGAAAGAAATGAGAAAATACTAAATGAATAAGCAAATACTAGAGAAGGGAATATAAATGGGAGAAAGAGGTAACTACCAACAATTCCAAATACAAAACAACTCCCCTCAGGCAATCCCCTCGAATACAAATGCTTCCCTCAAAATTCTCCCCAAAGAATCCAACCGAATCTGTAATATGTAGCTCGAGTACAGGAAATAAAAGATCTCATCACCGTGCAGGGGCCAAAATGGCAGCCAGTAATATATGTAGACAACAACAGAAATTAAAAAAAATTAAAATTAAAAACTGAGACATAAAGATGACATGTCTAAAGTAGCAACCAGAAAGCTGATCCAAAGACCAAGCTCACGACCATCTTCTGCATGGACCACATCTTCTCTGCTCCACTCTGCAACAACACAATTTTGCATAAATGGATTAAGAAAAGCAACTTTAGTATGTCATGTAATTAGATATGGGAAACCTATATAGTTGCCCATTACATTTACAAAACTAGTTTAGCAATTCACATGGAAAATGATACTAAGAGAGCAATCAAAATGGACTGCAATTGGACCTACCAACGTCCAAGGCCCAAATCCAAATCAGTAGACGCCGATTGCATGCAACCCAAATTGCGATTTGGGACAGTTATCTTGTGCCCAAAAACTTTTACAGGACTTGAAAGTTCTAATCCACCTAAATCAAGGCACTAAAAACCATTTATTTTATTGTTTTCTATAACCCTGCAATAGAACAGAACGGAAGTGGTCCTCACTCCTCACGCCTTCCTGCAAAGACAGTGCAAGCAGTCCCTGGGATTCTGCGTCTGGTGCTCCCCATCTACGCAAAGACTTTATTGCCCCTTTAAAAATCTCCTCATCTCCCTGCCTGAAGTTATATTATGGGTTCGCATTTTGTCAGCAATCACGTGAAACCCTCTGACTGGGTTATTACAAAAACATTTTCTCTTTGCTCTTTTTTAATTTTTACCTCGATTTTGATTCTTCCACGTTTTTGGATCAATTCAGGTCCAACATTGACTTTTAATCAGATATGTAAGCTACCGCTGATTGGTTCACAGTTCTTATACTGAATCTAATTTTTGTTTTGTTTTGTATATTTTATGAAGTAATGGTTCGAACTCGAAACCTCGCCATCAACCAAATCTAGTTGTTACATCCACACCAGAGAACAGGCCCAGCAAACAAAACAGAAGCCCAAGAGACCCTAGAGAGGCAGCATCGGGGCGACAGAAAGAACTACTAACAACACTACGGTTTACAATGGTAAACAACACTTTTGTCTGCAGTCAGCCAGATCCTAACAAAATTAACTCCTAGCTATAGTACCATGACATCTACCAAGTTTTCAGACAAAAGATCCAAAAAATGCAGTTAAACTGAATGTAAAAATTATTGAGATGAGATCTTATATGAAAACTATAAGATTAATTGTACATTAGTATGATTAATCACATTTGTTAAATCCAAAATGTTGAACTAATTTAGAGCACTTAAAAAATTAATCACATGAGAAACTACAAAGAGATCAGAGGACTTACAAAATCGGTTCCTGAGGGTCCAGGAGAGGAAGCACCCAAGCTTGGAGCAGGAGCGCCAGTTGGTGGAGCTGGAGGACTCAGTCCCAAAGGAGATGGAGCTGGAGCCTTCAACTTAAGCTTGCTGGGAGCTGGAGCTGGAACAAGTGCTGGTGGAGCAGCCAAGGGAGCTGGTGGAGGAACAGCTGGAGGAGGGGTTGCTGGTGGTGGAGTAGCCGGGGGAGGAGAAGCAGGTGGTGGGGTTGCTGGTGGCGGTGTTGCTGGAGGTGGGGTGGCGGGAGGAGGTGTAGCTGGAGGTGGGGTTGCAGGAGGAGGGGAAGCTGGTGGTGGGGTGGCCGGTGGTGGGGCTGAAACTGGGGGAGGGGTAGCTGGAGGTGGAGATTGGGTAACTGGAGGTGGAGATTGGGTGGCTGGAGGTGGGGCTGAGACTGGTGGAGGCGTGGTGGTTGCTGGTGGTGGAGAAGAAGTTGGTGTCGTTGGTGTAGGTGGAGCTGGTGTTGCTGTTGGAGATGTTGCTGGTGCTTGACCAGCAACACCGGCAATAGCAATGCAGATCAAAGAAAGAAAGATCACAGCTTTGTTATGCACCATTTTTTCTTAGTCCTGAGTCTTTCTCTCTTTCAGCTTTTTGTGTGTAGTACTGATCAGTGAGGAAATGGAGAATGGAAGGGAGGATGATAAATAGAGTGGAAGGAAGGTTCGGAATTCTGAGGGGGATTGGTGGGGCCAATGAGCTACCAAACAGATCTGAGGCGTCCGATTATGGTGTTTAATGTGGGACCAGCAATACATGTGATTTGGATATGAGATCTGGGTGACACGTTAGTGGCCAGCTTGTTTCATAATTTAGTGACTTGGTTTTGTATTAGTGTTAATGATGGTTTTGGCTGAGATTAGGGGGTGTCCTCTATGTGGAGGGGTGAAAGTCAGGATGGTAGAGAGGGCCTTTAACATGATTAAAAGAATCATGATTATCAATAAGTTTGTTGGAGATGGATTTTTTTTATTTGGGTATTCTTATTTCATGTTAAATATAAGATTAATCTTATTCGAACGAAAACTATAAGTTTAACCATTTCTAATAAATATGATTCTGAATTCAAATCTATACATTGATAATAAATTTATTTGAAAATTATCTCGTTTATCATTGCATCGATAAGTTTGTTCGAGATGATTTTCAATTGTTCTTAAAATGATGATGTATGTATACAAGTAAATAATAAACGTGTATTTAATAATTTTGATAATTTTAATTTATTTGAAAATTATATGCAGTGAAAAAAATTATATATAGCTGTATAGTGAAAAATTAGGAGACTCTTAATAAATAAATAAAAATGATGAGGTTTGTGTTGGCTCAAATTTGATAAAAGATATTTAGATTTTAGATTCTTACTAATTAATCTCTGCCATTTATATGCGAGGAGGAGGATTTGATCAACATCCAAAATTTCAAATGTTTGAATAAATAATTTTTTCATAAATAATCAATTTTACGAAATCAACTCAGCAGATATTCTTTATTTTCCAACACAAATTTCATTTTCAACAAAATCAACAGTAAATACATGATATTTTCTTGGAGTACAAGAAGATATTGGGTGGCAATCAATTTAAGTCATTCACAATAAATTTCTTTATAATGATGCTTCAAACTTGTTTGAAATAACAACATGTAAGTAAACCCACCTTCCGCTATGCAAAGATCTAAACAATGTCAATTACGGTCATTAAAGTAGAGGTTATCTTTTTTATAAGCTTGTCTCGTTATTGAAGCATCAATTTTAGATTCTACAAAAAAAAAAAAAAGTACAAAATTTTAAATACTTCTCTCGGTCCTTCTGAATTTAACCCGGTCAAAATGCACAAGACCGTACATCTCCTTATCTTTTTAGTTTTTCCTCTCCCTTCTTTTCAATTTCGCACCCCTTCGAGACAAGCTACTAACACTGTGAGTAATGCCTTTTTTTTTTTTTCCTCTTTGAGTCGAAAAAAGAAATAATATACGAGAGGTCATCTTCTAGGCAAGAATAATGCACAGCATAATGACATTCCTTTTTACCAAAGAAAGAAGCAATGGCAGGATTATGATTAGTGGACCCTGCCTTCATATGTGCTGGTCCTTAATCATAGCATTGCCGTTGGCTTTGTACTGGCAGATGTATATTTTACGCTTTAAGTTTTGGCTATAATCTTCCAAATTTTATGTTGCTATATATGTTGGAGCACCGCCTATTTTGTGGTGGCCCATGTTGTGCTGTCTTGCCGTGATAGGTGCCCTCGAATGAACTTGAAAGCAAAACAATCTTTGCCAGTTCGTTGTTTAATTTGGATAATAGATACCTAAAAAAATGGAGTTGGAGACATGCAAAATATACAGAGAAACTGATAATAACGAGAGCTAAATTTGTAGTAATGAGTTCCAGCTATGTTGCTGTAACTAGATCTACCAGAAAGAAGCCCTGTTTTTTTTGTTTTTTTCTTTTTGGGTAGGTCCTAAGCATATTGAGTGAGATGGATCATTAAACTTGGTTCACGTGTCTCAGCCGAATTGGTTAGAATTTGGAAAGGAATTGAGATCACCTTTGCTTATAAACCAATTCTTAGTTTTTTTTTTTTTTTGGGGGTGTTATAATGATAGAAGAAGATGTTCATTTTCATACGATCCCACGAAACTCGCCTACATTATGATTACCAATAGCTTAATTAAGGGCCTTGCTTTTATTGACCTATCACCATCGCCTAAGCCCTCGTGGGTTTATAGTTTTCTTTCTTCTTATAGTCCTTTTCGTCAAGTCTTTCTTTTCTGTTTCAAGATTTGATGGTAGGAGAGTGGTGGCATTCCATAGCCACGGTGAAGCATGGACATGCATTGTTTTACCTATATATATATATATATATATATATATAAAACCTCATGTACAGACTTGCCTTAATAAAAATCTCTTGCAAAGTTTTCATAAATATCGAAATGTCGACATAATTGATATATGCTTAAAAATTAATATAGGGATATCACTTAAACGAAAAAAACAAAAGAAATATAAGGAGGAAGAAAACCCACGCAAAAGAGAAGATTCTTCTACATGTTGCGGTGATGAAAGCAGTCATTTAGGTGGTAAATTATTTTCAAAGCAAAATATGCAACGACTGAAAGGGCATTCCATGAAAACTGAAATTGATACACCTAGCTATTATCTAGCTCTTCCAATCTATTTCAAACAAAGCAACGAGTGATGGCTTCTTCTTCAATCCTTCATTGCAACATTGTCCACAAAGCCTGTCAAGGATTTGCCTCCTCAACTTCTTCGATAATTCAATTCACAACAAACCCTCAATTATATATATATAATTCTCCTTACATTTTACACGATAAAGTTTTATATAAGATCGATCCTCTTGAATCTAGATTGGAAAAGAAGCATTAGTACTGCATACGGTTCGGAGGACAACTCATACAAAAGGTAGGTACGAAGTCCACGTAAACCAGATAAGTAGAGTAAAAGGGAACGTGGACTGTGGGAGGGCCAAGTTAGTTTAACGATCATTTCCTGCAATATGAATGATTGTAACATGCTATCCTCCTTTTGTTGGCCCATTAGTTTCTTTTCCTTGGGGTTAAATTGACCTCCTTCCTACCTCCTAATCAATCCAAGGCTGACTTTATGATAATGTGGTTTCAACGGCAGGTCGGGAATGGTTTTACTAGCAAGTCATGAAGTAGTCAGATCATAACCACACTAATCATGCTAGGAGGTACCCCATTTTAGTTTGGCTTATATTATAAATTTCTAACGCTACACTTCACTTTCGTCACCAACAGGCCTATCACTGTTATGCACACAAAAAAAAAAAAAAAAATCACAAATTTATTAAAGAGAAAGATCCTTTTTTGGGCTTTAAAGTTAATTTATGCATATGCTATAATTTTGATCATTTTGACTAAAATGTGATCAAATACATCCCAACTGACAAGATCAATTGGCTTTTACCGATTAATTGTTAAAGTTGGCTTGCTTATCTATTGCCTTAATTCTATGTAGTTTTTAAAGCTGATTAGAAAACATGTCGAATGTCTTGATGAATTTTTTAGGAAAGAGAACGAGGCATTAACAATTCAAGATAGTTAGCTGAGTTTTCTTTTCTTTAGGATGAAATTGAATTTTCAAGACAAATATTTGTTTTTTTCTTTTTTTTTTGTGTGTGTGTGCGGCGGGCGGGCGGGCGGGCGGGGGGCGGGGGATTATATCACCCAGACTATTATTCGATACTTTGATATTATATTCCTTTTTTCTTTCTTTTATATGTAAATAGGGTAAATGAATAATATTACTGAATTTCACTTGTATCATCATATGAAAAAGAGAAGACACGTAAGGGAGTGTTATGTAATTTTATATGGTATCTTTATATCATCTCATACACAACTAGTTTGGCCTTGAGGTTTACTGTTGTTGTTGTCTTTGTCTCTTGTCATCAAATGTTGAAACTCTTTTAACTTGTTTAAAACCTCATTGAAGAAGAACTTAGTTGTTCTCACATCCTTGCATTAGAATAAAAAATGTTTAAAGACCCCCGAATGCCTTCTTGTGGGGACACATTTTTGATGTCATAATGGATCCACTAGTTAGAACATTTGCATCGTGAACTTCGAAGTTTGCACATTTACCTTGCCAAAGCCCTAAACCTCTTCTCTGTCAACTAAGCCCAAGTCTGAGGATGAAATGAAAGTTCAAACCCAATCCTGAAACTCAGCTCTACTTATTCCAAGGCCTATATTCTATATAATTAGCATTTCTGGGCTTCTATGTATTCATACATTTTCTATTTTATTTTTCTTTTCTGCAAACACATAGCAGAACCAAACTGGATTTACATTTACTCTCTAGCCCAACCCAACTCCTCCATCCCCATCCTCAAATAGCCCATATTTCTGGAGGACGTCTATCGTACTCATATCATCGTACTCAGACATTTTTGACCCCGCAAAAATCAGATGATCCTTCTTACAGGACCGCCCTAGGGAAGGAGCATTTAAGTCATTTAAAAGATCCTCAAAAAGTTAAAGAACAGGACGACAGGATTAAGGCGGGATCAGGGAAATTCTGTGTCTCTCACTCACACAAAACCCAAAAAAACTCTTATCTCTCTTCGCATTCTCTCAAAACAACACAAAACCCTTCACTCTCAACAAAAATCTACGAAAGTTTATTTGAAATGGCAATTTCTTCAGGGATCTTCTCTACTTTCCTATCCACCGAAACGGTGCCGCTTCTCAAGCCTCCCTCTCCTTCTCCCAGGCTGCTGGCTGCTCCTCCTGTTAACCTGCGCATGGTGCGTACTGTGGTTACCTGCGCTACGGCGTCGACTGGGAACCGTGCTCCACGCGGGATAATGAAGCCGAAGCGAGTCTCGCCTGAAATGGCGGAATTTATTGGTGCTCCTGAGGTCTCTCGTACTCAAGCGCTCAAGCTTATTTGGGCCCATATCAAGGAGCGCAATCTTCAGGTATATTTTTTTGTGGAAAGTGGACATTTTTGTTTTAAAATTTTGGGTTCGTGCTATTCTTTTCGTGTTTAATTTTTTATTAAACCTTTAGATAAGGTTGTTTTGGGACAGAGTAAAATGTGGGTCTTTTTTCTTTTGTTAATGTGCCTTTTCATATTATTGATTATTTAATTAATTACCTGGAGATATGTAGTGTTTGTGGATAAGGCTCTGGGAGTGTCAGCGAAATGTTCTAGTTCTGTTAATTATTTATACTCTTATCGGTTTTTTTAATATGTTTTTTTTTCCTTTTTTGGCTGAATATATTGCGGCTTTGAGATGGGTTGCTATACGCAAAGGGTCGGTATGCGGATACTGTATTTTAGGTCTGAAAATGTAATCTTTAATATGTTTAGTGCTTCGGTGTGTGGGTCTCTTTTCTGGGTTTTTGGGTTTGGATAATGTTATGTGGCTGCTGGATGATTGTGGGTTATAATGTATTGTTTGTTTGCTGCTCATGCAATGGAATGGTGCTATGCTTGGATAATGTTTGTTTAATGCAGACTTTTATGCCTCATCTTTGATTTGATCCAAATTTTTCTTTGGCTAAATATGCTAGGTCAGATTAAAGCTCAGACGCGATGAATGTATAGATTGGCCTTTATGTTTTTAAAGGACGTTCTTGTTTTAAACATATGCGGTGTGGTGTGATTGCTTAAGGAGTGTTTTTGTTGCACTTATATGTCATGTATTTATTTGTTTTTCAAATCTTCTTCTCTGTTGACTAGGCCTGTGTGCCATTATATCTTGAGTTGAGTATTGTTTTATTGAGGTTTTATATTGTGTTGAGTTGAGTTTCTTGCATGGTCTGGTGACTATTGTTGAATACATTGATGCATGCACAAGGCATCACTCCTGTTGGGGATGGATTCCATCACTAGAATTGGGTCGAGACATGATTTTGGAGATAGCTTCAAGTTTGTAATACATGAATGTGGTATATATTACTTTGTTGTTGTGACCACACATGGATATGTTATTACGAATGTGGCTTAAGTGGAAGTCACTTGAATTTACTAATGTGAAAACACCAAGCAGTGCTGACAAAATCGTGATTGTCATCATGGAGATTAGTTCTTGGCATGTCATTTCCAAGCAACCATTGTTCTTCACTGACAGGGTTAATTTCTGGCTGAATAATTTGGTTGAAACAAAAGCATGGTTTGGTGTTCGAGTAATGGATGCAATGTTCACTTAATCCCATTACTACTTCACCCTTGAGAGCACTTGCTAGCCTCATCTGCTCGTGTGGCCTTCCCTCTATTTATTGTGTGGTGTATTTCCTATCATGGTGTTAACTCTTTTCTCTTTGGGGTGTGTGTGTAAATTCAAGAGAGATGCAGTATTATTGTTCCTCTAGTTCGTCATTTTAGCATGAATCTGGTGTTTCTTTCTCTATATGTTTCTGAGCAATTGCATAGAACATCCATGAAGCATGCACATTTGACTGTCATAATTTGGAGCTGACTGGACTTGCTGCCTTTTTATTAGGACCCTAGTAACAAGAAGAACATAATTTGTGACGAGAAGTTGAAGAAGATATTTGCTGGTAAAGACCAGGTTGGATTTCTTGAGATTGCTGGGTTGATTAGTCCTCATTTCCTCAAATGAAGTTTAAGACAATGATTTCCAGTCTATGTGGATCATCTTTTCTGTGGCAGGGCTATCTTTTTTGTTGATGATAATAGTCAAAATTATGCCTGCTGCTGTCGGCAGTTTCTGTTTCTAGTCTTAATTAGTGGTTCTTACGTACAGTACTAGCTTTGTTAAGAATTTGCTTATGGATCCCTTAAATAGTAGGATTTTCAAGATGATATTGTTACTGTCTGCCCGTTTATGCTTCTGTTGATGAATCTTAAATTTTGGTTGAGTGATGTATGCAGTTGTGGTTCTGGCTCCATTTTTATAGTGGGTGCAAGCATAAAGCAGGCTCTTGTTGCTTTTAGATAGTTTTGATCTAGAAGGTGAAAAACTTATTTCAAATGATCATGGCAGCAGTTATATTAAGCCGCCCCTTGCCTGAACTAGAATTATTGGCACTCAAGCGTCTCTTGAAAATGCCTCTAGAGTTTGACTCGTAACGAGTTCTTGCATATAACTCCCCAGAAATTGTAGTGTGTGGGGGCAAAAATTAGTAAGAGCAGAAACTGGAACTTTAGATGTCTGGGAGTATTTGGTGGCATGAAACTAGTTGTGCTTCTGGCACTCCGTATTTTCCAAGGAATCCCTTTACAGTCATTCCTTCAAAGGAGGGAAACGCGCATTTGATCAGCGAATGCCGTATCAGCATACGTAACGCATAAGATTGAAGAGAGACGTAAACTGGGAACTTCTGAGTTTCTCGTAGTCCATGTTTGAAATGCACTCTTTCAACTGCTTAGGAAAATTTCAATCATAATGTTTATAATCTTCAAAATTTCTTTGTTAAACAAGTTTCACCAGCAAACTTATGATAAGTATTCTTAAAGGGATTGATTACATCGGACTCTCTCTGCTATTGGGGTTTGACCAGTTGGATTTCTCTGCTACTAATATGATTAATGAAGTTCTTTCACTTTATCTTTCAATTACAATTAGTACCCTCTACCTATAACGCAGTTAGGACCTTTTTTTTTCTTTGGATATACGTCACCTGTCTATGTATTCAAATTGACATGATTTTCAATTTTTAAAGCAAAAAAAGGTTTGAAAATTAAATCTTATTTTCAAAAATATAAAATATAAAAATATAAAATTACCCCTATGAAACAAAATTACATTAAAAAAAAAAGAAATTTTAAAATATTGGGATTTTTTTTGGATTTTTTTTTACATTTTTGAATATTTTTAAAAGGAAAACATGCTTGAAAAAAAATGAAAATTCAGTATTTAAAAAATTTAAAAAATTATAGAAAAGACAAAATACATTTAAAAAGTAAAAAAATCCAAATAAATCCCTTTACCAATAATTTAAAATTTCTTTAATTTTTGTATGCCATTTAATTTATAGGGATGAATTTCTGTTACAATATTTTATTTTCATTTCAATTTATAAACTTTGAAAATAGAATATATATTTTTTCCTTTTCAAGCCACCTTTTGCTTTAAGGATTGAAAATTATATCAAATTGAGTGCGTAGACATGTTATAGACGAAGGGTCTTAATCAAATCCGAATAGTAGAGGGAAGAGACTGCTTTAATCATATTTACAGTAAAAGGACATTAATAATCAAATCCGAATAGTAGAGGGAGCTCGAGTGCAATTGATCAGCTCTTGTGACCTAGCTGTTTGCCAATTTATTCTCTTCTACCCCAAAACAGAGAGTTAACTCTTGCTGACATGGCAAACTCTGTCTGTTGCCAGATATTTTTGTCTGCTACCATGGCAACCTCCAGTACTTAGTCACCGCATAGGATAGAAGGCCCTTCTCGCCTTTCAAATATCCCTTTAAGAGTCTAGATCATCAGAAAAAATCTTGTCTTTCTAAAGTAGAAACACCACACAATCAAACACAGAGAAATTTGATAACTAAAAAAACCAACTTATAATCCTCAGCTCACCCCCCAAGCCCTCCCTTCTCTCCTTCGAAAAATGACAGAGAATCTAGCTCTCCCTCTTCTCCTCACAAACCCACCTCCAACAAAACCCTCACTCCCCATCCAGACTCACTTTCACCAGCAACAGCAGCTAAAACCAACAATAACCACTTCACCACCACCACAACATGGCATCCAAGTTATGCAGGACTTCCTTTTTAAGCAAACCTCCAATTCTTCCAAACCCATTAACCCACAAACCCAACCTGACCCATTTCCTATCCCAAGAACCCGTACCCGAATTGGCAAGGCCCGTGATCCCAACCGTGGCAAACCCTGGACCCACCGTCGTCTCTCCCTTCAAGGTCAGCGGGTTCTTGATTCTTTAAATGACACATCTTTGGAAACCAGTGAATTAGATAAAATCTTGAGTCTTTTGTTTGATTACTATAAAGAAGAGTTGAGTTTAAGTAGTGGTAGTAAGGAGAGGTTAAGTAATGATGTTTTGGGTATTATTAAGGGTTTAGGGTTTTATAAAAAATGTGACTTGGCTATGAGTGTGTTTGAGTGGTTTAAGAATAGGGATGATTGTGAGTCTGTTTTGAGTAATTCAGCTGTGGCTGTGATTATTAGTATGCTTGGCAAAGAAGGAAAAGTTTCGGTGGCAGCATCCTTGTTGAATAATTTGCATAAAGATGGATTTGAACTTGATGTCTATGCTTATACATCTTTAATAACTGCTTGTGTTAGTAATGGGAGGTATAGGGAAGCTGTGATGGTGTTTAAGAGGATGGAGGAAGAAGGGTGCAAACCGACTTTGATCACTTATAATGTGATTTTGAATGTGTACGGGAAAATGGGTATGCCTTGGAATAAGATTGTAGGTCTGTTTGAGGGAATGAAGAATGCCGGGGTTTTGCCAGATGAGTATACATATAATACGCTGATAACTTGTTGTAGGCGAGGATCTTTGTATGAAGAGGCTGCTGCGGTTTTTGAGGATATGAAATCGATGGGATTTGTGCCTGATAAGGTCACTTATAATGCTCTATTGGATGTTTATGGGAAGTCTCGGCGGACCAAGGAGGCAATGAAAATATTAAGGGAAATGGAGGCTAATGGATGTTCCCCGAGCATTGTGACTTATAATTCGTTGATATCTGCTTATGCAAGAGATGGTCCGTTGGAAGAAGCAATGGAGCTTAAAAACCAGATGGTTGAAAGAGGGATTAAGCTGGATGTTTTTACTTACACTACACTTTTGTCAGGATTTGTGAGGTCCGGTAAGGATGAGTCTGCAATGAGGGTTTTTGAGGAAATGAGAGCTGCGGGTTGCAAACCTAATATTTGTACTTTCAATACCTTGATTAAGATGCATGGTAATAGGGGAAAGTTTGCAGAAATGATGAAGGTTTTTGAAGAGATCAAAATTTGCTGTTGTGTACCAGATATTGTTACCTGGAATACCCTTCTAGCAGTGTTTGGGCAAAATGGGATGGACTCGGAAGTGTCTGGAGTTTTCAAGGAGATGAAGAGGGCTGGCTTTGTACCTGAGAGGGATACTTACAACACCCTAATCAGTGCATATAGTCGGTGTGGATCATTTGACCAAGCCATGGCAATATACAAGAGAATGATGGAAGCTGGGATTACACCTGATCTTTCCACCTATAATGCAGTTTTGGCAGCATTAGCTCGAGGAGGGCTATGGGAACAGTCAGAAAAAATACTTGCTGAAATGAAAGATGGCCGGTGCAAGCCCAATGAGCTGACATACTGTTCTTTGCTTCATGCTTATGCCAATGGCAAGGAGATTGGGCGGATGCTTGCTCTTGCGGAGGAGATATGCTCTGGTGTAATTGAACCCCATGCTGTGCTTTTGAAGACCCTTGTTTTAGTTAATAGTAAATGTGACCTACTGATTGAAGCTGAGCGTGCATTCCTGGAGTTGAAGAGGAAAGGCTTGTCACCTGACTTGAGTACTCTGAATGCGATGATTTCTATATATGGCAGGAGGCAGATGGTTACCAAAACAAATGAGATCTTGAACTTCATGAGTGAGAGTGGGTTCACTCCTAGCTTGGCAACTTACAATAGTTTGATGTATATGCACAGCCGATCAGAGAATTTTGAGAGATCAGAGGAGGTTTTAAAAGAAATCCTTGCAAAGGGAATGAAACCAGATGTAATTTCATACAACACTGTTATTTTTGCGTATTGTCGAAATGGCCGGATGAAAGAGGCTTCACAAATATTCTCAGAAATGAGAGAATCTGGGCTTGTTCCAGATGTGATCACGTATAATACTTTTGTTGCAAGTTATGCAGCTGATTCAATGTTTGAGGAGGCTATTGATGTTGTTCGATACATGATCAAGCATGGCTGTAAACCAAACCAGAATACATACAACTCAGTTGTTGATGGATACTGTAAACATAATCGTCGGGATGATGCAATCATGTTCATAAGCAGCCTTTGCGAGCTTGATCCACATATTTCTAGGGAGGAAGAGGGCAGGTTATTAGAACGTTTAACCAAATGGTCATAGCAATCCTCTTCTTATCGGTCTCCTCTTTTGATTTGGCATGGAGATATGGTTAACAAGGATGATCCTGTAAAAGGTTCTTAATGTTTCTTGGACGCTGAAGAGATGCAAGTACTCACAAGAACATCCATTTGGAAGGTTGTGCATGGATCCAGCCGAGACATGAAAAGAAGGAGAAGGAGAAGGGGAGTTAATGACTTCAAGGTATGCATACCTCTATCAAATACGAACCATTTTGTGCCATTAATATTTGATGGTTATGAAAATCAAAATTTTGAAAATTTTCTCTGCAACTTATCACCATTGTGATTAATAATTTGATGCTCTTAATAGACATGAAGTTAGCATTTTTATTATATTTACTTAGGAAGAAAATAGTTTCTCTGTAAAGATGGAATTGGCATGTATACCGTTGTTTTGTTCTTATGGTCCATATATAGTAAACGTATTGTTTTGTTAGTGGAACTTGGTTTTGAATCTTCTTGTCAAAGCATTTTTTGGCCTCAAACTGTCTTCCCTTTTCCCTGATTTGGAAGGGGTTATTTATATTGACAAAATTTTTCTGTTATCGGAAAGTTGGCCTTGAATTTTCGTTGATAAGATGCGATTTTTCATGTAATGTTGTTAGGTTCTTGAGCATCGAACCATGTGGTAAAGAAAGAAGGAAGAATAAATGGTTTGGCCAGGAGAGTTGCTAATTGGCCATTTCTTAGCTGATGATACGTGATTTATCGAAATTTCTGGCTTCTGGCGATATATGCTGAAAGTTGCTAAAGGTGTGTATAATGTATATATTGTAGATGTAACAAAAAGTAAAAAGCTATATATAAATGCTCAGTTAATGAATAATGTGGTTTTTGAACTCCATTTGTAAGTTTTGTGAAGCACAGATATAGCCGAATCAGAAACATGAAACCCAACAGTGTGTTTCAGTGGTCATCTGTACTGTTCCATCTTCGAGAATGATTGTGAAGAACAGAAACCTTGTTAACGAGGAAAAACTTAATAGCAACTGCCTGTCATCACCCCTGGACTCGCGGGGGAACTTCATGCAGCTGTTACCATCTTGGAATTTATGTTATATCCTATCATTGGCTAAGTGCTTAAAGTCATTCTTACAAGGAGCAAAATCTTGTAAGATCCGTGTCCGCTTCAAATAACTTGCTTAATGGCTGGCTTAAAATGTTGCCAAAACCATATTTCCTTTCTTACGTGATTTTCTTGACCATGGGTCTAACCATTTTTGAATTTTCACTCATTTGAAGTTGAGTTTCTGAACTTTAAAATTGGTTTTGGAGATCCATGAACTTTAAACTTTCTAGGTTTTTTTTTTTTTTTTTTTTTTTTTTTTTGTAAAAAATAACAAAAAAATCAGAAAAAACTCAAAATTAGAATCTCTTATATTCAAATTGGTATGGAAGGAGAGAGAGAGTGGGGAATTAGGAGTGAGAGATGTTTTTGAATATGAGGGATTTTAATTTGGATTTTTTTTTGGATTTTTTGTTATTTTTTATGGAAAAGATCTTAAAAAAAATTTAAAGTTCAAAAATTTTCAAAATCAATTTTAAATTTTAGGGATTGAACCTCAAATGAGTCAAGGTTCAGGAATTGGTGAATGGAGATTTTGGACTTCCAGTCGGGCCTGGTTTTCTAATTTAGAGTTATTGTATTAGCCAATGGCTATTCACTAGAGGAAAGTAATTAGCCCATGATTTAGCAATAGACCTAAGATTCAACAGGGTTGCACACTGAAAATTCCAAGCTAACTCTGGTTTGGTCAATACATTACTCGGTTGACAGCTCCCTAGGTCTGATAATGATTTGTCATTCATAAAGTTAGAAAGAAATAGCATAAAATATTTTATTTATTTATTAAGTAATAAATTTCATTCTTTTTGCTAAAAAGCATAACACAAGCAAAATACAATCTATATAAAAAGAGAGAGAGAAAAAGGATAAGTGGATATAAGTGTAGGCATTAAAACAGATAAAAGCTCAAAACACAGACCCAAGAATCCAATAACAGAGGAAAAAAAGACATTCACAAGGCAAACTCTTATATGAATCCTTGGCAATCCAAGTTAGCTTCTACTTCAATCAGTTGAAATACCATTCAGAGATGCAATAATCTTATGTGGTTGTCTGATTCAGTATTCAATTTCATAGCTTTATTTTAATTTTGTCCAGCTCAATTGTTTGGGTATCTGGAAGAAGAACCCGATTAAATAGGCTGACAACAATAATTTATTCTACAAATGCCAGAAAACAGTTGTCAGAACTCTTTTTTTATGCTTTAACTTTCAATGTACCAATAAAGTATACGAATAAGATAAACAAAATGCCTAATTACCAAAACCCCAATAACAAGGATGCAAACACCATGATATAAAACAAGGTATTTTAATTGACAAACTGAATATTAAGGTCCATTTACATATTTCCACTAAGTAATCACTCCTCTTTGACTCTCCCACATCTCCCTCCTTCTTGCCAGCAATTCTCTCCATCCTTCTCTCTAATTTGCAAAATCAGAAAACACAATCACAATGAGTTGGTGGTGGACAGGAGCCATTGGTGCTGCAAAGGCAAGTAAAAAAAAAGAGCTCAATTTATTCCTCTTTATATTCCAATTGCTGTTTTGTAATTATAGGTAAACTAACAATTTTTATTTGATCAAATACAACAGAAAAAAGTTGAAGAGGATGATGATGCAGCACCAAAGAACCAAAGCGTGGCCCTCATAATAGGTGTCACAGGCATTGTAGGCAACGGCTTGGCCGAGATCCTCCCTCTGGTAGACACCCCAGGTGGTCCATGGAAAGTTTATGGAGTTGCACGCCGTCCACGGCCAATCTGGCAATCTGATCACCAAATTGAATACCTCCAATGTGATGTCTTGAACAATGCAGAAACCATTGAAAAGCTGTCAACACTCACAGATGTTACCCACATCTTTTACGTTGCATGGGCTAGCAAGCCTACAGAAGCTGAAAACTGCATTGTTAATGGCACCATGTTACGTAATGTTCTTAAAGCTGTAATCCCAAATGCTCCAAACTTGCAGCACATTTGCTTGCAAACAGGACGCAAGCATTATTTGGGTTCTTTTGAGTCTTGGGGCAAGGTTCGGCCTCATGATCCTCCACTACATGAGGATCTTCCAAGGCTTAATTCATTGAATTTTTATTACACTCTTGAAGATGTTTTGTTTGATGAGGTTCACAAGAAGGAGGGTTTGACATGGTCTGTTCATAGGCCTGGAGCTATATTTGGGTTTTCGCCAGCTTGTTTGTTGAATATGGTGGGGACTTTGAGTGCTTACGCCACGATATGCAAGTATGAGGGGCTTCCGCTCATGTTTCCAGGAAGTCGGAGTGGGTGGGAGACCTACTGGGATGCTTCTGATGCAGATTTGGGCAGCTGTGGATCCATATGCGAAAAATGAAGCCTTTAATTGCAGCAATGGGGATGTGTTCAAGTGGAAGCATTTGTGGAAGGTCTTGGCCGAGCAGTTTGAGATTGAGAATTACGGATTTGAAGAGGATGACGAGAAGAGATTGAGCTTGGCTGAGATGATGAAGAATAAGGGGCCAGTGTGGGACAAGATTGTCAGAGAGAAAGGTTTGGTGCCTACAAATTGGAGGAGATTGCAGAGTGGTGGTTTATTGATTTGCTTTTCCGAGGGGAAATATTCTTGGATACCATGAACAAGAGCAAAGAACATGGGTTTTTTGGGTTCAGGAACACCAAGAAATCATTCATTTCTTGGATTGACAAAATGAAAGCTCACAGAATTGTTTCTTGATACGGTGACCGCAGGCTTTCTTGGTGTTGTTTGGTTAAGAATCCTCTTCTTTTTTTCTCCCCTATATATCTAGTTTAATAAAGTGGTCTCGTTCCCCGAGGGTGATGTCACATAAATTCTAATTTTAATCGTATAATAATTTGATAATTAAATTTTACGGGTTATAATTAGTTTTGACTAATATGAAAAATCTTGTATGATTAGAATTGTAATTAATCTGCTATCCATTACTATTAAGATATTACTACTATATTATTAAAAGAGATGGCAAAAACATTAATATGGATGCAGTATGCATTCCATCGTCCTCCATTTTACAAAAAAAAAAAAATACATAAATCATTGTACGGTGGTATTTTTATAATTTCAAACTATTTTTAGTCATTTTATATGCAAGCTTCACTAACATTGTACTTTAGTTTTCTTTTTAAAATAATTTTTGTTTTGATTATGAACCTCGTTTGTTTCACATCTCAGTTTATGACGGTGGAGAGGAGAGGAGAAAGAAATAATGGTAAAAAAAAAAAAACATAATGAAACTCATTCTAACCACTTTTACCGTCGATGTTGGCTTTAACTTATTTTTTCTTCAAGTTGAGAGTTTGTGTTGAAAAAAATAGAAGTGTATTGAATTTTTTTGGTGGAAAAACACTAAAGTAGTTTTACCATAAATTTATAAGTGATTGTCTTAAAGCACAACGAGGTTGTTTTCTTAAAACAATGCGTGTTGTTTGTAGAATTTTATCCGATATAACGGATTAAAAACATATTGCATATTATTTCAGAAATACAATAAATTGAGTCAATTTGTCATGCCTTATAAGTAATGCAAACTTATTAAGACTTGAAATTCAATTATAAACTAGCACCACTCTTATTCAAATAAAAATTAACAAAAATAATATGGCTTTTAGTGAGAGATAAAGGAAAATAAATTTGAAAGAAGAATTATCTTCTCTAAGCTAAGCAAATAAACAATTTTGTTATTTTCTCTAAAACACAAGTAAGAAGCAATTGTTATTATTGTTGTGTCTAATGATAAGAGCAGCATCCATATATATACAGGGTAAAAAGTTGTCCTTTGGAAATTTAATTTACTAGTTAAACGTTTGAAACGTTAAAAGAAAAAGAATCATTACAGAGTTGAAGAAAAATGCCATTAGTTAATTGAATAAAATAATAAACTGTTGTAGCTTTTTATTTTAATGTACCATTCAATTGTTAATTGAATAAAATAATATTAATTCTATAACTTTTGCATTTAAAAAGTCCAAATCAATATTCTTGGCTGTTCGTGTTACTACTTCAAAACAATAACTTGTATTTTTTTTAATACCTTATTAAAAAATTATTTTATTAAAAAATAATTCAACATTTTGTTTACGGTGGCTATGAAATAGTTAAAAGAATGTACATCCAGACTAAAAAAATATTTTAAATTTTTTTAATTTGATTAAATTTTTATATGTTTTATATGTATTAAAATGAATTTAAGATTTTAAATAGGTTTATTAGCTTTAATTATATAACTTTGAGGTGTTTTTTTTTTTTTGAAAAAAAAATACTAAATTTGCCTTTGGAAGGGCTGAAAACTAAAAACTATTTTTTAGGCTACTTTTCTATTGGAAATTGCAAACAAATGACACGTTGTTTGCAATTTAATTTATTTGCGCAGCAAGTGAATGACGTGTTGTATGTATATATATATATATATATATATATATAAAAGCTAGCTTGCATCCCAACTCAATTTTTCATTTTTTCTTTCCTTTTTTTTTCAGTAATTTATTTTATTTTATTTTTTATTAAGAATTTTGGAAGACTATTATGAAAAATTGATCCTTACGTTTTGGATTTCATATGTAGGTTAGCGTGAAAGAAATATATATATATATGTTTTCATACTTTAAAATGATCATATATTTCAAATTATTTTATTCTCATTATTTAATTTTTTTTTAATTTATCATTTCTCATGGAGATTGTCATACAATTATTTTTTTATTTTTATTTAATTTAAATATTATTTATTCATAAATAAGATTTATTTTTCTCTATATATTGATTTTTGAATAAATTTTTATAGTATGATTTTTTTTCTTTTTTTAATTTTTTATATTTAAATTTATATGATAGATTCTTAGATCTTAAATGATAGTAACATATATATATATATATATTTTAAAACAAATTTGAGATAAATTATCCGAAATATATTTTTAACTTTTAGATTATATATATCCGAAATACATTTCTTTAGATAATTTATCTTGAATTTGTTTTAAAGAAGCAATTATTATTGTTGTTGGTAAAGGACTTGTTGAAGGGATCAAGCTAAAATCTCATGTGGGATTTGATTGTTAACAGGCATTCTAGAGCCAATGACTTATCCTACTTGATAAAGGACTTATTTGAAATACACTTTTAACTTTTAGATTATATATATCTAAAATACATTTCTTCGGATAATTTATCCGGAGTTTGTTTTAAAAAATAATTTACAATATATATAGATTTGATTTTAAAAAAAATAATTTATAAAATAAGTTTTTAGTTAAGAATCCGAATGAAGAATAATAAATCATTTTTTTATTAGAAAATTTATGAAAAACATAATGAATAATTAGTCAAATACAAATTTGATTAAAAAAACATAAAATTAAATATATATATATATTTTTATCTTGGATTTAATATATTTTGATAGACTCATAATATAATGCAGATCATCAGTTTTTAAAATAATTTAACATGTTTTGTCTAACTCGTAGTGTAGCACAATTAAAAAACTAGTATTTCCTATAAACAAATGCATAGATCTACCTTTTTAGTGAATCAAATTGCATGCTCATGTGAACTATTTGTATGCTATGAGAATTGGAAGTATTTATATTGATGAATCACGTAAACTATTGTATTGTGTGATTATTTCTCTTCTATTTGTTATAATTTTCTCCACATCTGTGTATTCGATCTTTAACATCCTGAAACATATATCCTCCTAGTGTTTGTACTCATTTTGCAGTTATTGCTATTATTATTGTTGTTGTTAAAGGACTTGTTGAAGGGATCAAGCTAAAATCTCATGTGGGATTTGATTGTTAACAGGCAGTCTGGAGCCAGTGACTTATCCTAATCAGTTGCTTAAAAACATTTTATGGAACATATCCTCCAAAGGGTGGTGATAGTTAGAACAATAGATACCAAGCAACAAAGAAAGTTAAATTGAGCAGGGCGATTTGAAATCTTTGGCAAAACATCTTCAAAATGCCTGATGGCATTTTTTTTCCCATGTATTTCTCTAAGTTTCCGAAATTTCCCAGTGCTACGCCTACTTCTGTTAAATGCGATTTTTGGATATTTATGCCTCTGGTATAAAACAAGCAATGAAAAGCAGACTTTGACGGGTTGCGAACTACTTAAGGCCTTGAGGACATGACGCTAACACAGGTGTGGGGGGCCAAAACTTGCTTGCTTTATTTTCTCGACTAACCTCAGAAAAGTCGAAGACGCATAATTTGCTTAACATGTAAAATTGAACAGCCCAATGCGCATTGTAACATTCACGAACATCTAATGAAGGCGAAAGAAAAAGAAACTCGACAACGCTAACGATATGAAAATCTTTTGCACTCGATGGAAAAACAACCACCAAACAACATTTGAAAGTGGCAAACCATTTTGCAAGTTCAATGTTGTCCTTTTCAAGATTAACTGATAGGACGCAACATTCAAGATATTTTAAACGTCGTTTCAAGTCAAGGTGCAAATATTACCAAAAGATTGATCCAAGGAAAAGATTTAGGTTCTTCAATTTATGATGACAAAAATTTCATGGCATCCATGAATCCAAATGAGAACTGCCCCTTTGTATTAAAATGAACAAGAAATATGGTGCCTAAGTCTCCTAAACCTAAATTAGACCAAATCCTGGTTGATCTTAACCCAAATGTATATCATAATCTATAGCAGCGCCACATCTGGAGCTCCAGGTATGGCCACAGCTGCATCAGTAAAAAATCAAAGCAATTATTGCATAGCATGTTGAGTAGTAAACTTGATTGCAGAATTCTAAAAGTTTATGAGTTAAACTAAGTTGGAATTTTCAACTGAAACTAGTAATGTATAATTTCGTCTCCTGGAACTTCATTGCGGAATTTCACTGCTGGGAGTAGTTGCTTCCAAAGTCACAAGCACCTAGAAAATTGATAGTACTTTTCACTATGATTCTCTTGGACCATACCTCTTCTTTCTAAAGTCAGAACCGTTCCATCTCCACATGCTATAGTTTGACAAATAGTAGAGCTAGTTGCTCATCAGACACTTTAACATGAACGCATGCTCCTAATGCTGCTGCAAGTCTTGCAGCTAATTGATGCTTACACTGAAATAGTTTCAAGTAATGAAAGAGTTAATCTTAAGAACATTAAAGAAAACTGGTCTCAACAGACTAAAATGATGAACAAGTAAAGAAAAGCAATCTCACACAGAGTTGTTCTCCTTTGCTGACAATGTCATAAAAAAAGGAATAACAGGCACAATAGTGTTCAGGGAAACAGAAGTACTCCTCCTTCCTTCGTGATTCTCCCACCACCTAACCACACCAGCAAACAAGAAATTCATTCACCAAATCAGTTCTTAAATGATCGAAATGTTAACCTTTATGTCTATCTTTTTAAATAAACCATATTTAACAATTTGTTCAAGAAAGCCAACAACCAAATTTCTTCACCATAATCCAGCTTCACCTCACACCCATTTGCCAAACCAGTTCTTAAATGAATGATTGTAAAATTTTACTGCTATTCTTAAATAGGCAAAACCTTTACTGCACTCTTTTAATCCTCAAACCTTTGTCTAGCAAGCTAATCCCAACTAAATTTATCAAATATTCCTATCAATAAATTTACACCAAAACAGTCAAACTCATCAGATGTTCTATTTCAAGTGAATTTCCTAGCTAATCGTCCCACCATTTTGTCACACAATAATTCAACCCAAACCAGTTTTCTTTGCATTTTTAAACTCGAATTAGGCCATAGATTCAAATTCTAACAACCATATGCAAACATCTGAGGTCTAAAGTACAATGCACAGCAAAGAATAGAACCTGAAAGATGGAACGACCACTAGGCTGACCAGAGATCTTTTTGACACCTCTTTGATCCACTATCCTTGTTGCTCTCTCAAAATTCTTACCAAACAAGAAATGCAAGCTACATTTAACCCCCAACAATGCACACAAAGAAAAGACCCAAAATCAATCCACCTATTCAAACCCTTTAAAAAATCAACACCGACTTGATCAGAGCATACTAGAAAATTGTAACTGAATTTTTTTATACACTACTTACATCGAAAGCTGCTCCTCAGTCACTGCTACCAATTACATCACCCACAAAAGCAAAAAAACACAGAAACATCATTTAATAGGATGTGGGTTTTTACAGATTTTAATGAGAAAATGTTAAACAGCAATATATAGTAGATAGAGAGAGAAGAGAGAGAGGACCTGACTGGGTGGATTCAATGGTTTTCCAAACAGTGTCTGCAACCAAACTACTTGCACTCATTCCTTCTTCCTTTGTTTTGCACTACTAGTCTACTACCTACCAAAAGCACAAATAATAATAATAATAAGTTAAAGAAGAAAAACTTGGTTTGAGATTGAATTACTTGATTCTCATTCTTCTCGAGTGTCTCTGGTTTGAAATTTCAAGTTTTATGAGCTCAGCTCAACTGGTCTAATTTCTCTGTGACTCAATTTTTTTCCCCCTTTGTTTTGTCTCCAATCCTTCCTCGCTCGTAAACTCTTGAGCCCGGTGAAAGTGGGCTTTATGAACTCAATGGGTCTAATTTCTCCCTGCATGCTTATTCTTTGGTTTTTCTTTTTCTTTTTGGTTGTCGACTGTGTGTGTGTGTGTATAAGGAAAATGGTTTATTTATTTGCTTCCAATTGTTTAAAAAAAAAGGAAAGAAATTATTTGCTTCCAATAAGGCTTCTCATTTGTATTGGAAGGTTCCAGTGTCCAACGGGATGAGTGTCAAGAAATATTTTGAAACTTCAAAACATTTCCACTTGTAATTTTGGATCCATAATCTATATAGGTTGGCAATGGCAGGTGGTCGTCAGGGGGGTTGAGGAATGGCTTTACTTTCCTGGGGTCTCCATCGGGGCCTCTGTTTTGGATTATTTAAGAAGTGACTGTGTCGGAATGGCTTTCCCAATTACGCGTTGAGTGATCCTTTCTGTTTTCCGTTTAACCAAAGTAAACAAGAGCGATGTTATACATGATACTTGGTATTTTTCATCATCAGCGCACTGCTAGGCAGGAAATATCTAACATTCGAACGCCGCTCCAATCATTATCAAAGTTTTGCTGTGCAGGAAGTATCTAACAAGCTGGGATCCTAGGAAACAATAAATGGTTAATCACGCATTCCATTGCTTTTGTGCCCTGTTAAGTTAGTTGTCCATGTTACCAACATAAAACTGTTCAAATCCCTTGAACAAACATCGTAATGCAATGCGACAATGATGAGCAATCAATCAATAAAGACTTGTGATTTTCCAAAATATGAGAAACAAAAAACGCACAAAATTGGCACTACAATCAAGGAAATTAACCAATCAGTAATAGAATGAAAGAACGTAGTATAGTTAGATCTTTACTGGCAAAAGTCTATACCCAGAACCCACTATCCATTGATAACTTTATCTACATAAGTGTATTTTCTGCTTTGAATTCCTTGTGTGCACCATCCACATGCATATTGTACCCATCTTAATATACCTAGAAATCAAGAAGTCAGTGTTACCCTTCAAAGGTTTTTTTTTTTTTTTTTTTTTTTTTTTTTTTTTGGTTCAAGAAAGTGTTTGAAGCAAGTCCACCTCTGCTTGATCTGCATTAAGGGAGAAAATGTCGACAGGAGCGCTGGTGCAGCCAACAGCTTTATTCTTTAATCTACCATTGGAGGAACCTTTTTGGTGATCAAGATAAATTACAATCACAGTAATATCATCATGAAAATGCCGCCGTATTCCCTTTTCAATTTTCTTTATGTCATTATATCTCATCTCTCTTTTCTTTGCAGCCTCCTGAATAGCAGCTCTCACCAATCTCTTAGCAATCCCCTGCAGGTATCAAAACAGCCCAAAGAATTTTCAAGCGAACAACAAAATCTGGACTGCTATAAATAACTCCATGCAATTGAACATCGATGAAATCTAATTTGTTTGCCAATGCGTTTGCTTAAAAGTTCAGATGTCAGGAATATCCTATTTTCAAAAGAATGTCCATGTTCAACAAAAATATGGTAGGATGCCAGGTGTAGATGAAACTGAGTTCTCGCATTTTCATGGGCTCAAACAAGCTTGTGGTGTGAAAAAGAAATTCAATTATTTCATTCCCAATAACCCCATCAAAGCTTAACTTGTATAACCTCAAAGAATAAGTTAGGTCCAAGATTGAAACTGTCAATAAGAGTTGCAAGAAAAAGTAAATGAAACATGGAAGTCAACGACGGCACTCACAGCTCTAGGATTTTTGAAAACAATCTCTACAGCAACTTCATCTGTCAATTGTTCCCAAAGACCATCTGAAGCAAAGATCAGGAACAAGTCTTCCCGCCTTAACTTTCTAATAAGAACTGAAGGTTCTGCTGTCATTACTGGCCGTTTCAAAGGAACAGGGTTACCAAATTGCTGAAAAATTGGGTCCCTGTTGAACTCTGGTTTCTTCAGATACACATCACCAATGGATCTGGACACCTGAAAAGGGTAAAAAGAAACAGGAAAGGTTTATTCCACTCTCTTCTACCACATGCCTTAAGATAGTGGATCAGCTCCAAAACTTTAGGAGGTAAGTAACAAAGGAGCACAATGCTTCAGTTCATTAACCAGAAGATCACAGTATGATGTTTCTAGTGTCCAGATAAATTAAATAAAAAAAAATGAAAAAAGAAAGAAAGTTTAAGACTCCCTGTAATTACATAATTATTGTTGTTAGGCCTCAGGGGTTTTCATGTACATCTCATGCATGGAAGACATACTGCTTCACTTGACTGCATGAAATGGTAGACCAGGAGGCAGAGCATAAGATTCCTGGAAGAGTATGAACGGAACCCTCAGACTAACTTTTTTAACTATAGTGTTTCCATCAAAGACAGATGCCTATCATAAAGCAAAAGCAAAAGATAAAGATGAGAGAACCGAGCATAAAATTGGATGCCTTTAGAATTGATCCATCCTCAGACCAATAACTTTATGTCAAACAAGCAATGCATACTAGTGTTTTGAAGACAGAGGCTATCCATGTAACTAAAAACAAACCTGGCAAGACATTCAAAAGCCCTCGAGAGGAGGAAGAAACATATTTGGCTTCTAAATGAATGAATGTATTATTCCCCAAAACAAACAACACTCAATCAGCCGACTTCTCATAACTAACAAGCAAAAACATGAACAAGAAAACCAGATCAGCAACAAGAAGCCATTGTACCTGGATTATGCCCTTAATCCTCCAAACTCCACGAGTATTGACTACAATATGTGAATCATCAGGATGAAGTGCCTCGACCTCCTTTCTCACCTCCTCCACAGCAACATTGTGATCAGTTGATAACCTTTCTGCCACTACCGCTTTTTTCTTATCCTCGTCAACTCTTCGGCCAAGAACTGCCCTGGAGTCCCCGAGATTTGCAACATATAACACATCATTTGAAATTGCACCAACCAAACAACATGACCCAACTGAAGCAATTTGCGGCTTCAATGGTAATGATCGCTTCACTAAATGACAAAATTCCTCTTCAGTTGCATTAAATGCCTTCTTTATCACATCTGCTGATAACCCACCATGCTCTGTAGCAAATTCTGCAATATAAACTAACATCTTAGATAGATGATGATGCATCTGTTGCCTAACGGCCAGTTCAGTCGACATCTTACCCAGCCAAATTTTTATTTTTATCACATATTCTCCGTTTCTATCCCAGCTGGCCCAAAACACAAACAAAAGCTAGAATTGAATAAATCCAGCTACCTGTAACATGTTCAGTTTAATGCAAGATTAACACTTTCAAAGTTTTCTACATCTTATCGTTTAAATACTAAAATTAACCCGCAAAAGCAAACCTAAACCTCTCTCATCGAATTTCTTTCTGTTGAGATAGAAAAGATATCAATACATTCTACTGCACTAGCACAAACAAGAGAAAGGTGATCAAAGAAAAGAAAGAACAAAATAAAAATTAAGATAACACGTGATTGATAAAATAAAAAATCTCCTTTTCTTTCTATACTTTGGAATATGGGTTTAAGAATTCATCCTCAAACCCACAAAGACTCAAGAGTCATTAACCAGTGAACCAACAGATTAAGAAAGCAAAAACCCCAAACAAATTCAGTGTTTATGAGAATCACCATGATCGTGATCATTACAATCAAGAAAACCCTAATTAAAACAAAACAACATGGCAAAACATCCTAATCAAAACAAACAAAAGAAAAAAACAATCAATACATAAGAAAAAGAGAGGAGAGAATTCTCACTATGCATGTAAGGAAACAAATGTTTATTAACAAATCGGGAAGCTTCCGGACCACCATGACCATCATAAACACCAACATAAGTAGCGGACGGAGACGTAAAAACCTGACTTTGATCTTCTAAATTAGAATTGGCTTGAACAACCGCAATTGAATAATCACCAGACGCATGTTGTTTCAAATCCGCATGCCACATCAATCCATCACCACCACCACCTGCTACCCGACCAAAACACCTCTCTAATGGTCTGTAGCACGATCTCAACATCCTCTGCTTTGACAAGTTTGAATGTTCTTGTTCTCGGTTTCTTTGGTTCTAGAATTTTGTGGTGGTGTCTTTTTTGCTTTTCCTTAATGGGTTTCTCCGTTTCTGTAAATAAATATTGGGTTTTTTCTTTTTCTTTTGTAAAAGAAGAAGGAAAAAAAGGACAGTGAAGGATACCGCGTGAAGAAGAAGGAGAAGAAGAAGAGTGAATGAGAACGCTTTTTTTGTTTTTGCTTTCAGTATACACTCCGCGTTAACTCTCTCTCTCTCTCCGTATCCATTTAAGCAACTTCCGGTTCTTTTCGATATTTTAACTTTTTTGAATTTTCTTGTTGGAGCTTTGCTTAAAATGGTTTTTAATGGTTAATTTTTTGTGTTCGAAACTTCTAGCCGACTTTGATTTTTAGAGTCTACAGAGTCTAAAAGTGAGATTCTTTTTTTCTTTTTTCTTTTTTCTTTTTTTAAATAGGAAATTAGAAGGGTCATTTTTATTGACTTTTGAGATAAAATTTTAGACTATGACCACAAAAGTTATTATAAAAAAAGACCCAACATTTTGGACCCAGATCTGATTACTGATTAGGGTTAGAGGATGACCAAGAAATTGAAACTAGAATTAGCACCAAATTTCTTGGAAGGGTCTCACATTTTTATTTTTATCCTATTCTATTTCTTTTCTAGTTCAACATAAGTCATAAATCTTAAGGAATTATCCTAGTGATCAAAGAAGTTTATTTAATTTTTTGATTTTTTAGATTCAAACTTTGAAGTCAATATGCAAAAAAATTTATTAAATTCTTCATCATACATCAAACTGATACGAAAAGTATCATCTTATTATCGTCTAGAGAGATATTTAGTTTTTATTGACATACAAATTAACTCGAAAATATTTTATCGTCGAAAAGAAGAGGAAAAAAAACTTATACATTCACAAAGTTTTTTTTCCTCAACAATTAAGGTATCCTCGAGTGTTGGTCAAAGCAATCTTAAGAACAAATAATTTATATCAATTCGATGCATTTTAAGAAAAATATTTATCTCGGATATTGGTCTTAAAATTTAAATTTAAAAATTAAGAAAAAATAAACCTCCTTAAATGTCAAATCAATCTCTTAAGGTGTCGTTTGATTATAAAAAATGAAAATGTAAAAATTGAAAAAAAAATTAGAGAATCGGTATGATATTGTCATTTTAATGTTGTGTTTGGAAAAAAATCAGAATAAAATTTAAAATTTTTAATATAAAAAAGATGATTAAAAAAATAATTTTATCAACTATGATGATAGTAAAAAATAACAAAAGTGATTGCGATAGTAGTTGTGATGAAAAAATAAAAAGTGGTAGTGGTAGTAACAATAATAGTATATTGATAGTAATAATATATTTAAAAAAAAAAAAACTGATGCCAAAACTATAAAAGGTGGCGATGGAAGACAAGTGACACTTGTTGTGGTATAATAAAAATAAGATAGTTAAACTATAAGTACATTAACATTCAATTTTTTTCAATCAAATATATAAACTTTAATTTTTTTGTTTGAGTACGTTAATTTTTTCAAAACTATCAATCAAGTACTTATGTCAGTTTTTTCATTAACTAATGACATGTTCATTATTCTTAGAATACCAAATTAAAATTTTTTTTATCAATGGAGTACATAAACTTTAATTTTTTTCGATTGAGTACGCTATTTTTTTCAAAATTGTCAATCAAATATTTCTCTCAATGTTTTCATTAATCAATGACATGTTCGAATACCAAATTACATTTTCTTTCTTTTATTGTAAGAAACTTTCTCCTTACATTATTCAATCATTTTAAAATTTGATAAAGAATTAAAACAAAAAAAGTTATTTTTAGTTATAAAAATCTCAAATTAAACTTATTTTGACTTGTATTTAAAACAAACAAAAAAGAAAAAAAAACAAAACAACTAGGTTTTGGGCATGAAAATTGAAAAAAACACAAACTTGATATTTTTTATTGAGAAGATTCATTTGTGTTTTTTTTTTTTTTTCGAGAAGATTCACTCTTAAACCTAACTGAATTTTTTTTTATTATTATTTTAACAACAACCTAAATGAGTTTAGTTTAAAGTTTTATAGATAAAAAAATAATATTTTTTAATTGTTTGTCAAATTTTAAAATTGTAAAATAATTTAGGGAGAAAATGTTTTTCAACAAGAAGAGGATACAATTATAATTTCATATATGAATACGTCATTAATTAACAAAAAAGTTGATGAAAGCACTTGATCGATAGTTTTTAAAAAGTTGATGTACTCAAACGAAAAAACTTAAAGTTCATGTATTTGATTGTGAAAAGATGTAAAATAATAATTTGGTATTTTGAAGAAAACAAATACATTATCGGTTAACAAAAAAATTGACAAAAGTACTTAATTTATAGTTTTTTTTAAAAAAACAATAGTGTACTCAAGCAAAAATCATTAAAATTCATGTATTTGATTGAAAAAAAATTAAAAATTACTGTATTTAAATCTAATAAAAATAATAATGGTAATAGAAAAAGAGTGGTTGCAAAATAATAATAATAATAATACTATATATATATATTTTTTTATCATTATTGTGGTATCACTATTGGTAGTGGGTCACTAGTGGAGGTTGCAATGGTGATAAACATAATATACATAATAAATAAATAAAATATATTATTATTTTTAAGAAAATAAATCTAATTCTCCTTTTTGTTTTTATTCCAAAAGAATAAAACTATATTTTCATTTATATTTTATATTTTTGTTTTATTTTTTTAATAAACACCTATAAAATAAGAATAAAACTTTTATTTCTATTATCGTTATTCTATTTCTTATTGTCAAAAAACACCAGGATTCTTTTCCAAAATTTTTATTAGATCGGAATTTTTTTATATGTATGTATAATTCGCGGCAATACCAACTAATGCAGGTTTTATAATAATACTACATTAGTGTTGAGGGCACGCACGACACATTAATTAGTCTATATGATCTTTGATATGTCTCGACACTTTATCGTAAATTTCTTTCTCATGACTTTTTTTTCTTTTTAAATTTGAATTTAAGATACAGGGATGAAACTTATTTATAATTACCCGAGCTTACCCAAGCCAAAGACTTCGGAGATAAATCAATTGAGTGGAATGTTAGTGGGAAATCCAACTGAACAATCCTCCAGTAAATTACACACGTCTAGAGTATTTGAAGTTTTAATTGCACTTTCACATTTCCTTCCACCACCACCACCACCATCACCCCTTTTTTCATTAACCTCAAAATAACTCAATAGTCTAACAAAGATTTCGAAGTTAAAATTATTTTATAGACTTCAAAAAATATGTTGCAAGTGAGAAAAAATGTTAAAAAACATATCTAATTTTAAATTATCAAATCAAAGATGAATAATATATAAAATTAAAAAAGAATCGTTTATCATCGTAAGATTTAAGTTTTTTAAATGAAATTCATTCTTTATTATTTAATTTTATATGTTATTAAAGTCTTGATCAATCAAATGATCATGAATTTAAATATTATTACTCTTATTTTTTATTTTAATTAAATAATTATTATCACTTGTGAAAGCATATTAGAAAGTAATCTAAAATATTTTTTGAAACTTCAAGATAGTTGTTTGACCTATGTAGATTCTATTTCCACTGCTATAACTTAATGCTGAAGTAACACGTCAAAAGAGTGTTTCATGCCATGGTAGACAAATGGGTCTATCATTTGATCACATATAATAAAGTCCAAATTTACTACCAACCAAATAAATTATTATATTGTTTCCCATAAGAAAATAATAATAATAATAATAATAATATATTGTCACTCTCAAAAGAACCACGTATATTCAATCCCCTTGAAGTATTGTCTGGCTCTAATTACCTGCTGGACATTCTTGTACTCAATCTAATTATACCTTTCATTTACTTCCAGGTTGCTAGTTATCATGTGATTCAAGCTGCCAACGCAAACAACTATTAATGGTCTCGCCACATTTCAATGACAAAATTAGATAACAGAGCATATAACATAAACAAACCTTTTATAGGAGACTTGCCATAGAAGACCAGCTGAATCAGAAAGTTAGACATTGACTGAGTCATTAAGGTAGGTAGCCATTGGATTTGATTTGGATACAGTTCGAGTTTCCTGCTCACTGTTTTTCTGCACATGGTTTTTGTCCTCAGTTCTCCTTGAAAATAAAGCATACGACCATAAATGTTGTATAACAGATGCCTAGTAAATGACGACAGAAAACATCAATTTGGTTTCCAATAATTCAAAACTCTTACCAGACAAAAACTAGCTTCCTTGAAGAATAATGCAGGGAGGACTAGAGCACTTGAAGTTGATCTAACTAACTTGTATTTCAGAATGGCAACCTGAGCGTGTTCTTAAGTTCCAGGAATGCTAAAAGAGAAAATCACTAACCAAGCTAGGAGAGAAAAGAAAAAAATAGTGCAAAACACTGTATTTGAACTTGAATGAGAGAAAAAAGTGGAGCCAATACAAACATATTGTTCAATTCATTAGCACATCAATCCATCACAATTAGATTCTTGAATTCATCCCTGCTTATTGCAGAGCTTAAAACTCTTCCACCTCTTCCACCTCTTCTCAGTCAAATTTTCCTCTAGCTGTGTGTAGGCATTTGTATAATAATAATCTCCCATCAAGAACATACTTTATAAGATTTCCCGAAAACCCCTTTTAATCATTGCTATCCCTCTATTGTGGTGATCCACTGGACTATCAATCACTTTATATCCAGATGGTACAGTTTTGTACCCTCTTCCTATAGTTCTTCCAGGGCTCTCTATAATCTGCTACCTATTTTTCCGTCACCGAATCACTAAAATCTTGATTTGTGAAAACAAAAAAATCTTCTTTACCATCCCATCAGAACTTAACCTTTCTGTCGTTACAGCCAGTAATGTATATCCGGTAGTGAGTTTTTAGGAACTTAATCCCTCGCTGCAATCCAGTTCTCTGTTACACTCGGATTTTGATGTAAGGTTGTCACCATTGATCATGCACAGCTTAGGGTGATCACTAAATGTGAAAATCTTTCTTTTCCATGGGTTAAAAGTAGCCTCAGAAATTAGTAGTCCCGTAGAGATACAAAATTCCTCCATAAATATTCTACAAGCCTATGCCAGTAGAGCTCTGAAAGTTCATACTTCTTGTTCATAAGAATGAATACTTGGTGAGGGAGCAGTATTCATTTCATCATCATCTGTCCATTTTCCATACTTATCCACAATCTTCAAGCATTGCTTGAATTTCTTCTTCTCATCAGGTGCCACAGCTACCTTCTTATATGCTTTCATGGCAACAAAACTAGAGTCCTGCCTTCTGACAGGAGCTTGATTAATGTCTTTGGATTTCTCATGGGCTTTGGCCAATGGAACAAGAACTTCTTTCTGCAATCGATTGCGAACTCTTTATGCATAATGAGCTTTACGAAGAGCAACAAGAACTTCTTTCATTAGACGATTTTCGAACCCCATAAAATAGTGAGCATTCTGAATATCAATGTACTCAGGATCTGAATAGAAAGGGAAAACTGTCTTTGCAACGCTTTCACAAATTAGAGTTCTCCTATCATAGAAACTATTGATTGAAGGACACCATTTTGCGGCCGTACTAATCTTTTCAATCTCACCCGGGTTCAAGAATTCTTATCAGACTTCAGCAAATCTCAAAAACATTTGCAACACAATTGTGCAAGTAAGGATAAGCTGAAACATTATTTCGGCGAAAAAAGACTGCACTTTCAGCCCAAAACATGTCTTTCTCCTTCCTCAAAACCCTCCTCTCTATATCATCATTCCACAACCAATGTGGATGCCTCTTCCACAACCAGTGTTGGGTGCTATTGGGCTTTCTAAACCCCAAAAGCTAACTCAAGAAATGGGACTTTTCATCACTCTTATAACCAAGCACCCAGCCCTTCTACAACCGATATGTGATAACTTTTGAGTACCCAAAACTTGCAAAGGCTGCAAGATTTGATGCAAGAACATAATGGTGGTACTTATGAAGCCGAAGAACTGAGTTAAAGAACGCATCTTTATTAGGTTTACCCTTGATGGTGGCTAACCCAATACAGCAAATGAGCTTGAGAGTGGTAGTTGGGTCTTCTTTCCAGGCACGGTCTAACCAGGGAGTTAGGGTTTCAGGGATTATATTGGGAGTGATTTTGAAGAAGACAAATTGGCAAGGGGTTAAGGTAGGAATCTCCATCTGAGGGTACCATACAGGGGCTTTTGTTTTTGGTTTTTGTTTGGAGGCAATGGCAGCTCTTGCAGTGTTGGTGGGTGGAGCAGGGTGGTAAATCTCTGGTGGGCCAATATTAGAAAGGAAGGAGCCATGGGAGTCAGGGGTTTTGGGTTTCGAAAACTGTTTTATTTGTGGTGGTGCCTACTGGTGCTAAGAGGCAGGAGGAAAATCAGTGAGAAAGGCAATGGAATGTTTTTATAGGCAGAGCGTTACTTGGGGACCAAGGACTTGCAGTTCGCTAAAAATGCCTAAAATGTTACTACTACTTAGGTCGGCACTCGTAATCAGCTCTAACTGATAGCTTATAAAATGGGTTTATTAGTGGGGAAAAAATTCCCATTGAGCCTTGAACTCTGTTAACATCATGTCCAAAATTTCTTGGCCATGGCCATGCCTAGTTCCAGATACAAATAATTCTTGGCCTCTTTGAAATTTTCAACCAAATTGCTTCCTTAATTTTATCAGAATTTATGTATCTCAGTATGGGAAAGGGGACGAGAAAGAACATTTGATTCTTCAGGTGTGATATTTGTGCTGTGTTGTCAAGCTAATAGTAAAACAACATGTCAAGGAATCAATTTCTCCCTTCCACTCCTTCCTCTTTACTGAAAGTAAAGCATTCTGTTCAACGAACTCCGCTGCATTTTCTTCTTCAAAAAGAAAAAAAAAAAAAAAATCAAATTCCAAAATTCTGTAGTTGAATCCATGACCATGGAAAAAACATAAAATGACTCAATTTTGTTTCTAAAATTCAAAACTATACGAGACGAAAACTAGCTTACTTGGCAAAATGTTGGAGCATTCAGATTCGCACGTTCTTTTCAGTTTCTCTGTTTCCGTAAGAGCTCTCTCTGCTTGGTCATATATCATCACTTTTAAACACGCTTCAGCCCATGGCAGGACTGAGCATGAGACAGTGCACGAACTTTCACTCTATATTCATATGTCTACTTTGTTTATTTTTGGATGATGGAAGAATTTCATAAATCAAATCATTTTGCAGGAGTATACCTGCTCCAAAACAAGTTTTTCCCTGCTGTAATATTTAAAAAGACAAAAGCAAGAAAGCAGGTATCAGAGGAACTTTTTATTTGATCTAACCAACCAAATCTGAAAAGGCCCAATTCTGGAAAATAACAGCAAACTCTGGCTTATGCAAAGCTTCTATGTCCAGGTAGAAAGGCAATCGTAAAGCTTCAGTTCGTCTCTTAACTAGTCAAAGAATTGTCATGGCTTTTTGAGAACGCAAGTTCAAGACTCTTTATCATCCCATTAAACACGCAATGGCCTCTAAATATTTCTTCAAAAACATTGAGGACAATAATCACTAAAGCATCTGATGTCATACTCAATTTACTGGCTTGAGATCAAAGCATCAGATCACTGACGAATAAGTTTCAAGGACCTTTTTCTCTCTATATTTTTTAGCATGAAGAACTTAATTGTAAATTCTAAGAAAACCAAAATGATTTCATTAATTTGTTTTCTCTTGTCAAGAATTCAACTGTAGGATTATACATTAACAACAGGATTCTTTTGACACAAAGCCAAACATAAGAGCAAGACTACCATCAGTTAACTTCCGTATATTCGAGAAGTTGAACTTGATCAAGAGATTTGCAGAAAAATATGGACGTACAACTGACTGTAACTCCCCCACACGCCCCAATAGTTAGCAGATGCCTGTTGAAATCCGAAGTCATCAAAAACAAATATCTTTCGCCGCATCTTCTCTTGGCTTATATTTTCTGTAACAGCAAATCCCAATGTTTGAACAGACATCATCTGAATATTCACATTTCTACCATACTTCAATTGCCTCGTGAGCCCAATCTTGGGTTGAAGATTGCACCTTTCAATCTTGCAAAGCGTAGGATAATCAGTACTATTCACAATCTTTCCCTTCCAGGGTTCTTCTTCTGAAATTCATAGCCCATTGATACACAAATGTCCTTCTGTGTTTTAGTCATGTCTCTTGATATCCCACACATCGCCAAACAGTTTATCAGGCTTCCTTTCTTTCGTACATAGTGAACAAGTTTGTCCATTGAGGAAGCAACAGTTACCTTTTCTTTCCTGTTCATGCTGCAATCTCAGCATAAACCTTAAAACTTTTTACTGTAATCCACAGCCGAAAGCCCTGAATACATTTTCTTCACAGTGGTTGACACAACAGGCCTGTGTGCGATTGGATCACACCTTCTTATACTCACAGGGGCTTTACGAAGAGGAATAGGAACTTCTTTCATCAGGCTATTTCGAACCCTACAAACTTAGTGAGCATTTTCAATATCAATGTACGCAGGATCTGAATCGAAAGGGAAAACTGTCTTCGCAATGCTTTCACAAATTAGAGTTCTCCTACCATAGAAACTATTGATAGAGGGACATCATCTTGAGCAACTCTGTAAAAACAGCTGCAATGCGATTGTGCAAGTATTAATATCTTGAAACATTGTGAAAAAGAACTGCAATTCTAGCCCAAGACAAATTTTTCCCTTCATCAAAACCCTCCTCTTCGCTTTATCCACCTCAGTCTAAAATTAGTTTTTTAAAAAAATTAATTATATATATGCCTACATAACACTAATTATTTATAATTTTTTTATATATTCTAAAAATAATATTTTTAAATAAAATAATTGAAATATACATCATTAATTTTATTATAAATTAATTATATATTTGTACTCATAGCCCTAGTTATTTGTTATTTATTCTTTTTTATGTTCTAAAATCAATATTTTTTAAATAAAATAATTGAAATAATATTTTAAAAAACCTTTCAATTATTCAAATACAACTTTTTATGTTAATATTATTGACTATTTTATTAATAAATATATATAAACTAAAATATTTTACTCCGTAAATAAATTTGATTTATATTAATTATGAGAAATAAGATTTTTATCCATATTACACCATAAGAATCATTAACCTTACATACATAACGATTATCTAATCTCAGCATAGCACAAGTATCTAACTCGTTAATAACTAGATTACCTTTTGGGGGAAATTATAAATTTGAAACATGCCGAATTATATCATAATCTTTCATCGAAGTAGGCTAGGAAGGGAAGAAGAAGAAACGAACATCTTTGTTGCATGTGATGCTGTGTCCTCAAATTAGTATTGAAAACATGGCAAAGCTTCAATAATGTTTCCCCTTCCATTCCTCTATGCTAAAAGTAACATGAAGAATTTATTCAATTCAACTCCTCTGAATTTCATTAATCAAGAAAATCAAAATACTTGAAAAAATTATTGCAGTTGAATTCACCATAATGAAACAGACTGATTCCACATGGATGATAGTAAATTACGTTGCGTCCTTGCTTCTTTTTGTTGTCATGAAATGTAAGTCTCCACATAAAATCTTATATCCTTTTGATTATATCTCCCCATGATACAACAGGAAAATCTATCCATGGGAGCATTCAACGAAAATTGACAGAGCGTATTGAAAATCTGAAATCAAGGAATATATAAACAAGACTCCAAACAGAAAATACTGAACGAGGATTGCGGAACAAGACCAAGGATAGCATGAACAACACACAAACCCAAACATCAAAACAACATTGATGACATTCGGTCAAAGTTATGAACTTTGAACTACATGTCCACAGTGTAAGAGAAGCCGCAGAGGAAGAAACATGAAACCTCTCAGAAGGACTTCATGTTCATTTTATTCTGAGTCATTACTTACAACTATATCTCTTCGACAATATGGGCAGTCTCCACAAGTTCGGACCCAAGGATCCAAGCAAGCAGAGTGGAATCTATGCTCACATGGCAAGCGAATAAGCTCATCTCCTTCTGTAAAACTCTCGAGACATATACTACAATCCCATGAAACTTGAGATACACCTCCTTCGATACCCTTCTCTAAGTTGCTAAATACCTCTGATTGCAAACAGTAAAGGGCATCTTGAGTTAGACCAGGTGGTTTCTTCTTGTGTGATTCCTGCACAGTGTGAAGTCTTTCTGTTTGAAAGGTTGAGTCATTGAAAGGAGAACCTCCAGCAAAAATCCCTGTAGAAATATCAGTTCCCCAGTCCCCTGCATCAACAACCCTCAATTCATCGCTGAGCGTATACTCCCTGTCATGGATGGCAAAAGAAGCTCGGCCCCTTTGCCTAAATGAAGCCAAAATAAACAAGTCAGTACCTTAAGTTAATTCCATGACCAAGGGTTTGGAGATAACAAAAAAAAAATGCTTGCATTAGCAAAGAAAATCACGTCATTGTGTTTCTCCCGATCTACATTCTTATGGTAACATATGACACAATATTGCAGGCATCTCCAAGTAACAAAACGACAAGCAATAGTGGTAGTTGGGGGTGGCATAGGAAATGGGACCAAAAGCAGCAGCCACAAGGATCATGATGGTAACAGCGCATACTTGATAGGATAGCATCAACGCGTGACAAATGCCAAAGGGTATCATTCGCATTGATGGCTGCCAATTTGTGGTAGGTCCAAGTTCCACAATGTATGCATAACTCTGATCATTATATAGGGGAGGCAACAGGGCAACTAAATCACCTGTTTCCAGAAAGGGTTACTCCTCTTAACCTTTCGAGAAGCCTTGCCCTTGCAAGTAGCACAGCTCCAGGAAGTCTCTCATTTCCATTCACTCTAGGGCGTCTTGTGCTGCTTAAAGTTTCAGTGCTGTGATTGTTGCTTGGAACAAACTGGCTGGTACCTTGATCAGGTCGAGCTGAAGCTCGTTCCTGTGCAAGCCAAATGCAACAGAAGAATGAGCAAAAGTAAGTACACAAAGGTCAATGAGAAACCAGTCATGATAGACCCAACAAAACAAACAACGGGAAATATTAGTGAAACTCTATCGGTCCAATTGATTTAAATACAATCGAGAATAGATAAGAATACACATATGTTAGCCAAATGGCCCAATGTCGAGGGGCAGTGCAACAACATACAAGTCACACACCTTTATCAGTTCACGATTAAGATATCTACAATCTAACATACTACTCATTATTTCAGACGCTCCCCCAGATTATGGCTTGAGAATAAAACGGGGGCAACCCATGAAAATAGCAAAAACTCAAAAGCTTTCATTTTCATGCAGCTATGGATTACAATTTATCCAGTTTCCAGACGAAAATGTGAGCTGTTTCAACATCGTGAATAGAGAATCTTGCATTCTCATCTACTAGTAACGACACAAAAATCACCCCATGCTTCCTCAATTAAAGCCGATGATACAACTGATTTTCTATTTTGGGCTAAAATTTGTGTTATTTCCATAGCAGGTTTTGACAAATCCAGACCACCATCAGTAAATATATCATAAATAAAATAAACTTCAACTTAAATATCCACCTAAAACACATCAAATTGACCAAAAAAAAGTTAGCTTTCTATGAGTAGAAATTTTACTTATTGCATTATTTACTAGTGCTAAATAAATATTATAATTTTAAATCAAGTAACTAAAGCAATCAAATAATTAAAGATATAGTTTTTGAACTCTCGTTCGAAACAAAAAATTATATATATGTATATCAGTTGCTTACGGCAGGGAGAGAGGATAACCGATGGCCCGGGTGCCGCACATGGGGAGACCTACGAAGTGGATCACAGCCGTCCAAATCATGACGATGATTATGATTATGGGGATGGCGGCGATTGTAATTTTGACAAAAACTACGGTCAGAAGTAGAAGGCTCGGGCCCTAGATCGGTATTGGCTCGGCTCACTCGCGACCTCCTTTGATAAAATAACTCCGATGCGCTCGTCATGCACCACGAAGCTCACGATCCGGTTTATTTTTTGACACAAAAACGGCAGCACAAAAGGGAAGTTAAGAAAGAAAGAACTGGAGAAAAAAATAAAAACAAAACTTCAGAGGGATTTAGGAAGAGAGGGGGAGCGATCGTAGAAACGCGGGAGATACTTTTGCCAGTGACCGACAGGGCTGGGAAGTTGGGAAGAGAGTTTTTTGTTTACTTCGAAGAAACGCTGGGCAGGAGATAAAACGAAAGTGAAATTGATTCGTGGTGATAGAATATTGGGACTAGGTTAAAAACAATCCCTTAACTATGGTAGAGATTTCAATTCAGCTTCCAAACTGTTACTTTTTTGTGGTTTACCATCTTGCTCTGTAGGCTTCACTAATGCCAACTTGGCCGTATGCTTTGGTTTTTTACAATTCTCTACTATCCATTCATGCATTCATAATAACACCAAAACAAATGACTTACCGATTACAACGTCAGTTTGCTGGCACTTTCTTCTCACTATACTCTCTTTCTTTAAGTCCTACGAAATGTTGAATCCTTTCATATCCTTCCTTCTCTTCTTTGTTATTTGCTTTTTTCTTGTTATTGTTCACTTATACGTCTTTCTATCTTCATTATTTGTTTTATTCATCTTTTCTTCTTGCTATAGTTTGTCTATTTCTCAAATTTAATTTATTTTCAATTACTACTTTCTCCTCTTCAAAGTTTACTCGTTTCTTTTTGGTTTTACTTCCATGTAATATTATCCTATATACTAAACCAAAATGATTTTTTTGCTACGATTAAATATCACTTGTTCATTTAAAAATTATAATTATTTTTTATCATAAAACAAATTATTAAACTGAAATAATTTTTCTATATGATTTTATATATTTTATCCAATCACGTACGTAACGCGGGTAAAAAATCTAATTTCTTCTATAGTTTCATTAGAAAAATTATAAATGATTTTTTTAATAAATTTACTTTGGTGTGTGTTTTTGTAAATGATTTGAGATTGGTAATATAATTAAGTTAGGACAATAAATCTATTTCAATTAACTTTCAATCATCTTAACTAATAGAATGGATAAATTTATGTAATTGTGATAAAATCATATGATTTTCTAAAACATACAAAAATCAATAAAATTATGTCAATGATTATTAATATTATTGTAAAATATCTTTACTTTGAAGATTTAAAACTTCTTCCATAATAGATAGAATAAATAGCTTTAAATTTTTTTTAAAAAAAATGTTCTCCTTATACAAGTTTCGCACAAATAATAAATAAAACATTTAAGGTGCCAACTTTTACTTGAATGCTAACTATCACTTCTTTAATTAGGGGAATAAGCAGTGATCTTCGTACTTTACATGTATCAATGAATCAATGTCCTAGTTTCAACTGCATATAAAACTCTATGTTTTACCTTTTCTTCTCATAGGCTTTAGTTTGTTTTTCTAAGGATTATTGTGTTTGGTTTTTCGTTTTTACAATATCCATTTATCAATAAAAAAATATTCCATGATTTTCTTTTTTAAATATATATATATATATAGTCAAATTAACTTGATCTCAACCCTTGAAAATTAGATTAATGATATTGTTGGATTCTAAAACTAATAGAAAACGATCGCATTTATTCCATCCATCACACAAAGAGCTTCGTTTATGTAGAGCGAATTAGATCTCCAGCCCTGCACAAAAGCAGGCAGCCAAAATATAATTATGTGTCTAGCAAGTGCAAATTAGCAAAATTACAGTGGTAAAATCAAAAGAATATAAAGTTTAAGGACTGGGTAAAAACAAGCATCATAGCTGGTGGCTTTATTTGTAATTAGTGCTAGAATTCTAACACACGACGAAAAGGGAAACAAAGCACTCGCTTTATGAAGTGGACAGCTGTTAAGCCAGCAGAAGCAATGATGCGGGGCGGTGGTTTGGAATCCAAGGGAGGTTCGATTATATATTACTCTCTGCGTCTCAAAAGAAATGAAATATACTGAATTTCTATTTATATCTATTTCAAAATATCTATCAATTTAAAATTTTAAATAAAAAAATATTTTCTATCTATACATACAGATATATTTAATATTAAAATCATTATTCTTATCAAAAAATTATTGTATATCGAAATTTTAAAAGTAAAATATTTTATTTATATATTATTTTTTATAATTGTTTAAACTTTATAATGAATTAATTTAATATTTTTTATTATATTTATCATTTTAATTATAGAAAATTTTTCTCTTTCTACTAAAATATCTTTTCGTTAGCATGATAAAATATGATAACTAATCATTTTTATAAAAAAATTTTAAAAATAATTAAAAATACTCATACGATATAATAAAAAATAATTTTTTAAAACTATTTTAAAAATCAAAAGAAATAATTTTTTTAAGACTACTTTACGTCCTGGGAATATGATGATTAGTTTTTACCTTTCGTTCTTATTTATTCTTTTAAATCTATCCAAATGAAAGATTCTTTAAAAAAAACGAAAAAACAAAAAGATCTCAGGAAAAGAAAAATGCAGCAACAAAGATATCTAAAAGAGAGAGAAGACAAAAAGGAAACAACGCTTTCCCGTGATGATCGGCGAGTATAACTTTTGACTCTCTGACTTCATTTAAATTCTGGAGTTTGACTAAAAAAACTAGGTGTTGCCCTAGTTGAGGTCTGTTCTTACGTAACTTTAACCCTTGTTCGGATAATTCCTCTTGAGAGGAAAGAAGAGAAAGAAAAAAATAAAAAAAAGAAAAGAGAGAGGAAAGAAAATTATTTTTCACTTGTTGTTTGGATAGGAGTGGAAAAGAAAGAAAAAATATATTTTTCTTATTTAGATAATTATAAGAAAAGAAAAAGAAAATATATTATTGAATATTTACTATAATACTCTTATGTTTATATTTATATATTTAAATACTTATAATAAATTTGTATGAATATTTTTTTCATAAAAATAACACAAATGATAATAAAATAAACAATATTTTGTTTCCTTTGGAAACTTCTCAATACTTAATAGTAATGTTAAAATAAACAATATTTTTATATTCATTTCAATTGTAGTTAATAAATTTATTAGAATAAGTCTCTATCATTATGATTAATAATTACTAATTATATTTACAATACAAAAGAAATCACTTCGTGGCCCCGCGAGGTGACGATCCTTATCACCTCGTGGCACACAAAGACATGGCTCGATTACTCACTCTCCTTATTCGCTTGTCTCATCACTTCCATCTTCTACTAGTACCGGACAATCGCTACTTGCGACTCAAACTCATATCCAACGCCTCTGCGAAAATGAATTCATAACCTTCGGTTGCGATCGAAGAGCCGCCGTTTCGGACGATGGTTGGTGGGGGAAAAGGAGGTGGTCGGCGACGAGAGTGTGAGGAGCTATGCTTTTTGGGATAAATTCGGAGATTGGGTATTTGTTGATGTTGGCCGTCATGTAGTTTAATGCGGGGGTGTTCTTGGTGATTGTTTTAGGATTGGCAATTGGGTATTTGTTGTTTAGAAGTGAAGATGAGAATTTGATGATTCTTGACAATCCTTGTGCTTGTGCTTAGACGATAAATAAAATAAAATTATCGTATAATTTGTAAGAAAAAAATATTAAATTTATCCTCCTAATGGTGTGTATTTTTTTTATCGAAATTTCTATTTTTTCAACTGTTCTTTTGGGTAATTAAATTTATCATTTTTTTGCTCTCTCTTCGCCGCCCCCCTCGTGGCGCCCCAAAACCGACGCACATGACCCATTCGCTTCACGCGCGGGAAGGCAAGGTGCGGAGCGATTCATGAGACCACGATGGTGTGGAGCGGCCGTGACACGAAGTGTCGCCTTACATAGTTGGGATTCGAGTGAGAAAAGGAGAGGGACGATGAGGCGGATGGAGGGCAAAAATGAGAATGAGAAATTTTTTGATGATTTCTCGGGTTTCTTCTCCCGTTTTCCTCCCAATTTTAGGAGGAAAATGAGTCCCACCATTTATAGGTTTATTTAATATTTTTTTCTTTCCACTCGCTTTCCTCTCGCAATCCAAACGGAGGAAAATTTTCATTTACATCCCATTTTCTTTCATCTCCCCTGCTTTCATCCCTATTCAAACAGGGGGTTAGTCACGTTGAGTGTTAGTTGTTGACCTAGTGAGAGGTGGAAAAGGATTGTTCGGGGAGAAAATTTTGGATTTATGCTTTTTTCTTATTCTTCGGACCCATAATTTATTTTCCCTCTTTTTTCCATCATTTATTATTATATTTAATTTAAATTAACTAGGACATCACTAGATTTTTTACCCGCATTATGCTGTAGGTAAGATAAAATATATAAAATTATTTAGAAAAATTATTTTAATTTGATAGTATGTTTTATGATGTAAATGTATAAAAATATATAAAATCAAAGATGAAAAAAATACTAAAATAAAATGAGATCAAATTACAATACCATTAAAGTTTGAAATTAAAAAATATATATATTGTATAAAAAATTAAGGATCATATAATTTTAAATTAATCGGATGAGAAAAGAATGAATAATATTAAAATAAATAAATAACTATCATTAAATGTAATTTTAAATTAATTGGATAAGAATTTGAAAAAAAATGACAAATTAAAGTTATAGATTTAAAATAATAAAAATAATAAAAAAATTTAAAAAATGGCTAAATCATAATAAAATTAATATAATTAGATATATACTCTCTCTCTCTCTCTCTCGCTCTCTCTCTATATATATATATATATATAGGGGGAGAAGTGCTCGGTTGGCTTGTGCAACAAGGTCGCACAAAATATTTTTTTGTTTAAAAAAATTAATTGAGGGAGGCCGGCGTGGTTAGCTCGCCATTGCGAGCCCGAACGCTAGGCTTACCCGCCCAGCAAAAAAAAAAACTCCGTAACTTTCAACGAACCGGAGATAGTCAAAAGTTCGTCGAAAAATCGAAGGTCAACTTTCGGATCCTTAAAAATTGAATTCCGACATCATTTTCTTCCTTCAACAACTCTAAACGACCGTAATAAAATCAATAAACACATCTAAAACCTTAAAAATTATTTTAATACACACAAAAATAAAGAAAAATACAAAATCATTTTTTTTCTTGTTTTGGCTCCGATCTACCTCCTCTAACTTGTTTAATGGCTTGAAATCATCATGGACAAACTCATCTCTCAAAGATAAACAAATTTAGTGGATTTTCGCCGACCAAAGTGGCCTAAATAAGGTTGGTTGGCGATCTCTCTCTCCTCCTGTCTCCCTCTTCCTCTTAGCTTTCTCTCTCCACCCAAGGATCAAAATGGATGAGTAAATGAATATGTGGATTGAAATATGCTTTCGAAAATATCAAGGATCAAAGTGTAAAAAAAATTTATAAATAGTGAAATGCATAATGAAATGTGAGACGGTGAATAAAAAATTATGAGAATGTGAGCGAGTACTTTAAATAGTAATGCTACGAGTAACCGATGATTTTTCTTTAGTGTTTTAGTTAATTATACATAATTTTTACAAAGCAACGAATATCCTTAATACTTCACTATCGACCATTTCTTGTAACCTTAAAATTTATATCTGATTTTTAACTCCCAACCATACCCAACTTTCAATCGTTTTTTTATTTTTTTTAATATGCATTATATATGACCTGGTTCTGGCTAATTAGTATCCAAATAATAAGAAAGAAACATGTGTTGACCGTCTTCATCTCATTAAGAGTACAATAGTAATAAATTCTCATAAATACTAAAGGTCTTATTAAATAAACTTTATTTTAAGATTGATGGTAAAAAAATATATTTTCATGATAATATTTAAGTTGACGTGTTAGTATTCTATTGCCCATTACATAAAAGATCAAGGTATTTTATTTATTTTTGCGATTCTTTTACAAATCTTAAGCGGATGAGAGTTGGGATCGAGTAAATTAAAGATTATATATGTGTGTGTGTGTGTCTTTGTCTAGTGCCAAATGGTGAAATAAAATGTTGATTTGAGCTTCCGAAATCCAAACTGTTGAATTTTCTAATCAATTTTCAACTCTAACAAAATACGTACACCGTTGCCAATTTCGTAAGGAAAATTAACAAGAGGGACGAGCTAGTTAAGCCAATAAAAATATCGAGAGAAACTAATAAAATTCCGAAGATTGGCGACTGATTCGTGAGTTTCTAAATTGGTCGGGACCTGATTTACAGTTGCCCTTGAAACTTTTCTTATTCAATATTATCTGATGGACACGCTTGAAATGAAGGAGTTCGTTTTGAGACAAGTTATGGGGTTTAGAAATGAGGAATTTTAGATAAGGTTGGTTGCCTGAAAGAATAAGTTCTTTGATAGGCCCTGCCATAATTATGTTCACATACTTTCGTTGGCAGTTGCCACCATTAACTTTATAGCATCAGCATTCGCATACCAACCAAGAAATTCAGCAATACCGACAAGTCAATTCAAGTAGATGATGGTAGGTTACTGGTTACCTAGTTTAGACGGTAGAATCTACTTCAATTCTTTCAACTAAACATAATTAATTCTAATTCATTTTTCTTGCTCAATATTTTTTTATATATTATATGTAGTATGGTATTCTTCAAGTAGGTTTTGTATCATGGAAATTAAATTCATCACTCAAGACTATATCAACAATCATGAAGTAAGATGCATTGATATCTATTAATAGGAATATTGCATGAGTGCAGCAACAACGAAACTATTCGAGAAAAAGAAAAGGGAAGCATAATTTTTTTATTTTTTATTTTTGGATATGTGCCATTATTCAATTAATCAACAACCTTCAACGGCACCAGGAGGATATTTGTAGTATTATATAGTTCTTGCATATGCAGGCAAGTAATACTAACTTTCAGGGCCACGTACAACAGCTAGCGTTGATCATTATTTATTTCTTAAGTTTTCATCTCATGGTTAGCATGTAACTGAAATGAAGCCTTGTTAACTAGCTCAATATAGATTGGTAGGCAAGTAATGCTCATGGGGTGTATCCGGTTCTGGTTTCTCAACGCCATCAACATTCCTTAGCCAATAAGTCTGATTGAATGAAGCTGAATTCTCTGGAATATCATCCATCACCCATTCGTGGCCTTTTGGAAAGTAAATTCCAGTGCGAGGATGAGGTACCCAATCCTCCATCTTGCTATCTTTGATGGAGTTCCTTGATTTTTCTGGCCGAGGTACTGCCGGAGGACTGCTGAAATGGCACTGGAGTACTGGCCTGGTTTCCCTGCACGAGATGTCATACCTGAAATCGTTATCAGGGCAAAATTTGGAAACACAAAACATGTGCACTCACTAAAACATATATGTTGACACAGATCAAATTAAATGCAGATCGCTAGATCAGTGCACAAATTAAAGCTCATCATTAGCAAAATAAATAATAACACTACTGATTGTGCATTGAATGAAATGACAGATAACTTCAGGTATTTGTCAAAGTAGAGCCCACGATCAAAAGTAATAATTAAGAAGCCAACAGCATTACCTAAGCATTAGCATCTTTGTTTTTGAAATCGCAGCTCTAGCCATATGATCACTAATGACGCAAGTACGGGAGCCTATGATTGCTAGTTGGTTATAGTACTGCTGCAAGGGCAGATTAAAGGTTTATGGATTTGAAGGTCCAAGGTCCTTTATATAAAAGTCTAGTTAGGCACGAATGATACTGATGGAATGCAACCATGGAGACATAAGTACGTATAATGTTAGTGATGTTTTGTCATAATATACGTAGGAATAAGTTCCTTTGTACGTCTGGTAGTGAAGGGTTTACATAAAGCAAAAGTGCTTGGGCACAAAAAAAAAAGTTTGCATTTAAGAAAAACAATATGGGTACATGATACAAGTCTGTGGTTCTAATTAAAATCATCCCCATTCATAAATTGCTTAAACAGATGAGTATCGAATGGATTTGATTATGATAGCATTTTTAACTTCAACATCTTATTTTAGCAATTTGGAATTTATGATTTTTTTTCAAAAAAAAAAAATGTAAAGAGTGGTGGTTAATTGGTTGTGGTTTGTTCCTTTAATTATACGTGGCAAAATATGATGGGGCAGAAATAGAATGCATCAGATAGCTGTCGAAGAAATCAGGAAATGATTGCGGATGGGTTGGGATTTGCTAAAGGTTTGAATATTTGGGCATTACCCAGAGTTTGATCCAAGAGCAATAGCCCATTCGCTTTGAAAACATAAAGGTTCATAATTTCGAAATATAAACATTCTATTGTGCGGCTAACTTTCTTTGCCTTTCTATATCAATCCAAGCCTGGTCGGGCTTGGCAGTGGCTCCCTGTGTCCTGCAAAGGTCTAAGGGTCCACAGGTTCGAATTCTCTCGAGGACTCGCAGCTTTCAGCCCCTCCCCTCCTGGTTTTCTGAAACATAAAGGTTCATAATTTCAAAATCATGCCATTTTGTATGCAAGTCCAAATTTTATTATCCATTCGGCTGACAAAAACACTGTCCCGTGTTCTACTTCGGACGACAATTTGCCCCATCCCACCCGTCTCGATTTTCTCGGATCAACGTAGAGATTATCCGCGTTGATCAGAAAACGAGGCAGGGTCTTACCTCGCCTCAATTATCCTGTTTGCCTCTAAATTTTTTTCATTAAAATTATAACTATATTCTATATAAAATTTATAGTTAGTAATTTTTAAGATTTATTTTTTATATGAATTATTTATTTTTTTATTATAATTTAAAATTTGATAATAAAATGAAAAAAATATATATCTTATTTATCCCGTCAATGCCCCATCTTCGTCTCCATTTGAGGTGACGATCATATGCAAAATTTTGTCCCATTAGAAACACGGGATGAATATAAAGCAAAACTTTTTAGGAGTGAGGCTGGATGGGGACGGGGATGTAGATTCCGCCTCGCCCCGTTGCCATCCCTATGTTTACAGGCCCCATTGCCTTCTTTATGGTAAAACATAGCCATACAGGTCACATCGTTTGAAACGCGACTTTTACAAATGTTGATTTGTTAATTATTGCCATGAAGAAGACGTTGTAACTGATTACATGTAACGCATCAAAAATGAGTTTGATTCGTTGTAAATTAGTGGGTAAATGAGCTGTATTATTAAACCTTATCAATAGAATATCCAAAACTACCAATTTGTTTATTTTTTTCTAATCAAATGTATTATCTTTAGCTAATAATTATTATTTAAGTAAATCAGATTGCATATAATTTTTTTCTAATCAATTATTTTTATTAACTTTCATTAATTTTATATTGATGTAATCGTTAACTGCACACGTGATAGACTCTAATATTATATATATAATTTTTTTCCAATTTAAATGTATAAACTTTAATATTTGTTATTTAAGTGTACAAACTTATAATTTTTTTCAATTGAATGATTTTGCTAACTCTATGGTAATATGTATGTTAAGTGCATATATAAAACCGTAATGTGGGCTTATTGTCAAGACACGTGACAATTAAAAAAACAAAAAAACGATTCATTCTCATTTTCAAACATCAACAATAAAAGCAAATAAATTACACAATGCAATAAGATATTTATAACATTTCCATAAAAAAATAATTAAAAAACAAATTACTTAAATATATCCGGATGTAAGAAAAGAATTGAAAATTAAAATATAAAAACTTAGTTGTGTTTATTAATTAAAACAATGATTCATTCTCATTCTCAATAGAAAAGCTAAAAATGATGGTTGTTTGGAAAATGATAATATGAAATTGAGTTTCAATTTAGAATGAAGGATAACCTAAATTTGGATTGGATAAGATGTATCGATTAAAAAAATTTATTGTTTAATTTTATATATTTATTGGTTGATTTGTTTTCATTTTTGTAGTAATAATTTTTACACAAACATTTGATAATGTGTCTCTTCCATCATAGTGCTACATGTATACTCAATGAACACATCAATCTTTAATTACTGGAATCACTCAAATAGAAAAAAAATATAAATTAGTATACTTGAATAGTAAAAATCAAAATCTACACACTTAAATAAAAAAAAAAAACTTGATAAGTTTGTACCCAAAAAAACAAAAATTGACAATGGGGCCCATGGGTGTAGTTAACAGTCATCCAGCTTGAAATTAATGAAAATTAACGAAAATATTTTATTAGAAAAAAAAATTACAATTTGGTCTATTCAAATAATAATAAAAAAAAGAATACACACTTAATTAAAAAATTAATAAGTTGGTAAACTAAAAATATAATTAAGTCTCTATTAAATACCGATCTTTTCCATTTAATTATAAGATTTTTTATTTTAAAAAATCTAACTAGAAACAATTATATGATTTTTACTCTAAAAAAAAAAAATCATAACAAACAAGGATAACGAATAGTTATCACACCGCCAAGCTGATTTAAATCTACAAAAAAAAAAAAAAAAAAAAAGAAAAGGAAAAGATTGACCTTAATGAAAATTACCAACAACAACTGTGTAACTTTTTATAGAATATTAAGTTTTCAGATTTCTTTTCCATGTAGAGGAGTATAACTTTATAGATTAAATTATAATTAGTTTATTTAGTCTTGCAAAATGATTTAAATAGTCTTTTAGTTTTAAAAACTAACTAATTAATCTTTTTAGTTAATTTCATATTTTTTTTCAATTTAAAAAATATAAAAAGATAAATAATATGAAAAAATTGATAAAAAAAACATATTTTTGAAATAGAGTAATACTCTACTCTAATTTTATAGTTAAGAGTATTAAATTAAACATAGTGATAAACGACTAACTAATTAATTTTTAAAATAATGGGATAATAATTTATAATTTATTCTAACTTTATAACGTAGCATTAAAAAAATAAAAAATAAAAATTCTTCCCGACCAAAAAGGCAAAAAGACTCTTTCTTTTTTTGTTGATTAAGACAAGATGTCATTTCTATTGTCAAAAGTTGAATCATTAACCAGCAAATCAAATTCAAAGAGACCAAAAATCCAACATTGAACTTCACTTGTACTAATTTTTATTTATTGCAGTAAAAATTAATTTTATTTCCTGCAGTAAGCCAGTAACCAGACGTTTTGCTGCCCCGTGACGTCAAAGCTAAGAAAAAAGAATTCCTTCTCCCGCCATTAACGCGCTTGCCTCTTTGTATAAAAACACACACACAACCAATCGCAAAATCGAACTTTTATTTTTCAAGATCCACTGACCACAACAAAAGAAATAAAAATCAACAAGATTCATAAATGAAAATCAAAACGAAACGATCAAAAAGAAAGCTGGGGTTCCCAGCTGCGATAATTCTTTGTTCTTTGTTCTTTCTTGCCGGTTTCTACAGTTCCACTTTCATAGCTCACGTGTGTTTCTTTCTCTATGCATGCATTGATTGTGCGCCATGATTAATTATTCTGATTAGAGGGTGATTATGTGTTTAATTGTGGTCTTGCAGGATGTACCTGTTATTAGACCGAGGTTAAGAAAGCTTGAAGTAGCTGAAGGGGATCGTGATACGATGCCTAATGGGGTTACTGGAGAAGCTTTTATTGAATCCATTCCTTTTCAGGTAATTTAAGTTTGATAGTTTTGGGGTTTTTGGGTAAGAGCTAGATTGGGGATTTATTGGGGAGTTGACTTAAGATCAATCTAGGTTATTATAGTTTGATGTGAGATGGATTTGTTTTAATTTTCATTGGATCCTAGTTTTTTGATAACTTGTTTAGAACTAGCTAGCTTGATTAATGCCAAGGAGGAAATTGATTTTGTTATTATTTGTTGAAATGATGACCCATAGGATTATTCAAATGAAAATATTGAACTATTGAAAGATTTGTGGCTCTTTGGAGATGGTGTTGTTGGGTAAGAAATAAAACAGAAACTGATGCATTGAAAGGCGAAGAAGATTTTCCATCTTGTAATAAACCAATGTTTTTGCGAGTGAGGGAATGAATTGGTTGTTATTGTTTTGTGCTGATATCGGAATGCTTTGAATGATGTGAATATGTAATTCTAATTTGTTTGTGGATCTTGTTATATATGGTTTCAGGTCTTAAGTTGGAAACCGAGAGCGCTTTATTTTCCGAAGTTTGCGACTCCCGAACAATGTGAAAGCATCATTACAATGGCTAAGTCTAAATTAAAACCATCTACACTAGCTTTGCGAAAGGGAGAAACTGCTGAGAGTACTAAAGGAACTAGAACAAGGTCAGTCATTTCATTTTTCATTTCTATTTTATGAGCAATGCACCAGGGCCTTACTTACAACTCTTTAGATCAATAGGTTTTTTCATCCCTTTGACGTTATAGCTCATGGCAACAGTTCAGGAACATTTATTAGTGGATCAGAAGATAAAACTGGGACCTTGGACTTCATTGAGAGGAAAATTGCAAAGGCTACAATGATCCCGCAATCCCATGGAGAGGTATTTTCTTGCTGTTATAATGTCCTTCATTCTCCATGGCTTGTATTTGGGGTTGGAATTGAAAGGATTGTGATAATAACTGTGTACTGTGTAATGGGTAGTAATGCTACTTTCATATCTGGGTGTGTCTTTGTTTCTCTTTCTTTTAGTAAAGCTAAAGGCAATAACTTACATTCAAGTGTGACTAATTTAACAGTTGCAAATGCTTTATGACATTATATAAGCTAATTTTCCAGATTATAGAATCTGATGGTTCTCTGACTTGCTTTTTTATTCTGAGTTTTTTTTAAAATAAAATAAAATAAAAATGAAATACACTGTTTAGAGACTTTCTAAATATTTGTCCTTCAAGAGAACCAGGTATTCTTCAGCCTTTTTGTAAATTACAGTGGTTTTGAGCTGCACATAGACAAGTTGTTTGGAATCAAGCTTGTGGGGCTTTGATAACCAAATCAAGCATGTTGGTAAATGTTAAAGGAGAAAAAAAAAGAACTTCTGCAATTTAGATGGCCATTACTAGCAGATTAAATGGTTAAAATATCTTGCAACAAAGATAGGGATACATATGAGAAAAGGTGAAAGATCTTCAAAAGGAATCCTTTAATGATATCACAACTTACCCCTGAGAGACTGTTTTAGTGGGTCAGTTATCTTTTCAACATGCCACAAACTTAAAAATACTTACAAAAACTGAAAAACTGACAGAAAAGACTATAGCTTTTAATAGCATCATCTACAGACTTAGCCTTTTCCTTTTAAGATTGCGACCTATGAGAGACTACCTGGTTTAGCTAGTCACTATGTCCAACTTTCATTCTGATCACTTGCTTGTTATTGCACTTCAGAAACGGTATAAGCCTATAAGCAATCTACATGTATCTCATTTATTTCAGAAAAGAAGTTATGGACTCTGATTCTAGAATCTGCGACTCATCATGATTAGAAACTCTTATTCTAGTTTCTCTATAGTCTTTTAGTTGAAAAGGGAAAGTAGGAGAAAATGAGGGGCCATATTTTTGGTAGATATGTATAGTCAATCAATAGTTACTTTGACTGTCTAAAAGAAAGTTCAATGCTTTTGAAATGCTAGCAAATGGATGTGAAATCCGATCTTGCTGCTTTCGATGTTTTTCCTCTGTATGTGGTACTTGGAGCCCTGTCTGGCATCTCTGATATACTGGATGTATGATGTTAGAAAGCACCATATATTTTCTCATGAGCATGAGATGATTTTTGTCAGTTAATAATTCTGAGCTAATCAAGTATTTGATATCGTGTCGCCTTGCATTTAAAATTTGAAAATAATTAACCTTTCTTTACAGGTAATTTCTATGTTAGTCTGAGTGGATATCACCCTTTGCAGGCATTCAATATCTTGCGTTATGAAATCGGGCAGAAGTATGATTCACATTATGATGCATTTAACCCAGATGAATACGGTCCACAGTCAAGCCAAAGGGTACATAAGACACACCTCAATAGTATCTTGAATGTTTAATTTTATCACTCCTGGCTACTACATGTAGAATGCTGTACCAAATTGGCAGTTCAGTAAATCAGATGGCTTTCTTGCATGCCATCATTTTCTTTCAATGCCTTTCTCTCTAGTTGACATTTCAGTCGTTCTAGCATGGTATCATACCCAAAACCATATTTAAAGCTCTTTTATATTGTTTTCGATTATTTACAAGGATTTACTTTACAGCATGTTATTTCTGAGACCTTTTTATAGCATGATTTTGTACTCTCCCAATGAAAATCTGTGAAACAACTGAAATAGTTAGATTGTCAAAGATTGTTCTTTCTTTAGTTTTTTTTTTTTTTTTTCTAAAGTTTTTTTTTCTTTATCTGTGAAACAACTGAAATAGTTAGATTGTCAAAGATTGCTCAAAATATTATAAATTTGTGATTGATTCACCATCATGCAGGTAGCTTCTTTCTTGTTATATCTGTCTACTGTGGAAGAAGGTGGAGAAACCATGTTCCCCTTCGAGGTATTTGGCCAAATTCTGTCTTTTTGTTGCTTTACGATTTGAATCATTTTCATATTGATAATAACCACCCTATTGGTTCGATTTATAGAATGGTTCTTCTGTAATTTCTGGCTTTGATTACAAACAATGTGTTGGTTTGAAAGTGAAGCCTCAGCAGGGTGATGGACTTCTATTTTACTCATTGTTTCCAAATGGCACAATTGATCGGGTAATTGTCCCTTTTTTTTTTTTTTTTTGCCAGATTATATTCACCCCATAATCATTTGAGTACAACCATGCATGGATCTTCTTGTTGTATTGACTTGTTTAAGTATGCAAGTTAAGAGCTTTCCAATGATTTGGTCCATGAAAGTTGGTTAAATGGTAACGATAAGCATAGCATCAAACCTAAAACAATTTTCAGTCCTTTTTGTTGGGATAGAAAATATAGCAGAAGACCTCACTTGAATGGTTTTTCGTCATACAGTTCATTCAAAGTTGTTTTCATAGCTCGGGGGAAGGTATTTGGGTTTTTGGGTGTACAGTGTAGAGCCAAAATGCATTCTTAATCTATTGCAAAAGAGTTGGAGGGAAGGGACGAAGGGTATTAGCCATGGGTTTTGGAAATTCCTATTTTTGTTAATATATCATGACCATTTAGCTATTGTTGCTCTAGTTTCTGCAAGTGTTTTCTCACCCATATGCGCCTCACACTTCTGCAGACATCTCTTCATGGAAGCTGTCCGGTTATCAAAGGGGAGAAATGGGTGGCAACAAAGTGGATTAGAGATCAAATAGAACTGGACTAGGGATGGATAGATACTAATCTGCGATTAGCTCATCATCTTTGTAGTCATGTGGAAACTCACAATCAATTTCATCACTAAACATGAACAATTTCATGTAACAGCAGTAGAACCCTGGCTCGCTGATGTATAGTTTATAAGTGAAACATGCAGAGAATTTTATGAGTGCATTTTTCTACCACTTTGGAATGCTTCTATATTTCTCTTGGGATCGTTTCAGAAACAAATGCTAAAACAAGGGTTGCCAAACTAAATTCAAGTTGTCTTGTGTATATATAACAGAAAAGAAAAGAAACAGAACAAATGTTGGAAGCAAATTAGGCATATTTTTCTATTTTACCTGCTACGGTTGATAAGGCCCGAATCTAATTTCTGAACACAGGATATAGAATAATGCTAATTTTATTGAATGATTATTTCAAAAGTCACTTTCTGAAAAATCCCATCCGTTGAACAAGTGGGTTTCACAAATTCAATAATTATGATCTTCAAAAAACAATTTTGGGGAAAAATAGAAAAATATGAGACTCTCGCTCTTTCTCAGAGTACCACGTGTCTTGCTATAATAGGAGCGCCACCATACTCCAAATACACCTGATGAGAACTCAATCCCAGATTTAGCAAAAACTAGCCGTTAGAGACCAACAATCCTCTAGCCGTAACGGCTACTTCCATTTTTTTTTTTAAAAAAAAAACAGATACATCAACATGATTTTGTTTCATAAAATCACATCCCCTAAAAAACAAACGATTTTCTTCTTTAATTTCCCTCTCTCGAAAATTCCAAAATTGCTCCTAGCTGATAAGCATAAGACTGACCATTATTCTTTTTCACACTCGAGTTTACAATTTTCATGAGATTTAATTGTATGATTCGGCAATCAATGAATCTTGGGTGCTTGGACTTGGGATGCATCTCTGTGTTAGACAAGCACAGCAGCGACACTGCTCTTGACTCTGGTATAAACGAATGTCATTCGAATGAGAAGTTTTCTTCTGGTTCTAAGCCTGGAAAGGTAAATCCTTTTTCGTTTTGTTGATTTTCAAGATTTGGGTTCTTGGATTTCTTGTTAATTTGTATTGAATTTTGTCTCATTTTAAAGAATGTTAGAGTTACTTGATGTTTGAGGTTTTTGCCTTTTGCTTTGATTTGATTGGAACCGAAAACTTAAAAATCTCCGGAAGAGGAGAATCTGGTTTTGTTTGTTGTTGTTCTGATTTCGTTTTCATGATGTTTGAAACAAAATTAATTTTGGAATTGATTAGAATCCTAGAAACCCTAACATTAATTGAAGAATGATGCGATTTTTGTAATTCTTTTTTGGATAAGAATTGCACTCGGAAAATAACATCTTAAGTATTGGAATTCAGTAGCGTCTCTCATTTTCACCTGTGTTCTTTGATCTAATGGCCAGTACTAAGTTCTAAGTTCTATGTCAATAGTTCACCTTTCCATCAATACATTTGTTGTCATTTAGGGCAGCAGCATTGTTATTTGGTATATTTGATTTTGGTTATGCTGGATGGTTTTATTACTCTTGACATTTGAAATTTGTGGAGGTTAGTTAATTGAGATGATCTCATTTCCTGCTCTTGAATGTTGCAGAATAAATCGCCAAAAGGGACTTGCCAATCAGCATTGACTGCTGTAAACAAATTTAAATCCCAAATTAAGAAGCCTTCTCACCGTAAGAATTCTCCCACCAACTGGTTCCCGCGAAAGAAGGGGGACTCCTACTTGCAGAGGAAAATCAAAATGCTGCAGGTTGGTTGTGTCATGTGCTTACTGTATTTTCTCCTATTCCCAACCCCGAATAAATCAATAAAATAAATAATTTTTTTTTTTATGACAACTGATTTGTATATTTGGATCAGGAATTGGATGGAATGAATATGACTCTTGATGAAGCGCTTGGTGATTCAAATCCACATTATTCAAGAGTACTGAGGGAGAAAATTGCAGCAAGAGAGGCTGCAGACAAAGCAGTGGAGGCTCGAAAAGCTGCACTGGTGGAAGCATCTTGGTGTAGGATACTTAAAGCAGCCAGGTAGACTTTTCTATGCATAGAGAAAGAGGTTTTGAAATATCTTGATATTTTCTGTTCTTTTACTTAGCTTATTCGTTTTATTTGCAGGATCCAAAGCAAAGAAGCAGAAGAGCTGCTGCTTAAAGCAGAAAAAACTGCAGCCGAAGCTTTTGAAGCGGCAAAAGTTATGGAAGTAATCATGTTTGATATACCAAATAGTCAGATCCCCTGTCAAGTTCAAACATGTACTGTTAATGGAGGGGGATCTTCTGCTCATACGGTCACAGCATCTTTTGCAACTGTATTTGAGGTCGATAAACAAGTAGCTGCAGCAGTCAAAACTGCATTTACCAGACTTGCAAACTGTCCTACTTTTAACAAAGAAGAGTTCAAAGATCTGCTGCGAAAAATCAGTCAGAATCCTGATATGGATGATAGTAATTCTGAATTCTCCGAGTGTGAATCAGAGTCTAGGTCAGAATTTGAACTGATATCTCGAGACATGGATTGTAAGTTGCCCAGTCCCGGGACAAAACTAGGGAAATATAAGAGGAGACAGTCTTTGGACAAGTTGAATATGAACAAGCTTGTGGATGTGATGCTTGAGAGGCTTAGATATTTGAATGAAGATGAACTTTCTTCATTGGCAACTATTGTTGCTACATGTGGTTTAAATGCTGCCTTAGCAGAAGTAGAAAACAGTAAGGTGCATGATCCAGGCTCTGCTGCTGATACCTTGAGTCAAGCTCTTAACCGTCCTCAAAGAATGTCTTCTGTTGGTTCAGGAAGAATGAAAAAGAACGAGGTTCATTTGGAAGTCCCAAGTCTAGACAAGTTCTTGGTCAAGCACATGTCAAAACTTGAAAGAGAGGTGCAAGAAGCTAAGGATAGGAGGAGGAATGAGCTCAAGGATGGGAATCGAGAGAACACAGAAAAAATTGGTGATGGTAAGAAGACTTCATCAGAGAGTATTCCTGATCTCGGAAGTATTCTTGTGAAGCATTCCTCAAATTTAGAGAAAGAGATTGAAGAGGCAAAGAAGAAATCGAGAAAAAGTTTCGAAATTATTTCAAAGAAACCAGTCAGTGACTTCACTAAATCCGAGGGCATTTCTGACCTGGGAAGTATATTAATTAAGCATCAGTCAAAGCTTGAAAAGGAAGTTCTAGAGACAAGAAAAAACTCAGGAAGAACATTTGACATGGATGGCAAGGAACTTGGAAGAGCACCAAATGGTCAAAGAAAAGATGTTCCAGAAGTTCCAAGCCTGGATAAATTTCTTGTAAAACATGTATCAAGACTAGAAAAAGAGGTTCACGAAGCAAAGAACATGAAGAAAAATGAAATAGTTGAAGAAGGCAGACTAGAGAAGGAAAATGCGGACTTGAATAAAGAAGAAGATAGACTGGAAAAGCAGAAAACACGAGCATTGCCATTGGACAGAGTTCTGGTCAAGCATGTCTCTAGACTAGAGAACGAGAAAATTGCATCGAGTCTAAACCGAGAAGAGATGAATGTGAAACGAAGTGGCAGAAGAGCGCATTTGCAGGCGAATGAAGATGGTGGTCTGGACCAAATTTTGGTTAAACACAAATCAAGGCTTGAAAGAGAGAAGATGGCTTCTGCTCAGCAATCTGGAGAAGTGCCATCTAGACTTTCCGTATCTCGTAGAGAAGCAAGGGAGAGAGAGTTGCAAGAAGCATGGGGAGGCTTAAGTTTAGGAAACTCCATCCGCCCACATCTTTCCAAACTTGAAAGGGAAAAGGCAAGTTCTCAAAAATTTTTGAGCTTTTACCTTTCCTGGGGTTTGTTTTTTGCAGTCTTGTTGAACTTTTTCATGTTGGTTCTTCCTTATTTCAGGCGGCTTGGATTAAAGCTGAAGAGGAGGCAAGAAGGCGAGTGGCGGAGGAAGTGTAAATTCTTTCAGCCATATCCCAATGCTTGTTGGCAGATTCTCTCTTGAATCTTATCACCACATTGTACTTACTGTATATCTTCATTATATATATTAACATGAGGATTCAACTCTGAGTTCTCATCTTGGTTTTCCTTATTGGCCTTAGAACAGAGTCAACAGACCCCCTCTGAATTGGCTGCACTCCATTTCATTTCAACCAGCAAAATTTCATATCCAGGCACATAATTAAGAATGAAGAAGTTAGGACTGTTCAACGTGAACTTATCTGCGTATATCACCTAATTAATCTTGTTCTTAATCGCATTTCAAGAGAAATAATTAACAACGGCATAAGGTGTCATCAAAGTCTTTCTAGAAACAGAGGCATCCTGTCCTCTTAATCTTGTTTATTCGTGGTCCTAGAAACACAAGTGGGTCGCCAAGGGGGAAAAAGTGTCTTCGTTTCTAAGTCGTACTTCAATGGCTAAGACAATCAAGAACATTATCAGAAGTAGTAACAAAACGAAAGTAATGATAGAGCAAAAATGTTGATTAAGAAAAAATGCAAAAATGCATGGTGCTATGGGATATAGATTAAAATGTTGAGGATGGTTTCAGACCAGTTTTTACACATGTTCATCTCTCCAATCAAATAAAAACATATTATTATTCAAATCGAGATTAAACAACTAATGATAATTTTATTTTTTACTATCTTAACATAAGGTTTGAACGTGGTGACTAAATAAATATAACGTTTAAAGGATGGGAAAAACTATCTAATTTCGGTATAGAGAAGATTGTACAAAATATCACTCTACCTACCTACTAATAAAAAAATAAAAATAAAATTAGAAACTACATGGAACTCCAATTTCTGAACATTGGCAAATAAATAAAGAAAAAACAAAATCATTACAAACAAAAACACAAGTCTGGCAGCCACCGGCAAACCAATTTCTTGCCTATCCTACTGTATGTTTTTCTCCTAAAGAAGCCTTTCTTGAATTTTATTTGATTTGAAAATTAGTTTCTAACTTTTGATTTTAGATATGATATTTTCTTTTTAAATTTAGTTCATTCTGTTTTTCAGTTGTTATTTTTCTTTAAAAATTTTAATTATTAATATTTTGAGTTGAAATTTGGCACAAACATCGAGAAAATTTCTTCTTCTTTTTTAAGAAAAATTTCAGAATTTTTTTAAATTAAAAATCCTGTTTTGTATTTTTCGAATATAGAAAAATATAAAACATTGAGAAGAAAGTTAAAAATAATCTAAAATATTTCTAATTTTTTAAATAGTAAATTTTACTGAATGATTTTATTATGAGTTTATGTAAATAATAATAATTATTATTATTTTATATAAAACTAAATAATAGATTAAATTTAAAAAGTCAAATTCAAATTAGAAGTTTGGGGACTTATTTTCAAATCCTGTAGAGTTTAGAAAAGGGTTGCTATATTTATCCTTCTTTCTTTCTAGACCCTTCTAAATTATTGCAAAACCAGTACTCTCCTGCTCTTCCTCTATCTTCTTACTTCTAACACGCAATTAGAAAGATTTCTCTGAAATTCTGAAACCAAATCACCATGGGAGGAGGCAACGGTCAGAAAGCAAAGATGGCTCGTGAGAGGAACATGGAGAAGCAAAAAGCTGCAAAGGGTATTCTTTTATTTCTCTTACTTCATAAAATTTCTCCAAAGCTTGGTCCTTTTCTTGGAAATTTACAGATCTAAGTGGTAATGTTTTTAGTTTCAATTGAATTTTGATTTTTTTGAGTGATTTAATTAATTAATTAGTTTATTTATTTTGTGCAGGAAGCCAGCTCGAGTCTAACAAGAAAGCTATGTCTATCCAAGTAGTCTCTTTGCATGCTTTTGCTTTTAAATTTTGTAATCATATGCATGCTATATCTTTTCTTGTTTATGTTTCTCTTTTCTACCTTTTATATTAACATTTCTTGTTAGTACAATTTTATTTTGTTTCCGAATTATATGATCTATAGCCATTTGACAACTTTTTGCTTCAAATTTGGATTTTAGTTTGCTTGGTTGATGATTGGTTTTTTAGTTATAGCAGTTACTGAGGTTTGCTGTAAGTAATTAGATCATCCGTGTGATAATTCTAGGAACTTGTTTCTTCCATGATTCAGCCTGAAATTTTGCATCGGCTGTAATTTTCTTTTGAAAAGTTTCTATCTGTGTTTTAAGCCTGCTCAAAGTTTCTCCAGTTGTACTTCTGGTTGTAGAATTGCTTTTCATGGGTCCTTTTAACGATTCTTGAGTATTTGCATGTGTGTGGGTCAATGGGTGATTTGGATGTGTCAGACGCCATCCTATGGGAATAGGAATAGACTGTTGGTGTCTTCATTATATGTTTTAGAGTTGTGTTGGAGTTAAAGATTGATAAGCTTGATGGGTTTTCTCGAGATTATGTTGAGTTTTCTTTATTTTCTCTTCTGTGTTGCAAACATTAGAACCCCTTTCTCAAGTTCAGGGTGGTGAATGTCTTGATACTTGTGGCTAGTTGGACCTGGAATTTTTTCAATTACTGCTTGTTGCAGAAGTTCGATTTGCACTGACTTATTAAAGAGATCGGTGACCCTTGCAAACATCAATGGGAACAATGAGAACTTCATTTCATAGTTAGTGAGCATTAGACCATTTCTGCATTTTAGTTCATTAAGTTCTCGTTTGCAAACTTGTAGTTTCTCCATGTTTATTGGCCATTTTTTATAGCATAGCTATCTAGTGGTTGTTGTAAACTTGTAGCTCCATTATATTTGGTTGTTTTTTGAATTTGCACTCATTCTTTATGAAGTGGACATTTTATTCAGTCCTTTACAAGGTTGTGACATGATCTCTTGTTACTGTCTCCCTTTACTCCGTTGCTGGTTCCTTCCATAATTGATCTGGTGGATCGTGGGTACTGATTGCAGTGCAAGGTGTGCATGCAGACATTCATATGTACCACAACAGAGGTGAAGTGCCGGGAACATGCTGAAGCAAAGCACCCTAAGTCTGATGTGTTTACCTGTTTTCCGCATCTTAAAAAATGACTCTCGAATAGCAAAACAGGAACTTGCGTGCTGAAATCAATAGTAGAACACTACTTATTATGCACCTTGGTAATCTTTGAACAATTTCATGATTATGCAAGCTATCATTTCAGATTCGCTTTCTGGGTTTTAGATTTCAAAGCTGTGATTAGTTGTCTCCTTGAGGCGCATCCCATGTCATGTTAAATGACTTTGTACATGCAATGGTTCTACATTTCATTTTTTAAGATTTTGTATTGTGTTCTTTGTGGGGGAGTGAAGATAGCTTCATGGTGCGTCCTTGAAAGGTGGCTCTTGTGGATGCAATATAGCATTTCTTAATGAAGTAGAGAAAGGTAGTGGAATTAGAGCATTTTGATAGTGTTCAATATAAGTTCACACACAGTAGTCATGATTTAAGGTAAAACTGTCAGCACTGTCAATGGCACTCCAAATCAATCTCCAACTCCTTTTTCTTCTCCAAAAACGATGTGCTTATAATCCCATCCTACCATGAAAGGTTTTTTATATTTTTTTGAAGGTACTCATTGTACTAGGGTGCTTGTATTATGACATCATCAGGCCACCCATCTAAAATCTCAATTTGCCTGCTTCATCTTCTATTATTGGTATTATAGCTTCCCGTAAGGGAGGGAATTCCGATGTGATGGAGTTGGTGCAACTTCCTACCTGTTATTTTTCGCATGTCGGAAAAGGATGTCATGTAGTTGACTCCAGCATTTTCAACAAAAAAATGGCTAAATGGGTGAAATATTTTTTTAACTTTAATTTAATTGATTTTTAATTTCGGATTTGATTTCTCTTGAATTCTTTTTTTATTTTAGATTTAGTCTATATTTTAGTTTTTTATTAAAAAAATAATGGTTAAATAAATAGTTTTATAATGAAAATCATTCTTTAATATTTATCTTGGGTTTTTTATTAAAATTGAATTAAAAATAATTTTGGGATTTTTTTGGAGAAAATGTGTTGGATGTTTTTCAAAGTGTGTAAAATTTCAGTTCAAAATATTAAGAATTGAAATTTTTAAAAAGAGTGATAGCTGAAGACAGACTAAATTAAAAAAAAAAAATCAAATTTTAAATTAAAAATTAAAAACTAATTTTCAAATGAATTAAATGTTAACAAAATTTGGCCCATTCAAAGAAATACTATATACTATAGTATATTGTTTTAAGACCGTGTGATTGGATGGTAGAGAATGGGATCTTGTGGTTCACAGTATCGGGCCTTAGGCCCATTGGTTTTTTCCTATATTTTTCTTTCGAATCGTCGTCGTCGTCGTCGTCTAGATTCTTACTTTTAACTTCTTACTGATTATGTGTCTGTCTGACGTGGCATCACATGTTATTTAGCCCAGCCGAACATCTTATTCTTCCTTCCCAAAATGCCCTTTAACTCCTTCAACTCTTCATAATTTTCAGTTTTTGGTGATATTGACTATTTTGGTCTATAAGAATTTTTTGTATTATTTAAATTAGTACTTGTAGATCCTTTCTTTCAACATCTGTTATGTAAATTTATTAATTTGACTAACTATGATTAATTGACCTAAATAAAAAATCTAAATAATGTCAGGTATACGATTTATGATTTAAAAAAATTAAAACCATAAAATTAATCATAATTAAGTAAAAAAATAATTTGATTAATAATAAAAATGGAATAAAATGCTACTTTTAAAAAATATTAAAAACTATATTAAATTTAAAAGAAGAAAAAAATTAAATTTCAAAACAATTGAAGATTATAATCTTATACACTAATCTTAGAAAAATATAATACTTTAATTTTTTTAGAAATTTAATAATCATTAATTTTTAAAATTTAATAAAAATAATTTGGTTAATAATAAAAATAAAGTACACATTTTCCATTTTTTTTAAATATTAAAAACTATATGAAATTGAAAGAAAAAGAAAACATTTAAAAATCTAACAAAAAAAGATTAGAATCTCATATACTAAATATGAGAAAAATAATTCTTGAATTTTTTTTTAAATAATAAATTTTTTCTTTTTTTTTTAATTTAATATTTTTTATTATTTAAAAATGCTTTTTTTTTTTTTAATCATAACCAAAATGTTTTTTATTTAGTTTTTATTAATTTGAAGAATTTAATGTTTTTGTCTTGCCATTAGCTTCGGCTGCTGGCTTCAAACTTGAAAGTCATCAATGTTAGTAGTGGGGACCCCCACACTGAACGCGTAAAAGACTCGCACAACACAACCAATGCGTGACTGCGACTCCAAAAACCCAACACTCCACTCTCATTGGCGCTCTCTCTCCTCTGTTCTCCTTCCTCCTCCTACTTCCTTCCATTGGCCACAATCTTCTCTTCTCTTCTTGTTGTGTTGTGCGGTACAGTAACTGTAGTAGTCTTTCTTTCAAAGTTGAAACAGTGTGAAAGTAAACCCACTTTTTAGAATTTCTACTTCTTCTTCTTCCACTCAATAACATTTGACTTGACTCATTTTCATTAATTAGCCACCATCTCTCTCCTTGTTTTCCTAGTCTCTTTAAGTACTTCCTTTACTATCAATCCACCCTCTCAAAAAATGGCTCACCTTTACCTTCTACCTATCTTTCTTTCCCTTCTTCTCTCAGTCTCCCCCTCCCTCTCCACCAACTCTGAAGGTACTCATCAACTTTCGCTCTTTGGATTTCAAAGTTTCAATTTTTTTGCTATACTAAAAAGATGATAATTTTGCCCTTTTTTTTTTTTTTTTTTGACATGAAAAGCGAGGAGCATGATATTAGTCTTTAGGATTTTGTTTAAAATTTGTATTATTTGATTTTGTTTTTTGTTGGCAAGAAAACATGTGGTTGTGTTTACTGCTGGTTTCTGAACTCTGATTTTGTTGTTTTGTGTCTTTTGTTTGTTTGTTTGTAATGGGGTTTCAGGAAATGCCCTGCATGCTTTAAGAAGTAAGCTTTCTGATCCAACCAATGTGTTGCAGAGTTGGGACCCAACTCTGGTCAATCCCTGCACCTGGTTCCATGTCACTTGTGATTCCAGCAATCATGTTTCTCGCTTGTAACTTCTTAACTCTCTCTTGTTCTTCCATTTGAATTTTTAGATTTGTTGTAGTTCTTATTGATAATTATGTAGTTTTATTTGCGACCTTTTTTTTTTTTTTTTTTGAATTTCAGGGATTTGGGTAATTCTAATATTTCTGGAACCTTGGGACCAGAGCTTGGAGAACTCAAGCATCTAAAGTACCTGTATGATATTTTTTCCCACCTTTTGCTTTAATTTCCGAAGATTGCACCTTTCTTATCTATTATGTTGTGAAAACAGTTAAAAACGGAAGAAAGTTAGACCCTGAATTATCTTGTTTGTGTTCTGATTTTTCTTTTTTCTTGTTTCAAAGGAAAGAAATATAAATTCCTCTTGCATTTGATGTTTTGTTTGAATGACAACTAGTAGAGTTCAGGCTTTTTTTCCCTCGAAAACATTAGTGAAGAATGTTACATGTAATTCTGAAACTGTATATCATCATATTAATTGCACTCTTAATAAGCTGCTGTATTTGTTTCTCGTATGATTATATTAAGTAATTGGGTTGTGAAATTCTTGATTGCCTGCAGGGAGCTTTATAGGAATGATATAGGAGGCAAAATTCCCAAGGAGTTGGGTAATTTGAAAAACCTTGTTAGCATGGATATGTATGGCAACAAGTTTGAAGGAGAAATACCCAAATCCTTTGCCAAGTTGAAGTCTCTCAGATTCCTGTAAGCATTTTTACTTTAATTGGCCTAAGCAATTTGAACACTCAAACTCAGAAATTACTTCAAATTTGGAACTTTAATTTGGCTGAATTGATGATACAGTCGACTAAACAACAACAAGCTATCAGGATCTATTCCAAGGGAGCTCACAGCTCTTAAGGACCTCAAAGTTTTGTAAGTAGAGAACAAGGAAGATGTTTTAAATTCCAAATTAATAGTTATGTAGATTGCTTGTTTTAGTTTTCTAATTTTGCTATTTTTTTCTTTTGGTTGCAGTGATGTTTCTAACAATGATCTCTGTGGAACAATTCCAGTTGATGGTCCCTTTGTCTCGTTTCCTTTTGAAAGGTATCTTGATCCTGTCAACTTTACGTTGTCTTGCTTATAATTTTCTTGAATCATTAGGGCATGGAAGTTAATTCCTCGTCGTTTGCTGAATTTCTTATGGCCAATTGCAAATCTGAAATGAAAATGTTTCTCCCTAAAAATCCCGTATAATGAGTACACCGAGAAGTTAGACCCTGAAAGGAAGAATTTCAATGGTGTGACTTAAGCGCCAGGTCATCTGTGTGAATCAGTGTTGAACGTGTGACTGGCCTGTAGCATTTATGAACTGGCGTCACATAATTGCTCTGCCCCATTAGTGACCACTGGGAACTCCTCAATCATGTAGCATTCATAGGCTTGTTTGTGAAAGTGCCGTTTTAACCTACCGATCTCCACTTTAGCTGTCAGCACTGCTTGCACCGATCACATGGAGATGCAAGTACACCGGCAATTGGATTGGTATTACTTGTGAGCAATGCAAATACCATGCTGCCCGCTAATTATCAATAATTTGAATGAATTGTTGCAAACATGAAAAATTATGGACTTTGTGCTTTCTTGTACATAAATTTATCACATCTCACCTGTATAGAAAACAATTAATTTGTCTCGTAATTCATGCATGAAGCATGATATGGCTTGGTCTTTCGTTGTAAATTTTTACTTGGTTAATTTTTTTGTTGGCTTGTTCCAGTTTCAAAAACAACAGGCTTAATGGACCCGAGCTGAAGGGACTAGTGCCTTATGATTTCGGATGCTGAAGAAAGCTTGAATGCAGTCGACCCTCCTAGAAGACTGTAATGCTGAAACTTATCTAAGATAATTTAGCAGGATATGTAGTTGGCAATGACAATGGAAATTGTTTGTGTAGAAGTTAATGGATTAAGCAAATAAAATGGTTATACAAGATCTGTGAGGTGGCCTGGACTCTTAGCCTAGCTTCCTCAGTGATAAGCCTTATCTTTGTTATAGGAGCAGAGAAACGTTCCTCGTTAGGCAATCACAATATGTACGGGTGTATAAGCCCCATTATCAGTATGTAAAAGTGAACAAGCAAATCAGATTACCCTGATGAAGTGCGTACATTATAGAGTGCAAGATCTAGTTCTTTTTCTACCGACGTGGGATTCTACATTTCTAGTTCATTTGTTTCTTATCATTTTGTATTTGTCCACTAATAATTCTCTTCTTTCTGGTTGCTTGTATGGGCATTTACAACACCAGCAAAGTGGAAAAGTTTCCAAGGGTGAGTCCATTCAAAACCAAAGTTCCCAATGTGTGTCTATAACTTGGTAGCCAATAATGTGAGGCAAATCAAAATAACATAACAATTGGCCAAGATGTTAATTTAACATTTGATTTTTATCAAAGATTATACAAATGATAGTGACTTGCATTGAATCAAGCATTTAAAAACATAACATTAAAATCTGATCTCCTGTTGTCTTTTTTCTTACAGTTCTCGTCACCCATAAATTTCTGAGAGCTTCTTAATGCATATACGCGGTGATGAAGATTATAAAATGATTAATTTGAAAATTCAAAGCCCAGTTGCGAAGATAGGATTACAGAATTGCAAAGAATCATCCTCTGCATGGGGTGATTCATCATAACTACGGATGCCCATCTTTTTCAAGATCCCTGTAATTTGAATTCCAGTTTTGATAGTTTCACATATGGACGGGAAAAAGTGGCCTTTCTTCTGTGGAATCTAGTCTCTACTACATGTCCATGGATAATTGTGTGGACAGATAGTTTTCCAGTCTTGATTGTTTTAAAGAATGATGCAACGACATCCAGCCTGTTATTGAAAAGGAAAATCAATATATCATGTCTCGTTATTGGAAAAGATAATCAATAAATTGGTTATTGCTTATGTAACCTACCTTGAGACTTTTTGGAATAAGGTTATGTTACTAAAATGATTAGTTTCACTAAAGGTAATGTATTTGGATTCAAAATGCTACCAACTTTACGCCTCGAAGATTTGCGAGTGAGGATTAACAGAATAAAATAAATTCCAATGTAAGTAATGTATTTGAGTTCCAAGCCCAACGTCTTAGAAGATTTGCGAGGGTTATGTTACCAAAATATATGGTTCCATTATTGGTAATGTATTTAGATTCAAAATCCTACCCGCTGTATGTCTGGAAGATTTTGCAAGGGAGGATTAACAGAATAAAATAAAATTCCAATGTGAGTAATGTATTTGGGTTCCAAGCCCAACGTGTGGGAAGATTTGCGAGGGAGACGGTTAAGAGAAGAATAAAATATAAGAGATAGTCCAGTTGGAACAGCCAATATAGGATTACTTATCCTTCCACCGCCAAGAGAGGCAAATACTCGCTGCTTCTGTGAAGCCAGCAGCCTCACCCTCCGTTTCAGGAGACAGGCACCCAGGCAGGTTCCAACATTTTCATGCCCTCACTTGAGTTACGATCCTAAAGAATGGCTCTAAATTGCAAATATAAAGTTCAGGGAAGGGCTCTTTTGTTCGATGTGGGGTATTATACTTTTCTTATGAGATTTTGGCTGTTGCACTCCACCAATTTAGTTGAGAAAAGCATTTAAATTTGACGAGAAGCTTTCACAGAAAGTTGAAACATTTGTATCATCAAGTATTGCTTTCAATTGTGATAGATTCATGTGTATTTCTTGTGCTTTATTGCTCCTTCACTGGTTAGGAAAAATGTAAGGCCACGGTCAGCTTATTGAAGTTTTCAAACACATTTCAAATGGCAAACTGATATTCAGAAACCCAGAGAGATGAAATCAAGATATCTGGAAATGGTTACAATGGAATGAATTTCCCTCACTCGAAAACCGACACGCAAGAGCATATGAATGGTCGAGATGGATTTCACAGGATATCTATCTGACTGTAAAGTAAAATTTATTGATAAAAAGAATGGTCATTCAAAAATAAAAGATCCTGAACTCGAACTAGCTGCTGATTTGTACATCGTTAGCAATTGACTAATACTAATCAGAATTCATATCCATCTTTACATATCTACTGTGTAATATTGAGACATTAGCAACCTCTTTATTCCCTTGTGCATCTGCAATGTCATACATTTTCTCATACAATTGATATATAGAAGTTGATTTTGAAACTGGGGCTTCTCTTTCCAGTCCAGCGTAGCAACTACATCCTTGATATAAAGGGAGGGCACCGTGCTCTTCTGAGGCATCTCAAATGGGTTTCCTTGCGATATATTTCCGGACCCTGTATTTGATGAAACAAAAGTCTTGTGCCTTGACTTTTCAAAATCAATCCTCCACAGAAAATGAATTTTAAATTTAGAAAACATGAAAAATGAAAGCTAAGGTAAAATCTATTAACCTGTATAGACAGTCTTATCATCCTTCCTGTTAAAGCATGCATCCTCTCTTCCATACACTGAAAATCCTATTACATAAGGACTCCACAAAGAAGAAACATCAGGAGATAGAGTTGCCTGAAACAAGTTGGCATCTTACCAATGAAAGGCAAACGCTCACCTCTCCAGCTGTCATATTATAACAAGTGAATGACTATTTCATCATTATATAAAGCATACTAATGCAGCTCGAAACAAATCCAGATTTTAGAATGGAAGACAGGTATACCATAAAAATGTGATCCTGTTCAGCCGTCGTCGATGTTGCAGGGAAGCCACTGTTATTTTCCAGTGGCACAGAATTGGAAGATAGTTTGATAAGCTTCCGCACTTTGATGTTCCTAATGATGCAACAGCATTACTTCTATGCTCCTCGCCTATCAATGTTGAACTATCCATTAAATGAGAGATTGATTCACTGTATAGGTCTATTCCTCCTGTAGACCTTAGCATGTAATCTTTTTGTGCAGCCATCAAAGGTAGAGGTTGTGTTACCCCACTAAATTCAGTGCCCAGCTTAAGTAACTCCAGAGTCCAGAATGTCCACAGAAGGATGATCTATCATCTGATATAAAGCCAGTACATGGGGTTAGTAAACTTATGATAAAAGCCATTTCAAAACTCCGTCTTCAAATATTTTAAGATTCAGGAAAACAATATGCAGTGCAACCTAATCAAGTAAGAGAACCATAAGATGGTAAAAATTTATGAAAAAACAAAAACCACTCAAGAATGAGAAGGAAACTTATAAGAAGTTAGACCCTCCATGGAAGCATATGATTCACACTGCGATCTACGAGTTATTCAAAACACTTCCACCAAATAGCAAAATTGCATAAACTACTTGTAACGGATGAAACTCAATCGATACATAAAAAAAAAATAAAAAAAATTCATTAATAAACGTCATTCTAGAAAGCAAGAGGTCATTAGTCAGGGTCAAGTTACCTGTGCTAGAATTTGATCTGTTGCCTCCTTAATCATTTGACTCCCCACAATACTCCTTGTCATTCTGAGAAAGAGTTCTCTTTGGTGATTTCATTTTTATAAACAACACCAAAAACCAACCAAATTTTAGATCAAGGAACACAATAACCATCTCATTTCACATTACAAAAAAAAATTCGAAACACGAGCAAATTAATGGCAAAGACTCACCTTCATAGCAGAATAAAGTGCTTCAAGTTGTATTGCTTTAACTTGATTATCAACTTTGGGCAGCATGCACTCCATTAACAAAAAATTGCACTATATATTCACCATCTAAGCTCTTCATTTTGCATATAATATATTATCAGAATCTGTAATTCCAAATTTGTGCATCAATTACGGAACAAATCTCGGATAAATAAGCATGAAATAAACACTAATTTTTGTAGATAAAAATCGAGACATTAAGTCCCAATCCTTTTTCCTCTTTTTAAGGCGCAAAACCTAATTAACACTATAGTTTTGTAATTTGAGAATTAAGGGTTTGATTAGCAAGAATTCAAATGGTAGTGCTTGTCTAGGAATCTGCGAAAGAAACCCTTGTTTTTGTTGATTTCGATGCCAAACGAGGTGTTGCGAGTTCGTTAAAGTGGCGGTTCTTGCAGCAGTTACGGAGAAACTGAAATCCGGTGGAATCGACGGTGTTTATGCAAGAGGGGAACAGAAAATTCGGGGGTTTGGTTCGTATTGTTTTCCCTCCAACTCCAAGGTGCTTGTTTGTTCTGTGTATGCATAGATGATGCTCGTGGTGTCAAAAGGTGCTATCCGGTTTAGCAATGACAGTGCTTTGCGGGCTGTTTGGATATAGAATAACGAGTCTTCGTTTTACAACATGATACTACTAAATCCACCATATATTTTGTTATTTTATCAAGATTTTTATTATAAATTATCAATATATAACCATCACATCAAATTGGTAATCAAATTAGGGATGATCATTCAGTTTTTCGATTCGATTTTGATGTTTTTTTTTTCGGTTTTCGGTTAACCAAATTAACTAAAACAAAAACCGAAACCGAACTGAATTGAGGTTCGATTTTTTTGTTTTCGGTTAAAAAAAAAATTTTTCTTCTAAAAATCGAATTATTTTGCTTTTAAAAAATATCAAACTTGCATAATCAAATATTGCATATTTCATATTTGATTTTATAAGAAAATTGTGTATGATTATTATTATTTTTCTATACTAAATTTGTTTCTATTTATATTATAAACTAAATTAGTTGGGCTTCTCATTATTTATTCAATCACGCTATAATTGGTTTTTTATTAATTTTCCATATTCTTTTTTTTAATCTATTTATTTTGTGCATATTTTATTATTGAATATATAATATGAAATTGCTAATTTGGTTCGATTCGGTTCAGCTTTTTTATTTTAACCGAATAATGCTCACCCCTAAACCAAATAGTAATCAGATGTAACTATTTGTTAGTAATTTACCATAAAAAAAAATGATAAAAACAACAAAATATATGATGAATTTAGCAAGAACCTTTACAAAAACTTCAAAAGGGAAAGAAAAGTTTCCTAATGGAAAAAGAAAAAAAAAGAAAATAAATAAATGTTTCTGAAAGTTTTTTTTTTTTTAATATTATGATGTTATTTATTTAGTTAAAAATAATTATGGCTTTGTTTTCTAGATAACATAGCCGATGGATTCGAGTAGGTTGTGAACGGGAACTAGATTTATATCGAATTATAGTGGATTCGGATATGATTTATTTAATAAAATGGATTGATTTTGGATCAAGTTTTGAAAATATAAATCTGAATCATAATAGATGCATATCGGAATCATAACTCCATCGATTTATCATTTTATTTTTGTAAAAAATTTATTCTTACTACGTTTAGTATATTGTTTCGATATAAAATTTATTTCAACCATTACATACATAAAAAGATATATTAAGATAATATTTTATTAATTAATTTTGTAAAAAAAATCAAAATGCCATACAATTCAAAAGTACAAAATCAAAAAATTCTAATAAAAAATTATATTAAACTAGATAGAAAGTATGATAAAACTAAATAATAATAATAAATAATTTTCATTTCTTATTCACTTAGTAGCAAAATAAATATTTGTTAATCCAAATTTCAAGATGATGGTGCTACAAATCAAGGCCTGCAAAGAAAGACAGAGAAATATATATATATATATTTGTAACAAGTTACTTTACAAAAAATTATAAGTACATTTTACTTTATCGGGAACAATAATATCACATAACTAAATAAGTACTAATATTGTATTTTCTTGACTTTCTTTTAAATCCAATCCTCATCAATTATTTAATGATACAATTTTTTTAATATTTCAAATTCTAACCTCCAACCATTTGTTTCTTCATCTTCTCTTAAAAAGTGAAATGACAATATATATGTATATATATATATATATATATAATTTAGAGATTTAAGTGTTATAAAAGAGTTCATGCAAAAATTGATTTGAACTACACTTTTATGTCTAACATTAAGATACTAAAACGGACTCCAATTCATAAAAAAGTTATTGCTTCCATAATTTTTGAAAGCAAAGACACCGATAATCATCAATTATTTTATCTCATATAGTGAATGCAGTTTCAAAAGCAACAATAGTTGTTTGAATAATTAGAACATCATGAGCAATTTTTACAAGGATAAATAATGTATCACAGTTAGTTTTTTATTATTACAAAATATTAAACTTGTTTGTTTTATGACACACTGGCTTCTTCATGTACTTCAATTTTCATAAAAATTTTTTTTATGAAGTTGAATTAAGAAAACAACAAGAAACTTACTTATAATTTTTTTTTTGAAAATCTTCATCGTGGAAGGACATGATTTTTTTGGAATTTGGAATAAATAGACCCGATATGTTTATATATTTTTCCCATATTTAAATTTTTAATATTTATTAAAAACAATATTATTAAAAAAATATTTTATATAATATTTTTATTACTTTCATACGCAATACCATACACAGTCGATCTCTCTCCACCAAATTTTCTTCTCTTTCTTTTTCCTTCAATTTGCTGTGCTTTGTATTTTTCCCTATCCAACAAAAGTTATAGCCATTTTTAAAGTCGTTTGAATATGCTTTAGGAAAAGAGAGAGAGAGAGAGATTAAAAGTGAAAAAACATTCTGGATTGATAATTAAAATCGAAGGGCTGCAAACGAAATCAGAGAGATATATGGAATAATAGAATATACGAATGGAAAGATTTTTTTATTTTTTATTTTGCTTGGGCAAGGGAAGAGAAGATATATATATATAGAGAGAGAGAGAGAGAGAGAGTCGTAAAATGGAAGTCAAAGGACATGCAGTCTTGATGGTTTTTTTTTCTTGGCAGTAAATTAGATCAACTTAATTGGACCAAAAACATGAATTTTTTTAAAGAAAAATTTAATGTTTTAGATATTAATATATAACTATTTTTATTATCCCTGATCAAAATGTGGCAATTAAAGACACTAGTCCTAAAAAATTCTATTCATATTCTTGAACTGCTATATACCATATTAAATGGATATCTAATATTCATTTCTTTAATGATTACAGGTCTAAAACCTAAGAATTCATCAACTCTTAAACACCTTATGTAGATTTTATGCAACTGTAATTCTAAAAATCCCTTAATTACCTATCATATTTATTCTTAAACTCGCATCTACATAACAATTTTAGGTGCAACAATTATGAGAAATTTTATAATACACAAGAGGTAATTAGTGGTCCATAAGCTCACTCGAGAAGAGAGATAGACACACACACACACATATATATATATATATGAGAAAAAAATAAAAAAATTGAAAGGATGTATAAATCTTCTTATAATTTTTGATGGACATGGATATAATTTTTTTTTTTGTATTTATCTTTTTCTTCAAACTAAGCTCATAGAATAATTATTATACATATCATTAATTATTTTTTATGTATTATATCGATTTTACCATAAAAATTGCCTCCGTTTTATAGGACTTTGGCAAAATATGGTGTCTGCCTTAAGTTGCGATTGTGAGTAAGGGGATGGCAACACCCGTTCACGGTACCTACCTTCCTAATTTAGATGTCATCTTTTGTAATTCTCCATATGTATTTAATAATATAATACTAACTTTTTCCCATGATCCTGAGCATAAATTGAAAACAATTAAAAAAAAATACAAAATACACAACTGTCATTGAATTGGTGGATTTCTCAACATTTTTTGCATCCACAAGAGTTTATTTTGTTTTTTTGTGCTAAGAGGCTCTATAACCCACAAATAGATTAGTCCAGACGGACGAAACAATGCCGTATGAAAAAGACGGACCAGGAACACCTCTCGTTGCAACTTGCAACGTATAAAAATCCTAAATGTATAAAATAGAACCAAACCTATTCTTCAATTGACTTGGAGAAGGCCTTAGCAAAGAAGCGCTTCTTATCGGCAGCAAGTTACAGCACATTTTCTTTGTTTATCTGTGAGGAGAGAGGGAGGGAGAGAAAGATGGAAGAATCATTTCCAATGACCGGCGGAGATGGTCCTTACAGCTACACCAAGAATTCTAGTCATCAGGTGCGCTAAAACTTTTCCTCATTTCCTGATTCACTACTACTATTATTTCATGTCTTTGGTAAGCGAGATGTATGGTTATACTTCAAACAGTATAACTTCGTTTTGTGCTCAGGCCAGAAACTATCTGGCAACTAATGCGAATCATGTGGTTATTTTCAAAAACTGATAAATTTATTTAGAAAAAGATCTACTATGTCTCAAGGGTATTTGTGTAATTATGTCTAGGAAAAGTAAAAATTTAAGCCAAAGTTTTTAGGGGATAATTTCCCTATAAATATATCAACTTTTAACTTTGTTTCAGTCAATTGCATGAATTTTAAATTTTTTCATTTGAGTGCATTATTTTTTTTTTTAAATTGTCAGTATTTCTGTCAATTTTTCTATTAATTGATGATGTGTCTTATACTCTCAAAATATCAAATTATAATTTTATTTTTTTTTCAATCGAGTAGATGAATTTTAATTTTTTTCGTTTGAGTACATTAATTTTTTCAAAATTATCAATCAAGTACTTTTATCATTTTTTTTTGTTATTTGATGAAGTATTTAATACGAAATTGTAATTTTATACTCTTTTTGTTGAAAGAAACTTTATCCTCAAATTATTTTACTATTTTATAATTTAATAAATAATTAAAAAATTATTTTTGTTTCTAAAATTATAAAATAAACTCAATTAGACTCGTCGTTAAAAAAAAACTCAAATATGTTTAAAAGTTAAAAAAAAAAAAAAAAAACACAAACGAATCTTCACTATGAAAAATCTTCCATTTTTGTTTCCTTTAATTTTCACATTGATTTTTTTTTTAACAACAAGTCTTATTAATTCAGTTCGAGATTTTATAGCTAAAAATAATTTTTTAATTCTTTATCAAATTTTAGAATGATAGAATAATTTAAAGAGAAATTTCCCGACAACAAAAGATGCAAAAAAGTTGTAATTTCGTATTCGGACATGTTATCAATTAATGAAGAAATTAACATAAGTACTTGATTTATAATTTTGAAAAAAATTGATTTACTTAATCTGAAAAATTAAAGTTTATGTATTCCATTAAGAAAAAAATGCAAAATTATAATTTGGTATTTTGAAGATAACAAACACGTTATCGATTAACGAAAAAATCAACGAAAATACTTGATTGATAGTTTTAAAAAAATTGATGTATTCAAATGAAAAAAATTAAAATTTATATACTTGATAGAGAAAAAATTGAAAGTTGGTATACTTATATTATAATTATCTCAAATATTTAGTGATAATCTAATGACACTAATAAATTGAATGGCAAGAAAACGCAAGGTTATTGCAAATGAAATTTTTATGAAAATACTTTTTTTTCAAGAACTAGACAGGGATTTTTACTTTTCTTTTTTATTTGCAAAATGAATTACCAAGATTTATTTATTTATTTTATTTTATTTTATTTATTTATTTATTTATTTATTTTGTGTGTGGGTTGAAATCATATTAATTAAATTCGCCATTCAAAAAGGAGGAAATTAAATAAAAGTGAATTGTGTGCTTGCAAGTGTCCCTTGCTTGTAATGGGTCTTGGTTTCAGTGTCGACATCATATCTGAGATCACGCGGTCTTACTCTTACCGGTGGATGAAAAAGAGAAGACACCTATAATCCAAACTTTTAACAAATTGAATAGAAGTTAAGATAAAACAATGCAGCCATGAATTACAAAATTGAGGTGTTTTAATGCAGAAAAAAGCAGCTGCTAGCGGAAAAACAATGCTAGCTTCAGGGATCCTCGAAAACCTTGTCATAGAACATTCTTCAAGGGTATTTACTATTGCTGATTTAGGTTGTTCCACTGGACTAAATACATTTATAGCTATGGACAGTATAATAGAAGCCGTGACACAGAACTTCAAAATCAAAGGCTACTCTAGCCACACAGAGTTTTAAGTATTTTTCAATGACCATGTTTCAAATGATTTCAATATTCTCTTTGCAAATCTTCCTTCGGATAAGAAATATTTTGCCGTCGGAGTTCCAGGTTCTTAGTGTTTTGCACGTACGTGACATGTGATTAATTAATTTTGGACTTATTTATTTATTTGATTAAATTAAATTCTTAATTAATTAATTATGTTTTTATGTGACATTTAATTAATTTCAAACAGAATATAACTATTGAATTATGACTATTAAAAAATAATAGTTAGTCATTAAATTAATCTAATTTTTCGATAATCATATTGGTTGTGAAAGGTTTTCAATAATCTATAAATATACAAATTCTGCTAAAAAATATTTTATTTCTTTCTTCCACATTTTCTTCCTCGTCCTTCTCTTAAAACTCTTCTCTTCATAAAATTCTATAACTTCAAAAGAAATTCTTTTAAGGATGTTGTCTGTAATTTCTTGGGTGTAAAATAAAATCATAGAGGTGAATTATAAAAATCCATGCATCATTATAATGTGAGTAATAATCATTTTAAGGATAATGTATAGGTAGTTTATATATGCAATTAAGCATTGCGTTCTTTTGCTTTTATCTTTGAATTTCTGTAATTCTATTTTTTTTTTCAACAAGTACGGTACTTGAAATTAGGTCCTAAGACAAACCAAAGACGCCATTAGTTGAGTTTACTCATTAAGAAGGAAGTGTTAGAGAACGGTCAGCAATGATCTAATGTATGTTATCGAGCATCATTCGTTGTGTGCTTTTGTGAATGGAGCTTGTCACTGGGTTGCGATACGTGCTCAGAATAGGTATGTTGTATGCAAAACGATTGTATCCTTTTTCGTGAGGGATGAAGTTTTTTTGAGAAATTGCAATTCCAGATTATTGAATTTAGTGATTTCGTAATTTAAATGTTGTGGTATTTAATGGACGTATATTAATGTTGTTGTTCCAGATTCAACAATCATGGAAAGAATGCAATTTAACTTAGCATCATAACTATTTGGGTGTTGAAAGGCTATGCTGATGGTGGACTTGAACCAAACTTCTCAACATGAAAATTTACGCAGCCTGAAAAGGTTCGTTTCTTTTAGGAGAAATAGTGATGTTCTAATGGTCACAAGAGAAGGAAATCTAGTTTCCTATTATCCAATTACCCAAAAACATCAATAGTTGAAAATGATATATGTGTGTTTTCTGTATTTTTCAAATTGTTTTGATTGAAATTTTATAATTTATTTTGTATTGATCGAATCTTTCTATTTTTACTTCATTTTGTTACGATCCCTTCACTATAATACTATTAGTATGTGAGCTAGTGTTGCACATTTTATTCTTAAATACGTTACACGCAAATTCAATTAAAACAATTTAAATAGTACATAGATCAATTTTTTTTACCTTTCATGTTATTATTATTTTTTTAAATCTCTTTTTGAAATGTATGAAATAGATCATATGTGATCCCATCACAATAAAATTATGAAGTATTTTCTTAAAATGTTATAATAAGTTAAAGATAATAAAATAATACTTAAAAAAAGAAAAAGAAAAATCTAACATGCAATTGTTAAATAAAAAATATATGATGTATAATAATATCAATATATCACAAACCTCTAGTTAATGGGTTTAATCTTTCCTAAAAAAAAAAAAATCTGAATATTTGATCAATTCAAAATGAAAAATAAGATTGCTTTGTCAAAAAAAAGTAAAACTTGTACCACATTTTCTAGCTTAATATAAATAATTAACTACTGCTCAATAATTTTTTTTATTATTATAAATTTGACTAACATATTTATATTTTTTTGAGTTGTATATTAGATGTAATTTATTGTTTATAAATTGTGATAATAATTTTTATAGTTTTGTCAGAATGAGATCTTACATATACATTGAAGATAAGATTTTTTAAAAATAATTGAAAAAGAAATAATTCGGTTTATTGTACTATTTGAATTAAATCTTTTTATTGAAATATTACATATGACACTTGTAATGCATTCAAAAATATAATGCGTTACACTAGCTCTCAAACCAATCCTGTTATAATAAAGAGACAAAAACAAAATAAAATTAAAAAATGAAAGAACTCAATCGCTAAAAAAAGAGTAAAACATTCCAAAAAGTACTGACACAGGCAAAGCCAACGTGGAAATCAAGGTCGACATAAAATCATTTTTTTTCAATACGTTGATGGAGAATCTTGTTTTTTTTTTTTTTGAGTGAAGCAAATGGGGGCATGGATAAGAATGCTTCCAATGATAAAGCTAATGGAGGCTGCATTAGAGGGACTAACCAATGCGATTTGAATTCTTTTAGGAACCATCATCATCGTTTGTGGTTTCCTCTTCTTTGATATTTGATTTTCCAAATAAGTCTATTTATGTACTAGCTCCCTGTAGAAATCGAAATCATTTCCATAAACATGTTCTCTTTTGTACTGCTCATGTAAACAGTATGTTAATTTGAAGAATTATCAGCTAAATTGACTTTCAAATGTTAATTAACAAACTTAAGCATCCAGTTATATATACATATTTCCAAACAGTGGTTATAGATCTCTTTGAATCTATATAATTATTCTTTCAGGATTTGAATTGATTTGCGTCACATGGCACTAATTTTTGCATCCAAAAGAGTTTGTTTTGTTTTTAGTGCAAATAGGCTCTATAACCCACGAAAATAGTTGTTCAATAATAGGATTTGAATCCAAGATATCTCCACCTTTGAAACCAAATCCCAACCTCTTGTTTTAACATTTAAATACTCAAACACATATAAAATGATGGATTAATATTTAATTACACTGTTCATGGCCACATTAAAATTGATAAGTTAACAAACCTAAACCTGCAGACTCAATATAACTCATAAAAGAAGCTTCCAAATGCCTAACCTTGGATGTGGATGATCCCTTTTTTACTGCACTAGAGAGATTAACCTCTATATGGCCTAGGCTGGTGTGAGAATACCTCGGGGTTCCTTTTTTTTTTGTTTTTTGAGAAAAATAATTTAACTACACGTGATTCGTGGGCGGTGCGAGAAGATCGACCAATAAATTAAAGTCTTAGTTCAATGAAAAACACATGTCATTCGTATAGATGGCGAGCAAATCGCGTCTGCAAAGATTTCCAGGAAACGTGTAAAAAATAAAAGATACGTGGCTAGAAGGGTTGAACACGTGTCAGCAAAGCGATGGGCAATGGCGTACTGAAATGTTGGACGGTGGAGTATTCAACTTTTTGGCGAATTGCTGTGTTTTTCAGGGACTTTTCAAGTAGAGCAAATCTCCCATTTTGACACGCGGCGGCGACTTTAATTTCCTTCGGGCGCGGAGATTGTGCGCTTCGGGGGATAAAATGGAGGGAGGTGGGCCCACAACACTTTTGGGTCTGCACCATCTAACCAATGAATGAATTCCACGCGGCTTGTCAGCGTACTTCGATGGTGAACCAGGGTGGGGCTGTGGCCCCAACCATCATGAGTCGGAAGGGAGTTCCTAAAGTAGAACCGTTGATGGTGGTAAATATGGTGTCTGCCATAAGTTGTGATTGTACGGAGATGGCAACACCCATTAACGGGACCTACCTTCCTAATCTAGATGTCCTCTTTTGTAATTCTCTATATGTATTTAATAATATAATACTAACTTTTTCGCATGACCCTTAGCATAAATTGAAAACAATTTAAAAAAAAAAATACAAAATACACAACTGTCGTTGAGTTGGATTTTTGCAACCACAGGAGTTTATTTTGTTTATTTTGTGCTAAGAGGCTCTATAACCGACAAATAGATTAGTCCAGGCGGACAAAACAATGCCGTATGAAAAAGACGGATCAGGAACACCTATCGTTGCAACTCGCAACATATAAAAATCCTAAATATATAAAATAGAACCAAACCCATTCTTCAATTGACTTGGAGAAGGCCTCAATAAAGAAGCGCTTCTTATCGGCAGCAAGTTAGAGCACATCTTCTTCGTTTATCTCTGAGGAGAGAGGGAGGGAGAGAAAGATGGAAGAATCATTTCCAATGACCGGCGGAGATGGTCCTTACAGCTACACCAAGAATTCTAGTCAACAGGTGCTCTAACTTTTCCTGATTAAGTTGTCTTGAATGATATACTGATTCACTACTACTATTATTTCATGTCTTTGGTAAGCGAGGTGTATGGTTATACTTCAAACTGTATAACTTCGTTTTGTGCTCAGGCAAGAAAATATCTGGCAACTAATACGAATTATGTGGTTATTTTCAAAAACTGATAAATTTATTTAGAAAAAGATCTGCTATGTCTCAAGGCCATTTCTGTAATTATGTCTAGGAAAAAGTATAAATTTAAGCCAAAGTATTTAGGGGATAATTATCCAATAAATATATCAACTTTTAACTTTCTTTCAATTAATTACATGAATTTTAAATTTTTTTGTCTGAATAAATTAATTTTTTAAAAATTGTAAATCAAAGTTCTTTACAATAAAAGATGAAAAAAAAATAATTTTGTATTCCAACACGGTCATCGATTAATAAAAAAATTAACGAAAATACTTGATTGATAATTTAAAAAAAAAATTAAAGTTCATATACTCTATTAAAATAAAAAAATATAAAAATACAAAATTGTAATTTGATATTTTAAAGATAATCGACATATCATCCGTTAATAAAAAAAATTAACAAAAATGTTTGATTGATAGTTTTTAAAAAATCGATATACTTAAACAAAAAAAAATTAAAATTTATATGCTTGATTAAAAAAAATTAAAAGTTGATATACTTATATTGTAATTATCCCAAGTATTTAGTGATAATCTAATGACACTAATAAATTGAACGGCAAGAAAATGCAAGGTTATTGCAAGTGAAATTTTTATGAAAATACTTTTTTTTTCCCAAGAACTAGACAGGGATTTTTACTTTTCTTTTTTATTTGCAAAATGAATTGCCAAGATTTTTTTGTGTGGGTTGAAATCATACTAATTAAATTCGCCATTGAAAAATGAGGAAATTAAATAAAAGTGAATTGTGTGTTTGCAAGTGTCCCTTGCTTGTAATGTGCCTTTGTTTCAGTGTCGACGTCATATCTGAAATCACGCGGTCTTACTCTTACCGGTGGATGAAAAGGGGAAGACGCCTATAATCGAAACTTTTTATAAATTGAATAGAAGTTAAGATAAAACAATGCAGCCATGAATTATACTGTCATGAATTACAAAATTGAGATGTTTTAATGCAGGAAAAGGCAGCTGCTAGCGGGAAAACAATGCTGGCTTCGGGGATCCTTGAAAACCTTGTCATAGAACATTCTTCAAAGCTACTTACTATTGCTGATTTAGGTTGTTCCACTGGACCAAATACATTTATAGCTATGGACAATATAATAGAAGCCGTGACACAGAACTTCAAAATCCAAGGCCACCCTAGCCACCCAGAGTTTCAAGTATTTTTCAATGACCATGTTTCAAATGATTTCAATATTCTCTTTGCAAATCTTCCTTCGGATAAGAAATATTTTGCCGTTGGAGTTCCAGGTTCTTTTTACGGCAGATTATTTCCAAAGGCTAGTCTTAACTTCATTTACTCGGCATTTGCATTACAGTGGCTTTCTAAGGTACCACGAGAGCTTGGTGATGTGAATTCACCAGCATGTAACAAGGGTAGAATCTATTATTCGAATGCACCCTATGAAGTTGGTCAGGCCTATTCTCTTCAGTTTGCGAAGGACATGGGGTCCTTTCTATCTGCTCGAGCAGAAGAGCTTGCTCCTGGTTGCTTGATGGCGCTTCTCATTCCAGGACGACAAGATGGAACTCTACCATCTCAAAATTCAATTGGCCCTTTTATAAAGCCATTGGAATCGTGTCTTGTAGACATGGTTAATGAGGTATGTAAAATCAAAACTTTAAATTAGTCAACAAATTATTTGTGCACATATCCTAATTCTGGAACCTCTGCAGGGAATCATTTGCAATGACGAAATTGACTCTTTCAACATGCCTCTGTATAGCCCTTCAATAGAAGAGCTAAGAACACTGATAAAGAAAAATGGTGACTTTGGAATTGCAAGATTAGAAAAACTACCTCCAATGTCTGTTCCCTTACCTACAGTTGAAGAATGTAGATCTGGCTTTGGAAGCATTTTAAGAAAACACTTCCGCAGTGAAATTATTGAACAACTATTCGAGAGATATCCTGCCAAAATTGCGGGCCATCCGCCTATAAATACAAGTGATGGCTTTACCTTTGGATTGTTTGTACTTCTCAAGCGCAATGACTAATGAAATCCTCTCTTTTGGTTTCTTAATTTGTATATGCGCATGCGATCTTGGCTGTTTAATGTTCTTAGCTATATAATATTGTTAAGTCTTTTTGTTAAGAAAATTCAAACATTTTACCTTTTTTCACTTGTAATTCTTCCATATATGTTTGTTTTGTTATGGTGGGAATTGGAAAATTTTTATTTGAGAGAATGAAGTTGTGATATATTGTTGCGGATGATGCAATGAGTTAAAATACATTGCAAGAGGTTGGATTTTTTGTCCCTCTAAGTATTCCCATCTCATGTTGGAAATATGATTAGTTTTGTTCAAGATAAGAACCATAAGGTTTAACTCCTTTCAATAAATGCGACTTCAGAATTAGAATTTACGGCATTGATAAAAAATTTTGTCTGAAAAATTACCTCATTTACCATTAGGTTAACAACTTCTTATAAAGAAGTTGAATTTTTAAGGACTCGCAATGCTATTGGCAGGTGTATTGCTTGTGCCCAATCGTTCTCTCCATTTTCTTTTTCATGATTAAGTTATTTTCTGTAAACTTTTATATATCAAGATTAAATTTATCTTTTTGGTCCAACCAAACATACACTATATATGTCAAGATTTGATATGAATTTTAAGCATCACCGCGATTTCTTGCGGCTTGCAAGGGTAACTACTTTTTTTTCACTCAAGAAGGATCACTAGATGCAGGAGAAAATGTCAGATTGCATCCCACAAGAAGTGTTGATTGATATCCTCATCATCTTGCCATTGATATCACTCCTAAGATGCAAGTGCGTTTCCAAAACACGGTGCTCTTTAATCACCCGCCTAGGTTCATAACCGACCATCTTAATAAACCCACCAGCCAAAACAACGGCCTATTTCTGTTTAGATATCACCATGGGCTGGATGATTCTTATTTTTGTCATTACACCATCATAATTACTCAAATACCCTGATAAGTGTGGAAAGGAACTTGATTGACCATTTAAGATCGGGTGTTATTATGTTAAAGTAGTGGGCTCGTGTAATGGGAGCTTGGTCTTGTTGATGAAAGTTTAAGTTGTGTAACTGATAGGGCTGATCTTTGGAATCCTAGTATCAACGGAGTGTTTTGAACAAATGAAAGACGGAATTCATTTCATTTATAAATGAAATGAACGAGAAGTTGTATTTGTAAATGAATTTCTTTGTTTGGAATAAAAAAATTATTAGCAAAATCATTCATTTATAAATATATTTTATGTTTGAAACCATGTAGAATTAGAATTGTAGTTTGTATTTTACTTAAATACTTTCTAGTTGGTTGAAAGGTAATTATGATATAATACAAAGATAAAGACAATATTTTCATAAATAATACAAAGATCTCATGCTCATATAATATATCCCTTACATAAATATAATATCACAATGGCTGTCTATATCATATTACACGTCCAAAAATTAGACCATTATATTGGCATAAACATTTTGCAACCTATGGAAGCAAAATATTTCAAAATATAACAAACATCCAACATTAGGGATTTAAGTTTGATCATCCATACTACTAATTATAACAAACAACCTATCATACTTTAAATCCATACTAATGCCATTAGATGAAAAATTACTACTCCTAGATAACGCCTCCTAGATGAAAAATTAATTCAAAGCAATTAGAAATAATGCCTCATTGATGAAATTACTACACCTAACTTCACAAATTACTTTCGCAGTAATCAACAAAAAAAAACAACATGCAAACATCTCACACCGGATGAAATTAACGACAAATGAAAGAAAAAAATCAGCTCACACCACCGGATGAAAGAAAAAAGAAGAAGGAAATGAACAAAAATATAAGCAAAGCTGGAAGAGCAAGTGAGCAAAGGAGCCAAGAGGAGGATGAGGAATTGGACAGCAGCAAGGGAGGCGTAGCAGAGAGAAGAAATATGTGTGAGAGACACAACTCACATATTAAAAACGAATGAGCAAAAAGTTAGGAAAGAGGGCATATTTGTCCAAATAAAAATATTTCTCTATTGGCATGTAATTCATTTGCAAATAACTCTTCTTGGGCAAGGAATTGGACAAAGCTATATCAATTCATTGATTTAGAACTCATTCATTTGTAATTTTTAAAATTGAAGCTTCCAAACAAGATATCATGAATTTGCAAATGAATTTCATAAAATTTTATGGAATTCATTTGTTCCAAACACTATGTAAAAAGACTTTGACTTTTCTTGTCCTACTCGTTGCTCTTTGGTCACATTAATGGACAATTTAAGTGCTCACTTGGATTTAGGTTGGGTTCCATCGCCGATTGCTCTAAATTGGTGCAATGAGAGTAGTACTCGTTGGAAAAAATGGTTAAGAAAGATAATAAATCATGTATGTGAAAAGAATGTTTTTACGTTAGATGTTTATTTCATATTAAAAAAAAAAGACATTTTATCAATATATTTTTTTGTAAAGATTTCAAATTAGAAGGATTTAAAGGGAAGTAAAATTAGAAGTTTTGGAGAAAAGCAAGCGGGTGTGTATGTGTGTGTAGCACTTAGTGTTTTGCGAGTGCATGAGGTGTGATTAATTAATTTTGATTTTTTTTATTAAATTAAATTCATAACTAATTAATTAATTATGTTTTTTATTGATTGCTAAAAACAAGTAACGATTAGTCGTTAAATCAAATTGTTTTTCAATAGTCATATTTGTAATGAAATGTTTTCGGTAATCTATAAATAAAGAAACAATGCTCGGGAAAATATATTAATTCTTTTTTCCACATCCTCCTCCTTCTCCTCCTCTCAAAGCTTCAATCTTTATAAAATTTTACAATTTCAAGATAAATTCCTTTAAGTGTTGTCTTCTTGGGTGCAAAGTTGAATCCTAAAAGTGAATTATCAAAATCCATGTAACATTATAATCGGGATAATAATTACTTTAAGGATAATATATGGATAATTTCTACACATAATTAAACACTGTGTTCTTTTGTTTTTGTCTTTGAATTTTTGCAATTCCATTTTTTTATTTTTCAACAAGTACAATAATTGAAATTAAGTCTTAAGACAAACTCTCATTTTCTACCAAAGGCACCATTGGTTGAGTTTACTCATTAAAAAGGAAGTGTTGGAGAATGGTTGGCAATTGTCTAATGTATATTATCGAACATCATTCGTTGTGTGCTTTTGTGAATGGAGCTTGTCATTGGGTTGCAGTACGTGCTCAAAATAGGTGTGTTGTACACAATGCGATCGTATCTTTTTCTGTGGGGGATGGGGTGTTTTGAGAAATTGCAATTTCAGATTGTTGGATTTGGAGATTTCGTAATTTAAAAACTGTGGTGTTTGATGTACGTTTATTAATAATGTTTTCCAGGTTCGGCAATCATGGAAAGAATGCAATTTACCTTAGCATCCTAACTATTTGGGTGTTGAAAGTCTATGGTGATGATGGACTTGAACCAAACTTCTCAACATGAAAATTTAAAGGTTCGTTTCTTTTAGAAGAAATGGTGATGTTCTATTGGTCACCATAGAAGAAAATGTAGTTTCTTACTATTAAATTACCCAAAAATGTCCATATTTGAAAATAGTATATGTGTGTGTTCTGTATTCTTCAAATTGTTTTGATTGAAATTTTATAATTTATTTTGTGTTGATCTAATCTTTCTATTTTTACTTTATTTTGTTACAGTCCCTTTGTTATGATACTATTAGTTTGTGAGCTAGTGTTTCACATTCGTTCTTAAATACGTTACACACAAATTCAATTAAAACAATTTAATATATATATATATATATATATTTTGCTTTTCATGTTATTATTAATTTTTAAAATTTCTTTTTGAATGTATGAAATAGATCATATGCAATCCCATTGTAGTAAAATTATTAAGTACTTTTTTAAAATATTATAATAAGTTAAAAATAATAAAATAATACTTAAAAAAAAGAGGGAAAAAAATCTAACATGCAATTGTTAAATCAAAAAATATAATGATGTATAATACTATCAATATGTCACAAACCTTGAGAGCTAGTGTTGCACATTCATTCTTAAATATGTTACACACAAATTCAATTAAAACAATTTAAATAATACATAGATCAATATATATATATATATATATATATATATATATATATATATATATATATATATATATATATATATATATTTTGCTTTTCATATTATTATTATTATTTAAAATATCATTTTTAAATGTATGAAATAGATCATATGTGATCCCATTGCAGTAAAATTATTAAGTATTTTTTTTAAATGTTATAATAAGTTAAAAATAATAAAATAATACTTAAAAAAAAAGGAAAAAAAACCTAACATGCAATTTTTAAATCAAAAAATATAAAGATGTATAATAATATCAATATGTCACAAACCTTTAGTTAATGGGTTTAATCCTTCCTAAAAAAAAGAAGAAGAATATTTGATAATTCAAAATGAAAAATAAGATTGCTTTTTCAAAAAAACTAAAACTTGTACCACATTTTCTAGTTTAATATAAATAATTAACTAATAGTTAACAATATTTTTTTCATTATAAATTTGACTAACATATTTATACTTTTTTTGGCTGTATATTAGATGTAATTTATTATTTATAAATTATGATAATAATTTTTACAGTTTTGTCAGTACGAGGCCTTAAATATACATTGAAGATGAGATTTTAAAAAAATAATTAAAAAAATAATTTGATTTATTATATTATTCGAATTATTTTAATTGAATTTCTTTATTGAAATATCACACACGGCACATGTTATGCCTTATAAAATATAATGTGTTATGCTAGCTCACAAACTTATAACGTGAAAGAAGAGTAAAACAATCCAAAAAGTACCGACATAGGCAAAACTCATGTGGAAATCATGGTCGACATAAAATCGTTTTTTTTTCAATGCTTTGATGGAGAATCTTGTTTTTTGAGTGAAGCATATGGGGGCTTAGACGAGGATGCTTCCAATGATAAAGCTAATGGAGGCTGCATTAGAGGGACTAACCAATGCAATTTGAATTCTTTTAGGAACCATCGTCATCATTTGTGGTTTCTTGTTCTTTAATATTTCATTTTTCAAGTAAGTCTATTTATGTACTAGCTCCCTGTAGAAATCATTTCCATAAACATGTTCTCTTTTTTACTGCTCATGTAAACAGTATGTTAATGTGAAGAACAAATTCTATGGCGTTATCAGCTAAACTGACTTCCAAATGATAATTAGCAAAGCATCCAGTTGTATATATATACATATATCCAAGCAGTGTTTATGGATCTCTTTGAATTTATATAATTAGTCTTTCAAGATTTGAATTGGCTTGTGTCACATGATACTAAATTTTGCATCCACAAGAGTCTGATTTGTTTTTTGTGCGAAGAGGCACATGACGCTAATTTTTTTTTTTTTTTTCGTAATTCGGGGTGTTCGGGTCAATTTGTGCACATCGCGACTAATCCCTGAACCCACTGAACACCCTACAAGTCCAGGGGCATATAAGGCACCACAGGGGTGACAAGCGTATACGAGAGAGTCAAACCCGAATGATCATCAGGAGGTAAGTCCTTGTTCCACTAGACTACGACCTCAAACGCACATGATACTAATTTTTGCATCCCCAAGAGTTTGATTTGTTTTTTGCACGAAGAAGCTCTATGAACCCACAAAAATAGTTATTCAATAATAGAATTTGAATGCAAGATATCTCCACCTTTTAAACCAAATCCCAACCTCTTGTTTTAACATTTCAATACTCAAAACACATATATAAAATGATGAATTAATATTTAATTACTTTATTCATGGCCACATCATAATTGATAATTTCAAAAACCTAAACCAGCAGACTCAGTATGTCTACACTAACTCTAAGCTTTAATTTTTCATTTTTAGGTGATACACATTAACATTTAACACCATCCTTCTCATAAAAGAAGCTTCTAAATGCTTAATCTTGGATGTGGATGATCCTTTTTTTACTGCACTAGAGAGATTTACCTCAATATGGCCTAGGCCGGTGTGAAAATAGCTCGTGGTCCCTTTTTTTTTTTTTGTGAGAAAAATAATTCAACTACACGTGATTCGTGGAAGGTGCGAGGAGATCGACAAATAAAATGAAGTCTTAGTTCAATGAAAAAGACATGTCATTTGAACAGATGGCGAGCAAATCGCGTTTGCAAAGATTTCCAGGAAACGTGTAAAAAATAAAAGATACGTGGCTAGAAGGGCATGGCAGGATTGAACACGTGTCAACAAGCGATCTGCAATGGCGTTACTGAAATGTTGGAGGGTGGAGTACTCAATTTTTTGGCGAATTGCTGTGGTTTTCAGGGACTTTTCAAATAGAGCAGCTATCGCAAGAAGCTTTTCAAACGTACTCGCTGGACTGTGGACATTGAGGTACTCGCTTGCCTGCAACTTTGTAATAATAACGACTTTTTATTGGAGTAAATTATAAATTTGTCTTCTTTATTTGAAAAAACTAATTATTTAATTTTTTTTAGTTTTAAAAAATAAAATAAATAGATATTATAGAAAGACTGATGAGAAAAAAATATTTTTAAAATAAAAAAATATTAAATTAAGTATGATGAATATTGATTAAAAATTTAAATAATTAGTTTTTAAGATAAAAAACTAATTAATTCATTTCTTGAAACTTGAGGAATTAATTTATAATTTACTGTTTTTTTATGTTGTACAAATTGCTTTTTAGGTCTTGAAACTAACAATTAATTCTTTTGCTTTGGTGTCAATTCTTGTTATACTAACAATTAGTTTTAAAAGAATATCTTATCCAATAGATTTAAAAAAAAACCCCAAAATAAGAGTGTCTTTTTTATATAAATATGGATCATCCACACGTGATAAAAAAAAATACCAGAAAACCAATACATCTATAATTCAAGTAAACCACTTTTTTCTTTAATAATAAACTGTTTTTTTAACTAACTACTAAAACTTTCATTTTTTTAATTTTAGTTTTATTTTTAAACTATTATCTTTATTTATTTTTAATTAATCATATTTATTTTCTAGCTTGTGCGTTTGTAAATTGTAATGAAATCACTATATTAAACTCTTTTTTTTTTAATTTTAAGTACTATATTGAAATTCCTACTCTATAACTAAAACGAATCTTTCTATCATCTCATGAATAATGCTCAATTTTTTATTTTTTTTCCTTGACGAAAACTAATCATTGATACAATAACTCAAAAATATATGAGAAAAAATATAATATTTGATAAAAATAATTTATTATTAAAAACTATACACACATATATAAAATGATAGATTATTTTACTAATTGTATTTTCCTATATTTAAAACATATATTCTTACAATTTTTAAATAATTGATATCTTTTTTATTAATATATTCATTATTAACCTCACCTTTTAAAATTTGTTTTCATAACTATGGCTATAATTACAATTACAACCATAAGCCATAATTACAACCAATCTCCAAACCAAAACATACGTTTGGTGCTATTCCAATTATGTTGCTACAAAGTGATTTGATGGTGACTTGAAAAAAGAAAAAATGAAAAAAAATCACACTCAAATGAAAGCGATGGCATTACAAAAATGAAAACGAAAAGAAAATAAACCAAAAAGGGCAGGGGAAAAAAATGTCAACCAATGAAAAGACCTAGAGGGAGAAAAAGCGAGTACAAATCACTTTCGTACTCGAGAAACTATTGTAGTGTAAAAAACCCTTGCCTTTACGTGTATTTGGTCCACAAGCTATATAGTTCGCTCTTTCCCTTCTCTCTAAAACCTGAACCCCTAAGCCCAAACCCCTAATTCACAAAAACCAGAGGGACACCAACTCACTTTCTAGACACCACCAAAATGAGCGGCTCCTTCATGAGAAACTCCACCATCCGCCGCCTCATACGCACCCACACGATCACCAACATCACAGACTCAGCAGCAGGAGCAACAACAACAGCTTATTCGATTCTCAGACAACAACAAGAACAGACAAGAAGAGCTTACTTTGGTTTCCCAAAATTTTTTAAGAGATCAAGAGAATGCAATCATGAACTCTTTCCTTCTTCTTTTTTGTCTTCTTTCTCTTCAAAGCCTGAAACTGCTGCGTTTTCCAAAATTGGGTTGGTTGGTTGGTACCTGGGGATGATTAAGTCACGACCTGTTTTAACTAAAAGTGTCACTTCTGCTCTTATTTACATAGCTGCTGACTTGTCGTCTCAGGTAAATATGGAGGCACTAAGTTGTTAAACGTGATTTATAGGTTGCTAGGTCTTTGTTGTTTCAAGTGATTTGCTTTTAAAATGTTTTATTTTTCCAAGGATTTGTTTTTGATTGTTTAATTTTCATTTATTATTATTATTATTTTTTGTGGATTTGTTTGTGTTTATGGAGTTACATATGGAGCAACAAACTAAATGAGAGAGAATTGAACCGGGTTCGTGATGATCTATTGAAAAAGAGAGTAATTAGGTGGCCCTTGATGTTAACGAGCATTCCTTTATATTGCGCCTAACATTAACATTTCTGCTTCTTTTTTGGGTGACTTTTTAGATAAGATCTTGTATTATATTTTAGAAGAAAGCTATATTTGTGATGTCAATTTGAATTCTTGAAAGTTGGAGTTGTTTGATTTAATGCCAAGTTCTGCTATTTTGCCTTGTGTTATGATGTATTTAGGATTAACTAGGAAGTTTTTTTTTAATGTAGTAGAAAGCCATCTTCTTTTCTCTATCTGGTGAAGAATCTTTTATTGCTTGGCTAATTTGTCTGAACTTATGGATGGCTTTTTTCTCTTGTCACGATAGATTGTTATATTTGGCGTTGCTTAGTTATGACTTGGAATTTGGGTTAAACTATGGTAATGGTTACTCCAATTATCCACAGGTTAAGGTGGCTCATCACGTCTTTGTTTATGTTGTTTTATCTGCTTCATACTTCTGTTTTATATCAATAATGTCGACTACAATTATCCATTGTTTCCACCATAGCACTCCTTCCTAGCAGTTTCGTTAGCAATCCTCTCTCTTTAGTGTTCACATGACACCTTAGAACCTTTCGGGAAATGCTGTAGTGTAGGAGGAATAGGATAATAAAACTTTGATCTAGCAACTGCATTCAGTTTGCATTTTACTCACTCTGTTTAGAATGCCCTGACAAAGCATGCATCCAAGTTGTCTTAGGATTGGTACGAGTTCCAGCATCCCCACTCCTTGCTTCTTCTTTGCCTTTTCTGTTGTGTTGTTTCTTCTCCTTGCCTGATTTAATGCAAATACTTAACATGTCTGCACCAGACTTACCTGCAAGTAATTGCGAGTAATATTTGCATGTTTGCACTGGAAACTAGCTTTACTCTGACATAATTTTATGATATTTTTTTCAAATTTTCCTCAGACAATATCACTGCCAAGTTCAGAACCTTATGATCTGGTGAGGACCTGGCGCATGGCTGGATATGGGTTGCTGATTTTAGGACCATCATTGCATTTTTGGTTCAACTTTGTGTCGAAACTCCTTCCTAAACGAGATCTAATCACAACATTTAAGAAGATTATCATGGGTCAGACCATCTATGGACCTATCATGACTGTTGTTTTTTTCTCAACGAATGCACGCCTGCAGGGTAAGCACATACTTATATTTCTTGCAGATATCATATTTTTTTATGCACTATTGTGTGGCTGTAAGCATAGAAGTCTGCAAACTAACAAATAAACTTGATCGAATCTGCAATTTGTTGTTCAATTATTTCTTCCTTGGCTGTCATTTCAATGCAAAAAGTTCAATTAATAAGCAGGAATAATTAAAATGAGCAGGTGTTTTAGTAACTAGGAAATGAGAGGGGGTTTAGGTAATTCTGAAAATTTGAACTATGATAATTGTGAGTTGTTGACCCTATCTAATACAGATTGTGAAATGCAACCCATAGCACATTCTTGAATTCATTTGGACTTCCTCGGTGTTAAAAAGTTTCGAATTGTCTGTATATTTCAAAATTCTTAGTATTAAAAACATTCTGTCTACGTGCATTTGCATCTTTGTTCACATGTATTCATCAAACAGATCCTGTACTGTTAATCAATAGAAATGCATTCCATTCTGATTCACGACACAAGGGTTAAGTTTGTCCCACAGAATACACAATCACCTGTGTGAGCTACTTGAGAAACTTTATAGTATAATTGTCTGTTGCTTTGGTTGCCTGGTTCAGGTGAGAACATTGCAGAGATCATTGCCCGGTTAAAGCGAGATCTATTGCCTACAATGATAAATGGCCTTATGTACTGGCCTGTTTGTGATTTTGTCACATTCAGATTCATTCCCGTCCATTTACAGGTATATTTTAGGATTATTTCTGTAGTCATAACTATTATTCATCCCGTTTTGATGTGACCTGGTTTTCAGACTTCTGACTTTTGTTCCCGGTGTTATTTTGACAGCCTTTGGTGAGCAACTCATTTTCATATCTATGGACTGTCTACATGACATACATGGCAAGCCTAGAGAAAGCAGGCTCTTCCAGCTGATGGGTTCAATATTTGCCATTTCATTCCTTCACCAACATTATGTCTTCTAACTACACAGCACTGTACTGGTGGTTGCATACATAATCAGTTAAAACGAAACTCTATGCCTTCAATGAAATGCTGTCTGAAACGGACAATGGAGGAACTTGCCAGTTATATCTCTGATACAAATTGAGAGTAGCAAGTAGCAACCATCATGTTTGATCTTGTCTTCTCACGATTTTTTTGAGATAATTTACGAGATCTGTAAAGTAGAACAAAGTGTTTTTTAAAGCAATGGCGTAATGGCATTGGAAACATTAATTTGAAACGTTGCTCTCTGTAATGACGTTTAATTTATATCAAACTCCAATTCAATGTGCTGACCACCGAGAAATGTTGCCCATTTTTAGAGATTGATAATACAGAAGAATGAGAAAGTAGGATTTCAGATAAACAGTATGAACCAATCGAGTTCAGAGTCTTCTCAGCATTTGTCGTTCCAATGACACAGCTCTTACCTAACAACTGAAAGCTGTAACTAGAAGCCGCGTGATCTCTTTGCAGATAAAAATATGTTCACAATGTACTCATAGACTTCACGTTCTTCATGATGAAGTCAGGGAAACCTCAATTGTGAAAGAATATGGCTCACTTCAGCATCAGACATGCAAATTGTCACCAATAATAACTCAAACCCAAGTGACCCTTCTATCAAGGAGATGACTTCTGGATAACTTCAAACAAACATGATTTTGTTCTGATACCATTGTTTAGTGAAATTCCAAAAAACGGTTTATTAAGTCAAGGTCCATGCTTATTTCAATAAGAAAAGAAAAGTCCAGTCACACAGAGTACAGAATTTGAGCGCTGATCATTTGAACAGGAAAAAAGAGATTAAAGAAGGTGTTCAGTTATCTGAACTAAGGAGCAGATAAAAATTGACGACGATGATTGATGGAAAGGCTCGCACTGTTCCAATCCTCTGATGCTCTCTGGGCTACAAAATGAAATTATCGTGTTAGTTTTAGTCAGCAACTACTTATTCAACTCGACATGCAGGATCATTCTTGTTGATGTTTTTAAGCTTTTCATTAATGGAGAATCAGTTTTCAACTTCCATTGGCAGGTAGCTTAAGATCTTCCTGTGACTAACAGGATTTAATATTCAGCAATTCACATCCAGATTCAATACTAAGTCACCAGCCTTCCAAATAAGGATCGCGAATGCAAGGATAAGGAGATTAAATGCAAAATAAAATTGTTTTAACAAGCAAAAAATTATCCAAGATGAAGTCCTAGATATATTTATACCCAAAAGAAGCTAAAACAGTAAGCATCATTCTAAATCAAAGAAGCTTTATTTCGTTGATAACCCAATACAATACAGGGAGGCAGGGAAAAAAAAAGAGAGAGAGAAATTAGTTGAAGAATTGGGTAAATTTCCTAAAATAGCTAAAGCTCTAACCTGTATCTAGTATTACATTGTACTGTATAAACAAGTTTCCCTGAAACAATTAAGACTGCTGTCGTTTAAAGGCAAACTGGTCTAGCTGACCTAAGATTTCCACAACTTCTAGTTGTTATTCCCTTTGGGACTGCCTGTAAAGCTCCAAGACCAGGTTGACAGCAAAATTGGAGTAAATGATTGATTCAAAAAACTGAATCATCAATGCAGGTGACTATCAAATGACATCCCATTTCATCAACTGCTTAACTTCTAATGTGATGGTGAGGAAGTTATTCATCACTCTTCAAAACCACGCAAAGAAATTTTTTCAAGTTGCACAGGCCAATCCTCCCCAAGTAGTTGGGGATTTGACTCCATTGCAACATGAAAATCCAACATGGATGCACTAACTGATTCTGTCTGTCTTCGTACATATCTCCCAGGCAATGTTCCATTCAGACCAGTAATTAAGTGACCACTTGCCCTTCTCAACTGCTCATTATCACACCTTGAGCCAGCTAGTGCCATACAAGGTTCGATCAACCTCTTCAAATACACATCCAAGCCATTATTTAGCAGGTTAACACAATCCAAAGACACGCTGATGCCCTCTGTCTCCAACTTCCGCTCCAAACGAGTTCTTAATGATCTTGTGTCTGGTAGCTCTCCACTGTTTAGACAGGTCTCTGGAATGTAATTACTCCCAATGGATATATTTGAAAGAGCTTTACGAGATCCGCCCGGATTCAGCGAAATACCAAAAGGAGCAGTAACCGGGCTTCTACTCTGAACACCAGGGCTTACAGCCATCTGCTCAACCTCTTCTCCCTCTTCCACAGAAGCAACTTCAATTGGAGGTCTGCTACCAAGTGAAAGCAATTCTGTCGCGCTTTGCTGCTCTTGGGCCCTGGAATTCAATTCCTCAAATGCCAGGCTTTGGGGCTTACCAAGTGGGCCCAGAGGACTTGGGCGGTCCCTAAACTTGCGATCACGATTAACAGGTGATCGTCCCTTGCGAGGAGAAGAAGGAAAGGCATCCCCGTAAAGCGACTGAAGACAATTTCTCTGATACCCATTTGCAGTTTTAACAGTAAGGTTACTTTCTGCGCTTTTAACACCTTTGGGTGGTGGAACTTTTCCAAGGCAAGCATTCTTGAAAATAGATCTAATAAAGCGGTTGTGAAGAGAGATATTTTCCCTACCAATAATCCCAACACAAAACTTATCAAATTCACATTTGGTAATCTTCAAACTAAACAATCTTGTAAGCTGATCAAAGTATTTATCTGCTCTTTGATGCCCAATCGTTTTAAGTATCAAAGTTTTGAGCTCTAAAGTATCAATTCGACTATACATTTCATCTGACATCATTGCTTCCGGTCTCTCTCAAAAATTATTTATCTTCACCAAATCCAAAATCTTTAACTTTGAAGCACAATCCACATCATTAAAGTGATTCTTCAAAGACCCAAAACCTAAAGCCCTAGTTTCCAAAGCACTGTCAACATCTGCATAGTAACCAGAAATACATCAAAATTCACCAAAGTTCACACGTTTTTTCTAGTTCTAATCAAACATTAACAAACCCCAAGTTAAAATTCAGCTAAAAAAACACGGCTTATAATTTTAATATAAGTACGCGCACAAACAAAAACAGGAAGTATAATAAACAAAGAAACTACTTTAATTTAAGAACTACATGAACAGAAGTTCTCGAAATAGAAACACAATTAGGTAATTTAAGAACCGAATTGAAAAAACAACAGAAACCCATTTGAGATTTCAATGAAAATCCAAAACCCAAATGGTGAATTTTGAATTAAACAAAGTAGAATGAGATACGTACCGAAATGTGATTAGGGCTTCCAATGTTTGTTTGTGCTTGTGCAAGGGTTTTTCCGGTGAACGACACCTTGTCTGTATATTTTATATATATTATATGTGTGTGTGTGTATATATATATATATATTTATTATTATTATTTTTTTTTTCTGTTATGTTTTTTCTGGTGTCGTAGAAACAGACCGAAGCCAGTAAGTATGGGTCGTGGGCCTTTTAGGACACAAGTCTCCACAACACATGTCACGTGCGCTTTCTGAAAGGCCTGTTTGTTTGCCGTTTTTTAAACTGATTTTTGGCAGTTTTAACGATTTAAGGAATGTCCACAAACATAGATCATGCAAGTGAAAACGGAAAAGCTTCCTGCTTCCTATCCAAAAATAAATAACATATAAAAGAAAAGTTTTATATATATATATATATATACACTTTTTTTCCAGCAAAGATGTAATTTGGACTAACTTTCAAGCACCAAGAGTCTCATTGTTTGCTCAAGATCAGATCTTCGTAATCTAATCAAAATGGTGATCATTTACACTCGGATAATTTTTACCGTCTGCTAAGATAATTTTGAATTTTGATGCTTTTGTTTAATTTCTACGATTTATCGGACAATAACATTACACAATCAATTTGTTTCTGAAATATTAAAAAGCAAATCTGATTTTAAACTCCTCTAGTATTATTGGGTCATAGTCGCCCTCATATTTCTGCAACAAATTAATCCAGCCTATATTGTAATCCAGCTAGTGGCATTATTTATCCCTAAAAAGGGACGTATATTAGGTTGATTTTTACACAAAGCACAGTTTTTAATTATTTTTCAGCTAAATAGGTGAAAATTTTCTGATCTTTAGTTTATTTAAAAAAAGTTTAAATTCGAATTTTTTCTCTCCTGAGTTTTATTATTATTTTTTTAAGATTTAATACATCACTTAGTTTTCTTTTAAAGAAAACATAACGGTTATATAAATAATTTTATGATAAAAATTATTTAGTAAGATTTATCTAAAACTTTCCAAAAAAATTTCTAGATTGTTTTCTAATTTTTTCGATTTTCTACATTTTTAATGTTCGGAAACTAAAAATATATTTTTAAAATCTTGAAAAAATCTAGGATTTTTTTAAAAAAAAAGATTGAATTTTTCTCAATGTGTGTGCAAAACTTGAGCTTAAAATACCTAAAATTGATTTTTTTAAAAAAAAATGAAAACTGAAAATTATAAGATGGATTGAATTTTTTTAAAAAAAGTCAAGGAAAGTCAAACTTAAAATTAAAAGTTTAAAACTGATTTGAAATGAACTAAAATTGAAAAGAAGTTTAATCCATTTAGCCTTATTTTTCAAAAGAAGTTGATCTTGGTGGTGAAAAATGACACTAAAGGCATAGTTTAGGAGTTGATGAAATTTTACGAGGCATCCCTGGGCCTGAAATTATGGAGTCAAGGAGGAAAAAAAATTCTTTTTCTAAGAGACAAATTAGAAAATTTTAATGTAAAGCGGCAAAACTATTTCCAAGCAGCCAGTCAAGTAAAACTAAATTGAAATCACTTAGAGCTAATAGAAACATACCCCCTTCCTGCCTTGAAGCAACCAGGTGGCAGAATCATGGAGAGAAGAACTACTTAATCTCTCATTTTCCTCTGCCATAAAAGTCTCTCCTAGGACAACAACAATTCCAGGATTTCAAGTCGTTGAGAAAGACTATCAGACCAAATCACTTCAAGAGCATCATTTATCAGAATAACAGTTTACAAGGGAGAGAGCGAATCTATACATTTTTCAATTAGCGACCCTATTGAAGCAAAATTTAAAAATGATTTACAGAACAAAATTATACAAGAACTTCTCACTATGACTTCAAAAACTCCTTCCACCAAAACTTCAATCTTCTTGATCTGTTTCTGTGTATAACGAAATGGAAAGAAAGCTGCCTTAAGCCTCATTGGCAATTTCTTCATTGTGGTTCTGGCACAATCTAGTTGTCCCTGCTGACCAGCATTCCTGTCCTTGGCATGAACTAAAGTGAGTATAAGAAGAATCCCAGAAGAAAAACTGCACCACTAACTAAGAATGTTTTCCACAGAAGCCAGAGGCGCATAACTAAAACAAGCAACAGCATGGGATGCAGTCAAGGCTATGTTGTCCAAGATAATAACATTATGAGGTCAATGAAGTACAAGCTTCTCTATTCACAACTTTATTAAAGCTGAGAACCCAAGAAGCATTCCAGTGGCACGTATGACACACAGAAATCTAATTATTGATGTATAGTGACTACAAACTGACATCCAATTTCATCAACCACTTAACAACCAAAGCTATTATGTGGGCCAATCCACTCCGAGTATCTATCACTCTTCAAACCCATGCAAGGAAATTTTCTCAAGTTGTGTGGGCCAATCCTCTCCAAGTATCTGGGGATTTGACTCCATTGAGACACGAAAATCCAACATGGATGCATAAATTGATTCTGTCTCTCTTTGAATGTATTTCCCAGGTAACATCCCATTCAAACCAGGAATGTACTGATCACTTGCCTTTTTCAAGTACTCCTTTCCACGCCTCGAACCAGCTAAAGCAATACAAGGCTCAATCAACCTCTTTAAATACGCATCCAACCCATTATTCAACAGGTTAACACAGTCCAAAGACATGCTAATGCCCTCCATCCCCAACTTCTGCCCCAACTGACTTCCTAATGATCTAGTATCAGGAAGCTCGCCACTGCTCAGACAAGTCCTTGTAAGGTAATTATTGCATAAAGAAAGATTTGAAAGAGCTTTCCGGCATCCACTGAAATTCATGGAAATACCAAGAGGAGCAGTGACTGGACTTCTACTCTGAACACTGGGGCTTCCTGCCATCTGCTCAACCTCTTCTCCCTCTTCCACGGAAGCAACTTCCACTGGAGGTCTACTACCAAGTGAAAGCAACTCTGTTGCACTCTGCTGTTCTTGTGCCCTTTCATTCAATTCCTCAAGTTCTACACTTTGAGGCTTTGCAGGTGGGCCCAAAGGACTTGGGCGGTCCCTAAACCTGCGATCTCGATTAACAGGGGACCTTGCCTTGCGTGGGGAAGAAGGGAAGGCATCCCCGTAAAGCGAGTGAAGACTATTTTTCTGATATCCATTTGCAGTTTTAACAGTGAGGTTACTTCCCCCTCTTTTAACACTTTTGGATGGTGGAACTTTTGCACAGGAAGCATTCTTGAGAATGGATCGAATAAAGTGGTTATGAAGAGGGATATTTTCTCTACCAATAATCCCAAAACAAAACTTATCAAAGTCACACTTGGTAATCTTCGAACTAAGCAATCTTGTGAGCTGATAAAAGTATTTATCTGCTTTTTGCTGCCCGATCCTTTTAACAATCAAGGATTTGACCTCTAAAGTATCAGTTCTAATAGACATTTGATTGGACAGAGTCATTTTCACCCCCAAAAATTACTTAAGTTCAGCCAATCCAAACCCTCATCAAAATCCTAACTTTCGAGCAAAACCCACAACATCACAAGGTTCACACCGCTTCCTCATAAATCCAAAACCTAAAACCCTCTACCAAAAACCCCAATGACAGCTGCACAGTAACCAAAAAAACTCATCAAAATTCAAATAAAGCTCACACATTTTTCTAGTTCTAATTAAACATGAACAAACCCAAGGTATAAATTTAGCTAAAGAATACAACTTGAATATTTAAAACAGAGTTACACACACTGAAAAGATTAAAAAAATAACAAACAAAAAAATTCAGTGTAGTTCTGAATTAAGTAAACAGAAGTATCAGAAACAAAAATCAATCAAATTATGAAGATTCAAGAAACAATTCAACAAAATAATAGGAACCCATTTGAGATTTTAACGAAAATCAATCACCCAAAAAGTTAATTGAGAACTGAATGAGATGGAGTGAAGTACGTACCAAACTGTGAATTGGTTTCTTTTTTCTTTTTCTTTTTTTTCGTGCTTCTCTGCAACTATGTACGGATTTTTCAGGTTGATCGATGGAGTCTGTTTTTCACTTCTATTTTTCTGCTTCTTCTATCTTTGGTGTTTTTATTTTTTATTTTTTTTTTGGTGTGTGTAAAGAAGCAGACCCAAGAAAGGACTTGGTGGGCTTTGTGGGTCGTCTTTTCAGACACAAGTCAACACACGTGCACTTAGACAGAGGGCTTGTTTGTTTGCTGTTTTATCAACTGATTTTATAGGTTTGCTCTCCGAAGCACTAAAATTCATTTCCAGCTGTTTATCATGCGATATTCAAATCAAGTCACAGACGATGAAAGTTCGTTTGTTCGTTATAAATTCAAACACGCCCTTTCGTGCCTTGCCTTGAAAATTACATGGTGGCAAGAATCAGTGTTACAGAATTTCCGAGAGGTCGTTGAGAAAAATTCACAAACCAAAACATCAAATTACTTTTTCTCTTCCTGACATCATCTAGCTCTTTGGGATAATATTAATGTAGTTTGCTAATCTAGTTACTGACTTTTATATCATTTAGTTTTTTAATCTATTTCTTAATTTATATTTATGTGCTAACAAAAAATATAGAAAAGATACTAAACTTTTTTCACTATACTAATAAATATGATAGATTTTCAAGAGTGTTATTTCGTTAGAAATAATAGTTAAAATTTGTAAAAGCAATCTTATATTAATGCCCTATGTATGTTTTTGCTAGCTTTATAAAATTTATATTTAATATCAAAAAATTCATATTGTACCTATTTATTTAGTAAGAGAATGGTGTTTGGTTAAATATTAACATTCATAAAAATCTATAAGTTAAAATGTCAAAACTGTTATAAAATAAATAGAAATAATAGAAGAATTGAAGGAAAGAATGACAAGAAAATGAAATCACCGTAATGTTAATACAAGTGATAAAGAACTTCAAAGTTTTTCTTATTATCTCTAGAAAACTTGTACACCAACTAATGAACAATCAAGCATATTTATAGGCTTCAAAATTGAGGAGAGAATTAGAAGGGGATTATGAATAATCAATTGCATCATCCTTTCAATTTCTCATATTGAATAATGAATTGAATCATATTAAGAATTATGAGTAGTGGGGATATGAAAAGTGGATGAACATAATGATAGACATTCATTATTTCATAACACTCCCCTTGGATGTTCATTGTATAAGGAACATGCCTCGTTAAAACCTTACTAGGAAAAAACCCGAGTGGGAAAAAAATCCTAGTGAACGAAAAAAAGTACAATATTCCTTGCACACATTAATCCCCACTTTGGTCTCCCTCTCGTTGAAGGCATTATTTAAGATCTCTAAGACGACGCATTCCAATCTTATGAATCATCTTCTCGAAGTTATGGTAGGTAATGCTTTAGCGAATAAATCTGCTAGATTGTCACTTTGATGTATTCTTCCTTCAATGAAATTATGCAAACAACATTATCCTCATATGATTTTGTTGAAACTTCTTTTCGTTGGTAGATAAACCGCATGTCTCTCGAATATGATGAATCGTTGATCTTAGCCAAATACATTATTGACTTACCTCGTGAATTGATATTTCTACATGATTTGAAGATGTGGTAGCTATAGTTTGCTTTATAGAACACAAAGATATAGCTGGATCTCCATATGTAAATATATAACCAGTTGTGATCGAGCTTTATGTAGGTCGGATAAATAATCTGGATCCGCATAACCAATTAATATTGTCTTTGATTTATTGGAGTAATATAAGCTCATATCAATTATTCATCGAAGATAACGTAATATATATTTAACTTTATTTCAATATTTCTATATTGAAACGTAACTATGACTTGCTAACAAATTTATAGAAAAGACTATATCGAGTCCGGTATTATTAACAAGATACATCAATGCACCGGTGACACTAAAATATGATACTTCGGGATCAAGTAGTTCTTTGTTATCTTCTTGGCATCGAAAAAGGGTCTTTTTGGATATCAAGTGAATGAACTACCATCGTGCTAGTCAATAAATGATCTTTATATAGAATCATTGTAGAACTTTTTTTATATAAATTGACTGATGAATGAAATCTCATTCTTTGAATACTCAAACTGTGAGTCGAGATAACATTTTGTTTTCTCAAGATATTCACATTAAATTTTCCTTTTAGGTAACTTATGACACTTGAAATCTCTTCGGAAGTTCTAATAATATTTAAGTTATCAACATATACAACAAACCCCTTTTCAAATAAAAACATATGAATAAATAGGATTATTTTTTATAACTGTCTTTCAACAAATAATCATTGAAGTGATTGTATCATATGCACACGGGTTAGTAATAAACGAGTAGATATAAAAATAAAATATAAAAAGTATAAATTAAATTTCTAAAAACCAAAATAATAAAACAAATACTAAAATAATCCTAATAGAGATCTCTATAATTTAATTGAATTCTTATCTCGAGAATATATATTATATGCTTATGGCATGTTAAGTCCTTCTAGGACTTTCATACCGATTCATCTCAAATGAACAAATAAATTATGATCACATTCATTAAACACATGCATATGAATGTTTTTCATATATTTTGCTAGTATAATTAGATAATAAAACATAATTACATCCATTATATGAGAATATGTCTTCTCATAGTCAATGTTAGTTCTTTGCAAAAACTCTTGTTTTGAAAGTTATGCTTTGTATCTTACAATCTCATCTTTCTTATTTCGTGTTCATATAAATACTTATTGGTATCTCACCGAGCTTAACATCTTCGAGTGTTTTAGCTATGGGTTCAAAAAACTACTATTTTGTAAGAGAACATAATTTTACTTGGATTGCTCGTTTCATTTAGACCAATCATTTTTATGTCAACATTCTTTAATAATTTAGGCTCGGGATCCTTATTTTTATTCAAAATATCAATTGTAACCTTACATACAAAAATCTTATCAATAAATATTTCTCTTCGGTCCTATTTTCTCCTTGTATTGACATAATTTATCAAAATCTCTTGATTTTTCTCAAGTATTTGGACTTCTTCTAGAAGCTTATTATTAGAAATATCTTGGACCGTTTTATGAATATTTACATCCTTTATATTTTCATCTTGTCCTTTTCTTTTAGGAATTTTTATATTTAGAACCGATCGGTCTTCCACGCTTTAGGCATGCTTTAAATTCGTTAGCTATAATATTAATAGATCGTCCTTCTAGGACATCAATTCTAGTAGAAGCATTCTCAACGAGGATATGCATTTTATTTACTCTTTTAAGATATGAGAATACATCTAGCAGTTGGTTTATAATACCTTGTAAACGAATTATCTTATAAACTTCTAGTTCACATTGTTTTATACCAAATTGATATAAATATAAAGTACTCCATGTAATCTCTTTTTTTAATATTTTCAACTCGTTTATTTTGTTTATTCTCTCCCCTAATTTTAGAAAAACTATTTCATCAAAATGACGAGTCGATAAATCAAGATGTAAAAATATCACTTATTCATGATTTAATTATCAAAAACGATTCAAATCCAATAGATATTCTCAATCTCCTTTAAGTGCCCATTTTATTTTCTTATGGAGGAGCACTAAGGATATACACCGCAATGCCAAAAAATTCTTAAATAAAAAATATTTGACTCATGACCATAAATCAACCGAAGATGAGAGAATTTTTGATAACTTATGAGTCATATGCGAATAAGTGTTGCTGCATGTAAGATTATATGCCCCAAAACACAAATAGGGAGTTTTATTTTTAAATAATGGTTTAGCTATCAATTGGAGCCTTTTGATAGATGATTTTGCTAAACCTTTTTTAGTATGAACATGAGCAACAAGATGTTCAACCTTTATTTTAATAGCCAATCAATAATAATTTAATGCTTGAAAAATAAATTCATCATCATTATCAAGGTGGCTTGTTTCAATGACATAATTTGAAAATTATGCTCGAAATCAAATTATTTGCTAGCAATCTCGAAAATGTTAGATTTTGAGTAGCTAATAAGCATATATGTGACCATCTTGTGGATGTATTTATCAAAATTGTAAAATATTTAAATGGTCAACATGGTGGATGAATTGATCCACATATATCACCTTGAATACATTCTAAAATACCGGATATTCAATCTCAATTTTACTTGATGATAGCTTAATCATCAATTTGCCTTAGCTACATGCGGAATATGAAAATTAATTGAATTGAAGAATCTTCCGGCTCTTCAATAGATGCCCATATGAATTTTTGATAATTTTTTGCATCATAAAAGACCCAAGATAGCACAACTGGTTATGTCACATGATAAAAGCATTTAAATTAGTAAACTTCGGTTTACTATAATATTTGTTTCAATCATTTCAATATTTATAATAAAGACTATAAGAGAAAACGAATAAATTTTTTAACACATATTTTCTTCCCAATATAATGATTATAATATATAAGTATTC